GTGAGGTCTTACTTTTAGTTTGGGAAATTCTAGTAAATTGTGTTTTAGACATTAGTTGACACAACAGTTCAATGAATGGTAGAAATTGTATAAGTTTCGTAATTGTAAGTATGAGTGTAAAATATGTAATAATTCAATGAGTAATTATCTTTCTGTTTATTTACAGTTCAACTTAATAAATTCAAAATCAAAGTTACAACTAAATTGCATTCCACAACCAATTTTATTCCAGCATATTACGTAATTAACTAAATTTTAACAATTAAAAGAAAATGTTTTTTTTCAAAAGTTACATTTTTATTTTAATTTTGAAGTTGTAAATATTCACATAACATAAACGATACCAATTATACTGCACAAGTAAACTTCAAACTTATTGTTTTTTTGTTTTTGTTTGTTTCAAAATTCAACTTTCAATTAATAATCCTGTCAATTTGATAAATGTGCTTCGGGTAGATGTTCAGTCATTTATATAAGTTCTTTGTAAATAGGACTAAACAATAGGATAATCCCTTACTAAGAACATCATTTACATTCATTCTTCACAATTAAGGAACACTTTGATTGTTCGAAAGGACTTTGCTATATTCTTAATAGTGATGTTTAGATGACCAGCAGTAGTTCTTATACAATACGATACTATCTAGCTTTAGAGTTGGTAATAGCCAAGTGTTAACTTTTAGGTGGTGTTTGGTGTTTGTTTCGATGTATTTGTAAAATTATATGAGAATAATACAATGTGGAGCAGGTATATGGGGTGTAAAAACATATTCCTGTATAAATTACACACATAATAGGGCCTGTAGATTTTTTCTTGGAGTAGGAACATATGTATTATTCGTTTGTGGTGTAGATTAAATAACATGAGCTCAAATCGGTTAAATACAAAAGTTCATAAGTGGGTTGATAATATGAGTACTAAGCATAAGCGTGTTAAAAATTGGAACTTTTTAGTAAAAAAAACCTTCTGTGAACTGAATTTAAGTCATTTATCGTGTCCTGAAAATATGGACACTAATTATGTTGTAAAACTTTTTATGTCAAAATTACACGATAAACATGTCGATAATTGGCATGCTGTTTACGTTCTGATAAATCTATATCGGATGGAGGTGGCAATAAGGTACGAACGTACAAATTGTTTAAAGAAAATTTTGAACCCGAAGAATACTGCAAAATAGCTTTGCCTTTTACAGAAGTGCTTTCGCTAAATTAAGATGTGGTGTTGCCACTGAGGATTGAAACTGGGAGATACGAAAATATTGTTTTAGAAAACATATGATGGTTTTATTGAAGACGAAGCGCAAGTTTTATTAAGATGTCCCGCTCGTTATGACGATTTTAGAAACCATTTATATTATGTTGCTGAAACTTTTAATGAAAAATTTAATGCTTTAGATGATAACCAAAAGTTAGTGTTTTTATTCTCAGATGTAAATATGATACGTGTGTGTGCCAAAACCTTTTATTTTATTTTATGAAGACCTAGAAATTTTATATATTGTAAATAGTACTTTATTCCATATTGTTTAATGTATTATATCTATGCATTTTATTAGTCTCTTATAATTCTGTATAGAATGGCTCTCATTTTATTTAGTAATGTTTTACAATGTATAAATATCGACTGTACTTGTTGAGAGATGAGACTTTAATAAAACATTGAATTGAAATTACAAAAGCTTTATTTAGATTCGGTATAGTTACAAATTACAAAACATAAGCTCTATAGAGCTTTTAACCGAATACAAACAAGCATATACAACAATATAAAATGCATAATCATGCAAGAATAATATTTCTTATTCAGACTAAAGCTAAAGCCACTTATAAGCGAATTATTTTTTTTTAAATTAATATGTTTGTGAACTTAAATATTAAAACCCATGGAACACAAATTCGAAATGACACAAATTAAAATCACTCCAAAGGATAAAAAAATTTCAACCCAACTAAATCCGCAGACAAGATATTATTATAATAACGCATTTTTAACAGAAGTACACCATAAAATTTCACCGACAATATCTGACTTGTTTTACTCATCAGTTAATACAGGCATAGTAGCAAACGACCGAAGAGAGGTCATTGTTAGACCAGTATTCAAAAAGGGAACAAAATGTTATTCTTTTAACTTTTAAAGATTGTAATTCAGATTTGTATAGTAGATCTTCATAAATTGCTAAATAGTCTTCATCCTTAAAGCACAAAGCGCCCACTCAGGTATTTGGGGACAGGATTTTTTTATGTGGCCCTCCCCCTTTTTTCCAAAATCCGTTTTTTTTCTTTCAATTTCAATTATTTTTGCGTTTTTCTTTTTTATATGACACATAAATATACTAGAAATAACATGAATTTACTATTTATTATCAATACCAAGTTAACCGGTATCCACAGCGGTCACTGTTAAACCCAGATAGACATAATATGGAGCCAGCAGCCAAAACTGTGTAAACATAAATCACAGTCATACAAACACAACTGACTTGCTCTTGAATATCGTATGAGTTGAATAACGTATACTTCATATATGCGGCTGAAGTTGGAATATTGCTGCTAAGGGGAGGGAAATGTATATAATTTCAAAATTAAAATCGTCCCGTTTGTTATATCTGTTGCTGAGATGACCACTGTAGTCAAATTCGAGATATATGTCTAAAAATGAGGCAGAGTATGCTATGTGGTTTCTTGTATCTTGTTCAGGGGAAGATATTAATGGGACACAATTAGAAAATTTTGGATGATTCAAAAATATCATCAATATACCCGTATGTGATAATACATGTTCCAGCTTCTTTGATCTTCTTGTTATTTTAAATATACGAAGGTACACCGACTCCTATGAAAATGAGAAAGGTCGACAAGGAGAGACTCACAGTTGTACAAAATGACAACAGACAAAAGGTACTCAAAGTTTCTGTTAAAAAACCACTGTCAACTAATAGATATACCATGTTTTACTAGAGTTAAATAAGGATCACATTTCTATACCCATGCAGTTAAACAAAATCCTTACTGTAGAATCAACAGGAAAAAAAATTGGTGGTGACTGAGATGGATGTCACTTTGCATTCTTATTTTAAGATTTTAAAATTCGTTAATTATGTTATTGATATTGTCCATTTTCATTATTTAACGAGAAAAAGGCCATGTAATACAGAATCTAAAACAAAGTATTCGCCGATGTCCTTTTTGATAGCATGATTTCCCGAAATCTCCGATTGGAGTAATAATGGAATAAAAGACTGGAACTCATTACCAGAAATAGTTAAAAGTTGCTCAAAGAAATATAATTTTAAAGTACAAGTGAAAAAAAAATTGATGGATAAATTTAAATCCATCTTTAATAGTGAATTTGTTTTTTATTAATTTTACTGAGGCTTTAACCATTTATCTGTGATAATTTTTAAAGATTTTTGTTATTTTTTATGCGTCAACCTTTGGTGTGAACTGGAAGTCTCTTCTTAAAAGGACCACACTGGAAATAAGTTCCAATAACTTTTGTGGGCCATCCTAGGGTATTAGGCTGCAGTGATAATCTAGTCTATATAATTCACTCATTATAATCTAGTCTATTATCAAAATATCATGACAATTTTCATAATTTCATTTTTTAAATTATAATTTTTAGTACACATGTAAATCATTTTAATATTTGTAACTATTCATGTCTAGTGCTATATCTGTATGTCATTTTAATTTATTTGTGTCTGTCAAATTCATGCCTTTTATCTTGAATAAATATATATTCTTAACAAAGAGCACAGTCATGGAAACATTCAATGTAAAAATGTTGCCTTTGTTTAAATTTAACAATTTGAATTGTCCATTCCGTTTTTTTAAAGAACGAAACTGTGTGAAATCATGAAATTGTGTTACCAATTTTCCGTAAATAAGGTAAAATCTTGAGATTTACTGTCTTCTCGATGCATTTGCATTATTAAATGTATTATGTCGGAATAAGGTCCGTTTGAATGTACCTGGTTACTTAAATTCAACCTTTGCTGTTTTTCAACCGACTTGTTGGTATTTTAGAAGAATTGGTGTGTTCCTTTAATTCACATTTACACCCAGATGTCGTTAAATGAAATTAGATACCCTGCATTTATCATGCTTTTCAATAACATATGGTCAAATCGCCGAAAGACCCCATCCTAAATTATTGAAAACTATCATTCTGCATTGACAATTATATCTTGATGTAAAATCATATACCCATTCGGGCTAACGCCCTCAAGGTGTATCTAATACAGACAGCCAGTAAAATGATTAATTACCGATTATTGAAGAGCTCCATTTTTAGATTTCCCACTGATGCAATAGTTTAAATTGAGCACTGTTGTCTCACAACGGTGAGTGTTGAGGTTTTACTGGTGATTGATCAACATTCATTCACTTCACATCATAAACAACTTCCTATTGTAAACATAATGTGTAGGTAAACATCTGTTGTTACTTTTCATTTTTGTCGAAAAGTACATGTTCCTGCATTTAATGACATAAAAAATTCATTACCCGCCACGCTGCATAATACATTAGATGACTTAGATCTATCAAACACCCACTTTAGAAACTTTCCGGAAATGCAATATTGTAATACGTTTATATTTACAACAAAATTTTACTTAGTGACATTAATTTTTTATTACTCAGTCTATGAAAAGGTTGCTGATGGCATAGTATATACATGAATAATTTTAATATTCGTTGGGTGAAAGAGATTTTTCCTAGTTGATGTAACATTGATTTCAGAGGGCTAATTCTCCCAAATGGCCCTCTTATTAGCTATTGTTCTGCACATTGTTTATAGTTTTAGTTATCACAGGGTCAGTTTAGTCATGTAACAAAATTCCATTTGATTATGTTAATATTAAAGATAATACAAATGTCAGATCACCCAATATAAAGCAAAAATTCACCACCAATTTATTATATATCAATTTTAATTATTTTCATGATAAACTGGTTGCAACATTTTGATACCTTTTAGGTGACGTAATTTCATCTCAATAATAGAATGTGATAGCTGGAATTTTCAGTTTCTTTTTCGTGTGACATTTTGATTTGAAATGGAGGGAACCTTTCTCTTGATACTTTTTACTCTTTCTCAAGGTAAGAAACAAACTGAAATATATTACGTTGTTGAAAACCGAAATACCAAGGATTTGTATAGTGAATACACTATACAAATCCTTGGAAATACTTACAATTAAAATGTACACTGCACAGTGCTGCTGTATTTTTTGGCTCCTGAAATGCATATTTTTATATTATTTCTTTTTTCATATGAATCTAATTATTTTCGGTTTTAAACATTACGATCTTATTTTCAATATTTTCTAAAATATAACGCTTTTTACGGAACAAATGATGCCCTAGTTATTACACAGGTAAAAAATATCACTAATTGCTAAAGATGAAGATATTTCCAAATGATTCTCCCAGCTATGAACATTTTTAAACGCCCCGTGGCTTTTTTCAATATATATATATATATACAATATCCATATAGTGTAGGAAAATATCAAATTTATTTGACGAGCTTTAGAAACAGAGAGAAACGCTAAGCTCGCCGAGCTTTTCTCCTTTTTCGTAGCGCGTAACAAACCAATTTTATATTTTCCTACACTGTACGAATATTGTTTTTATCCTGCAATTTAACATTGAGCTATAGCCCCCGTCACACTAGACCAAGACCATGAAGATCCCACTACGATCTATAAAAAAAATAAGATCGCGGTGATATCGTGGTACTAGTCGGCTTGAATATTCAATATTTCATAGTTTTCACGTTCATACCATGAATTTGCTATGAATCATTGATCCTGATAAGATCCTGCTACGATTCCGCTACGATAAAAACACGTTCTAGTTTCGATCTTGTCACGCTCTTGCTACGTCTAATAAGACCTTACCACGACTTACACGACCTCTATACGCTTCTACCAAGACCTTCCATATCGCATTACGATCTCAATATACGAGTCGAACCACGACTCCACTACGTTTCCACTACGTTGAACTTGCGCTCTAGAATATGGCTTCATCAGATAAGTTCTCAATCAAAATGCGTCTTCTCCTTAGATGAAGTACAGCATGTTCAGGTCGGCATTAGGTAAGGGATTTGACTCTGATATCCAATATCTTCCAAAAACTCCTTTAATTTTAATTTAATTTAAATAACATGCTTTCCATCGAGTGCGCCACAAGCGTGTGGCACGTTCTATCTTCTCTGAAATTCCTCGGCAATAGCTCGCCATTCATTTGGATCTGTTGGACAGGATATGACTTCATCTTTATATTCCAGTACAATTGCCTGGCAAACCACAGGAATAAAAGTACTTATAGTGTTGCGCGCGAATATGAAATCGTACTGAAGGGTTGGATACATATCGCCAGAAGCTCAGTACCTTTAGGTAATAGCAACTTTCAGACCGGGATCTAGTGCCTTTCTGAATCGGGTGTCTATCTTCTGAATTCGAATAAACTTACTCTGTTTAAAAGTTCATCAAACTTTTCTGAAGGCATCCTTATAAAATTAAAAAATGACTTTGGATCCTCCATCCTTAGGCCTTTCATAAGTCGGTCGTAAAGCCTAAACTGAAGTCTTCTTTCAGCAGAAAGCCAAGGACGCAACCAACAGGACCTACGCTGTCTAATATGTCTTCTCCTGTTTCTTAACTAAAAGTGTAGCATGATCAGCAAAATCGATACAGTGCAGCTGAATTAAAAGATTGCAGAAGTAGGTTTTGCTCATGTGTGTCAATGGTTGAACTACAGATAGAAGTTATTGCATCCGTTTTTTTATATCAACAGAACGAGGTCGTGCAATTTTCGTGTCTAGGATGTAGTTGTATCGTAGTAAGGTCGTACTAAGAACGGCAAGCGCGTAGTAGCAGCGTACTCTTGTCTTCCTCATCGTAGTATCATCGTGTTAATATCGTAGTAAAAGCGTAATAAAGACGTAGTGAAATAGGGATAGTCGCAATGAAATCGTAGTAAGGTCGCAGTGAAATCGTTTCCATTGGCTTCCCGATTGCACCACGATTTCCGATACGGTGCTTCTACGCCCATTCCGATCTTACTACGTCCTTACTACCACCTCCACGATCATGAAGACCTTGGCACGTCCTTACTACTACCTTACCACGACCACCACGATCTTACTACGACTTCCAAACTTTTTCATAATTTCTGAGGTCGTAGTGGGATCGGTTATGGGTTATTAAACGTATAGTTTTTTCCCATCCACATCGTTGTTGAATGAAATCGGCATGATTTAAACGCGGACCGCCATGAGGACCCATATTGAACTGTTATGTAAACAGCAATTTGAACATAACCGTTCGCTCGCAACAGAAGCAGAATACCAGGAGACTAGTTCATGTTATCTGCGCAGCACCCTGTATTTGTAAAGTACAAAGGCCGATTGCAGGATAAATATAGATTCTTACATTGATACCAGTGGATTATCGGATTTATCCATCGAGATAGTTAACTACCCTTCGAGTGCCTTCCACATTTCACAAAGTTGTCAATTTCATTAACACCTGTTAGCATATTTTCATTGATTAAGGTTATGACCCTTAAACTCTTCCAATCCTCTTCTGAGATCACCGACAACCACACGTTGATTTAATTTTTTTATACAATGAGTGCAGAAAGGTATAAATTGCCAAAGAATTAGAGAAATATATATATATATATATATATATATATATATATATATATATATATAGCAGGGTTTAAGAACATCCGTTGTTCGACTTGCTTGTCAAATGCGTTTTCTTAAAATATTCTATTTCACTTTTTTGGTCTTTTGGAAAATGTTGTTTGTGCTCTACCAAAAAATGTGTTTTGCATGCACACGTATAAAAAATGCGGTTTTTATCCAACGCAATCGTAGGTTTGAAAGTTTTTTTCAATTTAGACTTGTATATTTATATATATATATATATACATTTTTATCTAAAATGGTATTTGGTATAGAATTTAACGAATTCTCAATTTACATGGATTTCTGGCTCAGAATTTATTGATTCACAACAAAAGCCTAACAGTGTTGTAAACTCTTCAATTTGCTATTTACATGCATTATTGTAAGCAACATAGATATTTGATCTAAACAAAATCATCAACTTTAACGATTTTTCACGTTTCAAATCTTTTCCAGTTGAAATTACGATATATGTGACTAGCCACGATATTTCCAGGCTTACCTTGTCTAAAATTGGCTTTTTGCATATTTATCTAGTACATACTGAAACATAACACTCTGTCATACTATTATGACCTATTTGTTGCAATAACAATGAAACGAGTCTTTCGAATATCGACATAATGAGACTATTCGATGACGACTTTTTATTATCGAAAGCACTAATTTATAAAATACTAAATTTTTGTATTTTATTGGCACTTAGTATTCTCAAACAGCGTGTTTGAATACAAATTTCAAATGAATAAAATTAACTACAATACAAACAGTTCTTAGATATCTTTTAGAAAATGTAATTTAAACTTGTTGTAATGAAGTTAGTGTAAAATTTGTCAAAGAAAGCTTTTAGATTTTTTTTTAATTTGTCTTTTAACTTAGATTTATGATGCATGTCTCCTACCACATATCATGCGAAGCGTAACAGTTTATAAGTAGTTGTTCTCATATATATATATTTGATACGGTGCTTTTATTATAATATATTTTAGACTCTATTTATGAAAATTTATAGAGCACAGAATTTTGATTAGTTTTGTAACAATTTTATAAAAATTATGTAGATTCAAATATTTTTCACTTCAAACAATAACGTAAAACTTCTTCAGAACTTATATAGGATGGATAGTTCAGTGTCAGCACAAAAAAGGCAGTGTAAAGTGTTCATCCCTTCTTTACAAATACCTACTCAATCCCGAGGAAACTGAAGGAACCATCTGAAAACAGTTATAAATTTGTAAACGATTGATTTACTTTCAATATATATATTGTTTTTACCGGGCTTCAACTTATGAAGTCAGAGGCAGATTTTTATATCTATTTCATTTCTTTTTTCTCCTTTTAGTTTTTTTTTTTTTTTTTGGGGGGGGGGGGGGGTGCTGGGCCGCAGCTGCATGTATGGTAAATGCATGAACTTTTTTCAAATGCCACTCTTAACGTTGTCATGTTACCCACCCTGGTCTTCTCTGTTTTCACTTATTTATTGAGTAACTGTACATCGCATACATTCACGTCAATCGTTTTATACCAACCGACTGTCCCTAGTAGAGATAAATGCATTTATTTCTTTAAAGTCAGATATTAAAACAAATGAAAGACTATATCGATAAAAGATAGCCAAAAAGCATTATAATAAAATAAACTACTCGAAAAACAGTTCATCTTATATTCAAATACAATACTGGTAACTCTTAAAAACCTTAAGACTATATGCCTTATTGTATGGAATGTGTTTAACTTTATTATTATTATTTGCTGTTCCTATGTTACACATATATGTATGTATATATACATGTTATATTGAAAGCATGGTGAGGTTGTAATGATTATAAGAATGTTTGTGTATACAAAATTTTCATTCGAAAATGTAATGTACAACGCCTCAAAGCATACAAAAGAATATATATATATTTTTTTAAATTTCATGCTTTTGAAACAGAGATTTTAAATGGTAAAAAATACAGAAGGTCCCATCTTCTTTTTGACGTTTATGATAAGTTTGCAGTTGTTTTTCATTCGTTTTATGTGTTTGAGCTTTTGATCTTGCCATTAGATAAGGGACTTTCCGTTTCGGATTTTCCTTGGATTTCGGTATTTTCGTTATTTTACTTTTTGCTTTAGCTAAAAGTTTTAAATTATATAAATTTTATATGCAATGGCAAAAAGCATCCAAAACATAAATTCAGTATAGAAATAAACGTGTATGTCCCCATACGAAATTTTACAATTAACGTTTATATATAGTTAACGGCGTTTTTCTCACAATGACTTTTTAACTCTAAGCCTGGAAATGTAATGGCGGGTCGCATATTTTACTTGCGTCTTATTGTTTGAATATCAGATAAGTCATGCCAGCACGCATAAAGTAGTGACAAACATAGATTGCACCTAAACTTTGAAATCAAATTTCGATACATTTATAGTAAAGTTCTAATTTTGAGGATAACATAACATAAAGTTTTGTGTCCCTAATTCTTATATGCTTCAACTGTAGTTTTTCTTAGCTATAACTATGTTTTGTTGGTCACAAGAATAAATCGACTACAATTTCGAAATGTCTTAACTATATATATTTATATGTTATAAGGACTACCCCAATTATTGATTGTTCATGTTGTAGTTTTTGGTTGCTTAACGTCCAGTGGCAAATATTTCATGCATGTTATGGACGAGCATGTTGTCATAAGTAATACTGTTCTCAAATATTAAAAGCTCTCTAACAAAGATAATTTCAGAGAATTACTATTTTGCTATTAATCTTAAGTATACATAAAGTTGATTAAGAGGTTAATTGGTGGTTATCTTATCGGTTGTGATAGGACTTCCTCCAAAGGTGGCTGTTTTCTATCCAGTAAAATACAAGGTTACTACGGGTTTCACTAATAGCAGTTTGAAACAAAAAACGGAATCACGAATCCAAATAGCTCTTTTAAATTATATGGTATTCTTGTACACGAAGCTCTAAAGTTGTGAAGCCAAATACCTTAACTATTGTGACATTGGTGACTGCAAATTATCAACTTCTAATCTATACAAAACTAAAAAAAACTATATAGCTTAACAAGTATATCACATAATGTAAGACCTTAAGCCCACGGTTGTTTGAAGCATGGTCCCTGTATATCATTTTTCGTGTTACAGATATGTTCAATAAACTTTCTTTGTTAAACAGCTGAATTTTCCCTATTCAACGTGTATTAGTTTATTTTTTAAACAGTATGTGTGCCTATCCTACATACCGTGACTGCTTCCACGATACAGTTGTATAGATTTGCGCAAGAACATGCTAAATAAGTGAAATGAAGTTTGTTATTGGAATGTCTGTAACAATTCAATAAAAAAAAACGGGTTCCAGTCCGAAGTGCCTTTGCTCCAGGCCAAAAAATGTACAAGATCATGCTGAATTAATTAACAGTAGTATTTGTAATAACAAGGTTTGTTTTATATGTTTCCTGGTTGTATATAAATTCATCATATATGCCAATATTAAAATTTTGTATACCAGACGAGTGTTTCTTCTACGACGCATATTGTTGGTTTGTCCATACCGCTGTATCGCTGTTTTTTTTTAATCTCATTTGTTTATTGTCAGGTATTTCTCAATCTGTTCATTTATAATTTACCTGTCTTGATATAGAAATAAGGAGATGCGGTTTTAACAACATTTCTAACTGACAGTGACAAAATCAACACAATAAAGTAAGGGAAACTGTAAACGCATCAAATGATCAAATGTACATTGTGTGTAATTTTCTATTTATGATTCCGTGTATTGCAACTGGGTTTTTAATCACTTGTCAAATAGTATTTTATGTGTCTACCTCCAATTCAAAACCCAAGTGTATTCAACCAAATATTTCAATTTTTCGTAATAAATCACTTATCATTTCATATGAATGAATGACCAACTAATGCATGTATTGCCACGATAAACAACAATATATTGCAATTTTCAATCTATGGAACATTGAAACTGTTGCTGTATTTTCAGGTTTGTTCTTGGCTACCAGTTCCATTCATCATCACGATGCCGACAGTAATTCAACTTTACAAGGTAAATATACATTTTATGAAATTCCAAACATGTACTTATTTGAAAGACCGTTCATGTCAAACACCCGATAAAGTAAAGCGTTAACGTTTAACGCGATAAATACAGTTTAACGCGTTAAGAAATCAACGTATTTAAGAAATCTAACCTGTAAATGAAAAAAAAAATTATCGTGATAAAATACCCGTCGCACTTGCCATATATGTCATAATAAATAATTTTTAACTTTTAAGGCGTTCAATCTACATTTTATCCCGTTGATTCTACTAGTAATGGAGTGGGTACATTGGGGGTTCTGGGCCATTTTGTCTATTGTTATTATGGGGAAAGGTAGCCTCCTGATATAGGTAGCCTCCCGACGTGAGGCTAATTCTATGACGTAATTTTTAGATATTTTGAGACTTATTAATTGGTGTAATTGATAAATGGTGTACAGGTGTTTATCACCTTTCGTGTGTATGTATATATGTATGTGTGTGTGTATCGATTTAAGGTTGTAGCCATGTAAATATGAGCAAGGGGTTATCCAATATGTTTTTAGTTTTTTACGACTGTGTGTTCTATATCTATTAGAATTGTTTAGATTATGTAATCATTATGTGTAGGTTTTGTTCAGTAGGTTAATAGTTGAATGACAAAACATGTTATCCCCGTCAATTTAGAGAGACATGGGTAGGAGAGCCATCCACATGTTGTCTTTACAATGCTAAAATCATAGCCTTATAGTTTATATATGTAGAAAACATGAATAAGAGTGTCATCTATCACCTAACAGTATATTCAATCTCACGAAAGGGCAAACAGTAAACATTCCTTTCGTGCAGGGGTGTTTACTGTTTGGGCTTGATGCTAGCCTTTCTAGGATAGTTCACACTCTCAAATGCCAGATAAATTGCGAAATTCAATCCTTTCTCACAAGTTTGTATAACTCAGGACCCGCAAAATCACAGGGATTAGACAGATTGTAATATATGGTTTACAAAAAAACTGCTCCCACGATCCATCTTCTTTGTACGAAGGTTTCAAATAGAATGATATATCTAGAGTTCTTTTATATACGCCAATCCTCCTCCTCCTATAATAGTTTTTCCCGACCCTGTAGGTCCAGCCAACATCATGGTAAACGGTTGCTGTAAAACTACATTCTAAGGCGGAGGCGGCGGCGGAGGTGGTGGTGGCGGCGCCAGCGGTGGGTACGGATGACTGCTCGGTGGATATGGTTGATTGATTTTGTGTCTTTTCCTGTTATGTCTCAACATAGCATCTTTGATTCTATACCACATTCTGGACATGTTGTATTCATCTTGTAGAGCTCTTTAAACACGTTCGTCTTCTTTAAGTGTTCAAATGATAATTGATGGTTCGTTTACTGAAAGAAATTTTATATTCTCCAATGACCGTAAGCAAGATTACTCACACCATCGTCTAAAATGTATCGTTTGTCATCAAATGGGGAGAGACCAAGTTGATAGTGATGTTATACAGTTGATGGTTATACGATCTCATCTGGTTCATTGTTGACATATGCAATGTCTTTTCAAACAAGCAATGTTTATAGTGTTCATGTTTAGTGTGGTGTTTAACAACACTTTTTTTAATCCCCTTCACTGTCTTTTTTTCTTTTATTTGTCCGTTTTCTTCGTACATTAGGGAATACATCTTTGATTTAAGACCGGCGAATTCTTCAATAGGAATTTCGTGGGTCTCGTCTTCCATTTTGCCAAGTACTTTTTTTCCTATTGGTGATACTAAATAGTGGATGTCCCTGATCTTCCAGCAGGTATTTTGCATATGGTGACAGCATATCTTCTGTTGTCTTCATTCTTTTGGGAGGCAGAGGATATTAATTATGGAGATCGTGTAATTCTATCGGGTAATCCATATCGACTTCTAAGATGTAGCCATTCTCACTGTTATCATCAGTTGAATCTATATTGAGGCTATTCATCTCGTATTTGTCCAACCACCGAAAACCAGACACTGGGAGTGGCTGAGACATGACCCATCCGTAGAGGTTATTGGCGTCTAAATAAGTTACATGACTAGTTGACTTAACGATCATAGTGTCGTTCACATAATTGCTGTTTGCTTTAGCATGTCGGTGTGTTATCGTTGGTATCCTCCTCTCAAACCTTTCTCTATAAACAAATGCATATCTACATCTGTCAAAAGTTCTAGATGGACACCTTTCATTTTCAAAGCAGCTTGCCAAGTTAAACCGGGTGATGTATAAAAAGGAGCAGCATCCAGTCCGTAGTGATTAAGGCAAATCTCTTAAATTGAAATTTTCAAAGACATCAGCCTTTTTTTTTACCAAAACGACAAGAACACCAGTGAGAACATATAGGTCTTCATAATCTCCAAGGTTTCTTATTCAAAACTCCCTCCACACTCTCGTTGCATGTGCATAATCTTCATCTGTTATTTTCTCAACTGTTAGGAAACTGTAAAAGGCCTCTTTTGGTGGAAGCTTTAGCTCTTTAAATCTTCCTACTGAATCAAAATAATCGTATGGGTATACTTGTTTTCGTAACAACAACTCAATTCTTCCTTCTCCACAATGTTGTCTCATGTGTTTGAATTTGGTTGCACCTTCTTTGGCAAGATTCTCCAAAAGTTTTTCTAAAGACAAAGACATGAATTGAAACGAGTCAATAAAGTCCATGCATCCCAATGAAAAAGAAATATATTTCTCCATATTGTTGGAAATATATTTCAGTTGTTTCCCTTGAATTTTGCCAATGGCTTGCATGATCAGGTGACTATCATAGCCCCTTAGGTTATAAAATACAACCGTAATCCGACCGGTAAATTTATAATTGATGTTACATTCGTTATGAGCCGCTCCTCTAAATGTTCTTGTCACGTGACATTGATCTATGACTCTTTCTTCTCCAAGATCTTTGAAAATAACCACGTATCGTCTTCTGTTGGCATTTCTATTTTCTGTAGCCCATGTGTTTGGCAATATGGTGTGTGGTCTGTTAACAATGTTTCTTTGGTAAATCCATGTAAACAGTAGGGACAGTAAAAATATCTTCTTTTATGACTATGCTGGTCACCTAATAATCTATTCAAATCCTTAATCCAACAAGAGTGAGATTTTTTTGCCATCTGATATCAATAACAGATTTACTTTTTGCTCATATCGAGTCTTTGTCACATGCAATGGCATTAGTTCTTTCTTTTCGTATCAAAAAAAATTGATAGAAACTTTGTTTTGAGTTTCAAATTTTGGTATATCAGCCAATTTCATAGGAAAATTTATGTTTTGAAACTTCAAATGAGATGCTTTGTCTGTATAATTTGAGATACGTTTAGCTCCTTAATCTACCGACCGTATGGGTTCCCAATTTTGTTATTTATATGTATATAAGATATCTTATATAAAAAATATTTATAAGATATCTAAGATATCGTATATACTTTATAAGATATCTTATATACTTTATTAAGATATCTAAGATATCGTATATACTTTATAAGATATCTAAGATATCGTATATACTTTATAAGATATCTAAGATATCGTATATACTTTATTAGATATCTTATAAAATTTAAAAGATATCTTCTAAAGTAAATGAGATATCTTATAAACTTTATAAGATATCTTATAAAACTTGATTATATAAGATATCTGATATATTATATGAGATATCTTGAATTTGGAATAAATATTAAAACGGCTTGCCTTAGAAATCACTATATAATATTCATTATACTGAATTTAAATTGTAGCAAATGCGAAAGTCCGATGGCCTATGTAACTTATGTGGCAATTTTTTTGAAACCAAGAGCATCTATTCTATCATTGTTATAAAATTCAAAACGTCATTGAAGAAATAAAAAGATTGATATCAATGTGCATAGATATAACGCTTAACTTTGATGTCCAAAACACGATTATTGGATATAATCAAGATCTTGATAAAACGCAAATAAATATTGGAAATTTGATAGTGTTTTCGGGAAGATCTAGTATTTGGAAAGATTGGAACGACATTAAATTCAACAAAACAGTATTTAATACATTTTCATCCTCCGTATTTCTAAGAAAGATATGAATGATTTTATCAAAATGATCGCTAAATCAAACAAAAAGAACTTATTCGGAATAGACAAACTTGACCGTTTATCTCAAATATTGTAATCACTATTAATAGTCGAATTTGCTTAATTAATTATCACTTGTTTATTCTTTATGCAGATATATATATATATATATATATGTTTAATTTCTACTTTCTTTTTGGCTAATTATTATATATTTAATTGATCCAACTTTTTGTGTACTATACATATGTGGATATCTATTTTTCTTTTTTTCTTTTTGGGCTGCTTGTTTGTTATCTATATCAACCACACTTGCAATAAAATGCATTAGTATTAAAAAAAACAACATACTATAGATTCTTTATCTACGTATTCTTTAAGAACTTAAATAGTTCTCGTTTAACTTTTCTTTTTTTTATCTCATTGTTTGTATTGTATTATGAAAAATTATTGATGTTGTAATGTTTATGCCCTTTGGGGCCCATAATTGGAAATAAAATATCTTATCTTATCTTATCTTATCTTATATATATATATATATATATATATATATATAAACAAGTCTAAATTGAAAACAATATATATATATATATATATATTTATGTATTTATGAAATAAACTGTGTCTCAGTATTATAGTTAATTATATTTATCATCTGAATACAAAACGCACACTTTGAACTAGTATATTGTTTACACCTTCATTTACAAACAATCGCTATTATTTATATAAGTTAATTTTATAGTTTATATTTAATACATATTTATATTACATACTTTTTTGTACTAGTATTTTACTCACCACAGACTGTGTTTCTTCATAAGTGCACATACATTTATTTCACAAATAATCCTGCATCGAAAATCCTGACCCTGTAACCCCTAGGTGTGTTACACGACAAGAAAAACCTTAACATATGCATTATCTGACTTTTATATTTACCGTCAAAAATATTATGTTTTGCAAAGCATGGACAAATCTACAGTCTGGCAAAGTATAAGAAAATTCTAAAGTGAAAATATATTTTACACAGTGGGCATGGCGGCATATCGGGTTTCATAAGGATTTTAACCATAAACTTATTAAAGATTTTAGGCTTATAATTTCATACTCCTGGTATGTTTTTCGGTAGCATTACAAACACTAGCAGGCAATTTATAGATATTTTATTATACGTGTTTAATATTCAGTTAACAAACTCACTACCACATATAAACCCAAGACAAATCCTGCTCTAGTACGCATTTGCAATTTTAAAAAATACATCATATATGGCGGTGTTTTCTTTCTTTTTTCTTATTACAATCATGAACAAAAGAGTCATTAAGTATGATCATATATAATGTTTACAAGTGTATATTTTCATTGAAATATTATATAACTGGCATCAAAAACACCAATATGAAAAAACAAGGCGACAAGAAATATTTGTGTTGGCTTGATTTATATTACTGACCACAGGCGTTTGGTGCTTAAGGGGGTTAACCTTTTTTTGTAAATATTTGTTTTTTTCTTAAAACTTATTTTCACTTTTTTATGTGTTTTTGCTCTTATCCATACGATATTACAACAACAATAGGTATAAATTTTGCCCCTCTATTCTTGTTATTGTTATATCGTTTGGATAAAAGTAAGAACACGTTAAATAAGTGAAAATCAGTTTTAAAAGATAAAAAATATTTACTAAAAGAAATTAAACTATACAAAAAAGGAAAAGATATCCGGGGTCCATGTAACTGATGACCTAATTTAGATAAGTGATGTCCTAGCCGACGCGTGATATCTCTGATTCTGAGCAGATGAGTCATTAAATCCATATTTTTGGTTGAAGTTTTTTACTTTATAAAAATTCCAGTTGTTATATTCTAAATAGATTAAAATGTGTGAGGCAATAAATGTCTTAAGAAAACATGATTTAGTCAAGCTCGGATATTCTTTTTCGTGTCAGCACATTGCAAATATTGAAATCCCATAGGAATACTGGTAGTATTTTCTTGATATTCTGACCTAATAACATCTAATGTTAATGATGTACCGGAAATAGATTCTGAAGATGTAAGGATTTTGAAATTAAAAATTAACCTATACTTTAGAGAAAAAATGTTGATGTTTTTTTAATTAGAAAGTTTTTGCTATGATCTATATTAAACTTTTTGATCAAAGATTTGTAAAAATAGTTATTGTATTTATTTTTTTACTTGAGATTGATTTCACTGACAGTTCTAAATAAATATTTGCCTCAAATCATATCAAGTAAAATGACATTCAAACCATCCAGTGAAGGTGTCAATCAACATCAAAATAAATTTGTAAGTTTAAACTGCTTTTCCATATACAATATATCAATACATGGTTTACGAAATTCTATCCTTGCGAAGAGCCATAATACTGTAAGCTACAAAACTATCCACCTACCATACAATATTGTTTTTGGAAGAAAACGAGCCAATTTTTGATAAACCCTTATATTTCTCGATGACTATGAAAAAAACCACGTCAAACATCTGTTACGTAAGTTTTCTATAGAGAAATAAGGAGATGCAATATGATTGCCAATGAGAAAACTATCAACCAGAGTTCAGATGACATAGATATAGGCAATTATAGGTCACCTTAATCTTTAAGAAAACCCATATATACCGTATAGTCAGCTAAAAGGTCCATTTTACAGGTGCATGGGGCATTGTTAATTTATCCTTAATATTTCAACTTATCTTCCCTTATTTTATGTGTTCTGCCGTTTGCATATACAATCAAACAACAACTATAGTTTATACTTGCTGCTCGTTTACTCATATTTTGAAAAAAAAGAAGTGAGTGCAGCACGTATACATAAACTGTCGTTATTGTAAGATTGTATGGGTAAAATGCTCTTTCTCGTTTGAGAACTGTAGTGTATTATAAGTTATTCTTATTTCTGAATGAGTCCATTTGATTACAGCATAATAACCCTGTTGGTCTAAGAGCACATAACTCTTGTTTTTATATTTTAACAATAGAAGACCACGTCCCTCTGAATGGTTAACAAATAAGCCATATTACTATGAAATGTAAAAATCTATTATTTAGGCAATAAAGATAACATAAAATGATTAATATGAATCATATAAGAATAGTTAATTTCGAAGACTTCTATGTATTTTCGCGAATTTTGAAATTTTCGAACAAATAAGCAGAAAATCCGGTGTAAGTCAAGCCTTGAATACAGAGAACAGTTAATCAAATAGACTCTCACTTTATTTGAACGCTTATAGATAGTTATTGGCAATCATACAACGTCTAATATTTATTTATATTCTGTTTTTTGTCAATTGTCATATATTCCTACATTATGACATTCATCAATTATGAGACAATATTTGTTATAGAATATGTTATTAATAATTCAGATCCATGCGTATCATTCTCGATCATTGACGAAAACTGGAGGTATTTCAATAATACGGTAGAAGAGGATCATTGTGATAAGAATATCACCGAAGGCTGGTATAGAATGGACATCAATGGACGACCTGCTACCATACCAACTGTTTGCATAAAGGTACAAACTTGTGTCTTTTAAATACTTAAAAATACAAGAATATCGATAACAAATGGGGTTATCACTAAGAGATAGTTTTAATCTGAAATAGAAAATTTTTATCTGAATATATCCATCCTACAAGTACGTTCCAGATCTAGAGTTTGGGAAACCTCTTTCATCAAATGTTTTCCAATTTCAAAATCAAAGGTCTCAACAGTTCTGAATTAAGCGCAAAATGTTTGATAAGAGTTTGAAAGACTGATGACAATTTCTTTCTCAGTGTTCTCAAACAAATATACCATATCGTCACTTCTAACCATAATGTCCTTTATCAGCTGGTTTATTCTGGTAACTGCGTACATACGTTAGGAGATAGCAACTGTCAAACAGACAGCTATCTAGTAAAATAATGAAACATGTGTTATTTAAGACCGCATGTCAACTGAATTTACTGTATGGTCCGTTTATTCTAACAAGCATAGTTTCAAGTTTTAGTTTTGCTTCCAGTTGTGAATCTGTAACTAAAGTTAGAATAGAATCTTGCTAAAACCATACAACATTCCTATTGGTATTCCTATGGGAACGAACTGTGTGCCTCTCCTTGCCGACCTTTTCTTATTTTCATATGATTCGGAGTTCCTGCAGACACTTGTGAAAAAAAGAAGATCAAAGTTGCCAGATCATTTAATATCAATTTCAGATATGTTAAAGGGAAAATTCGCGATTTTTTACTTTTCATCTTATTATGTTCATAATACCATAAAAAACATATTTACCAAGTTTTATCTGGATATGAACACTAATAAAGAAGAAAATTGGGAATTAATAATTCAATTTATTCCAACTTCCTGACTTATGTGACGTAGTTTAAGTCTTTTTGCATGCCGGGAGTGAATAAATCTCGTTGTAAGTCTTGTTCGTTAATCATCTAATAACTCGATTTAAAGCGCATCGACGACTTTTGGCGTAGCTATTAACCAACTAATAATTAAGAAAGTAAAGTGATCCGCCGTGCAACTTTCAAAATTAAAATGTACAATTTATATTTAAAGGATTTCTGATATGATTATAGTAATAAAAGTAAATCATACAATAGAATATATTTTCATGAATTTTTTTTCCGACGGATATTTTGAACAAACATATATAACTGATATTGTTTTACAAATGCATGTTTGTATTCTCACCTGAAGGCTTTTACTTCAGTCTAGTACTGTGTAAATACAATGTGTATTGTACTGTGATACTAAGTGACCACCTGTTGAATGCGTGGTTAAATTCAAGGTAATTAAAAGATTAGCATTCTGTAATTCTATTCTTTTGATCTTCACTCAGTGAATTTTAGCCAACACGGTTCACCGTTACAGGTGTGAACAACATTTCGTATGAATGATAAAAACATTAATTATTTGGGGAGGAATATGGTGGCAAAATACCTGAATCGCCGTTATATACATGTATATCTTTTGTATTTTGCGTAAGCTTAATTTTAAAATAGATAGGTGAGTATTTTGTTGTAACATCGAAATTCTGAATTACTTTCAATTAAATAATTTTACAAATAAAAATGGCCCACGAAAACGAGCGTATAAACCAAACACTGTACTTACTTTTTCAAATTATCATGGGTATTAACCGTGAAAATTTCAATGTTTAGAGAAAATTATCGCGGTTACATGATTAATATAGGTTGGTCCGTCCACAGCGATCTACATTTACCTAATCGGGAATGCCCTTATTAAAATATTTAAAATCCCACAACGTATACATACTTTAGCTATTTGACCAACGATGTTTAAAAAAAATAACAGAATCAATCTAACGTCAACTTTCCATTTTTGAATGGAGACAGACCGGAGGAATCAATTTTCAATGTGCTTTATATCTTGTACCTTTGCAACACTTATCATTCATTCATAAACCCACTTTATACCAGAGACATATATGTCAGTCTTAACTGACAAGAATACACCTAAAGCGGACAAGCAGTATTTTCTTTAAGCTTCTGTGATTTAATACCAAGAAAGAAAAAAATCCCGAAATTAATTTGATACTTTGATACTCAATATTTTTCCTGGAATATATTCATATCCTCGTTTGGTCTGAAAATAAGATAAGAATTTGGTATACAGAACATGCAGAAGTGTGAATGTCATAAAACCTTGTTATATCAGAAACCATTATAAATGTGAACCTGTATACGTAAGACCTCATGGGACGTCACCTAACCACATACAGGTAATATACAAGTAGCTCTGTTATACCCGGAAATGTCAAGGTAAATCACTACCGATACAGAATGTACCAATGCAAAGAAAATTCTGATGATTGTGAAGCATGACCATTCATGATTTTAGAGGAGTCTTAGGTGGAAATTGCCGGTACGATTTAAATTCTGACTATATTTTTTTCTCTCAATTTAAATCACTGAACTTAAAAAAAAAAGAATCAGAATTCTTCATGTAAATCTGAGACTACTATATTTTCTCTTATATTACTCTCATTTAATATTTTATGCATAAGTGCAATATTAGGAATGGTTTATCCCCCCTCCCTTTTAAGCTAACTAAATAAATTAATCAACCTTCTAGCTGACCAGACGTTAACACATCTACTATCAGTCAATTCGGAGTGAAGTTTCTTTATTTCTTCAAATAAGCTTTTTGGGGATCATTAGTGTACGTCCAGTGGCATATATATTACATGCATGTCGGAACAGGAAAATTGACATGAGGTATAATAGAACCATGTTCACATTATTACATTATTATATATAATACACAACCATTGAGATGATGACGACTTTCTTAAACTGTTCAAAATAATCTTATGGAAATAAAAATCTGTGATTTTACTATGTGCATAACTTTGATGAACCAAAGCAAGTTAGATATAAATAAATAAAATAAATAAAATAAATAAAATAAATAAAATAAATAAAATAAATAAAATAAATAAAATAAATAAAATAAATAAAATAAATAAATAAAATAAATAAAATAAATAAATAATTATTTTATTATAGTGTCACATATTTGATCAAACAATATATATATATACAACAATTCATAATAAAAACAGAGATCAAATATCCAGCCTTAGAACAGACTTATGAGACACTTAGATATCGACCTGTATTTAAACTGAGACTACTATAACACAGTAGTCTCAGATTTGAATCAGATTGGTTTTGGATGTTTCTCTCGTATATTCAATATACATGTATATATTCTAAATTGCGACTATCTATAGTTCCGTAACCTTCTATCTAGGCGTATAATCCAATGATCGACAAGTGCGTACATTTTGTTAAATCAATATTTGTACGTTTCAAAATGTCCATAATTATTGACAACGAGTAATTACTTACATTTTCCCCAATTTACGTTTGGAAAATATGTAAATATATTTTTATTTTATCAAATCTTTTTTTGGAATTATTTAGATTTTCATAAATGTTCTTTACACCATAAATGTTATTTATAAACAAGCGTATGAGTTTAGTCATATATACAATGGCTATTATATCTATGGTTTAGTAAAGACTAGCATATCACTATCGGACACGCAAGCCAAAGATGTATATTCACCTGATAGTTTCAAAATGGAAAGTTACAAGTTATCGGCCGTGTACACTTCTCAATACCCTCAGAGGTGAAGTGATGCACGAACTTGCTTTATGTAATTGTGTAATAAGAGTTTTAAAGCCCGACAAGAAATCGCTTGAATACCTGGACGTGTCAACTCACAATACCTCTGGGAACAATTCCTTTAGCAATGCTGGTGATCAGATAAGGGAAGGTCCGAATTTATTTAAATAAGATTATTACATAAATTAATTATGAACACACTAGATTTTCGAAAACATTTTTACACGGAACACTTAATTTATCACTTTGAACTTTTTAACTAATTTCCATTAACATTTCTTGTTTCAAAAACTTAGTAAAAAAAACAGTTTCAAAACGACAGACCATAGTACTAGTTATGCAAAAAAAATTATATATAATTACATTTTCCGTATCAAGTTAGTTAGGAAAGGTTGCATGCACAACCATGTCTATTATAATCTTTTTTTGTGACCTGGGAAACTGTTTAGGCTTTCCTTGTCGGGTAAAACAACCGTACGCTTGACAAGATATCGACACTCAATTACGGCTACGTTAGGTTACTGCTTGTTTTGGTCCTTTGTGGTTTATAGATATATCGTGGTTTCTATTCAGGGATGATGTCAAAATGGCCGCACGCGGAGAAGTGATACTCTAAATTTAAAATCGATGGTGATCTCTTATCTAGCAGAATTAAACTTTAATATTTATGAGTTTGTGGTTTTTTATACATAATCAACATAATATCAATTTTTCATTTTTTTGCGAAGTTTCCCTTTAATGATGTTCTTTCCATTAACAATCCAAACTTTCCTGATTGGGTTCCATTAATATATCCTCCAGAACTAGAAATTAATGAAACAACAGACACGACTTCCTCCGCCTCATTTTAGACTTGTACTTTGAATTTGACATTAGCGGTCATCTCAGTACAAGAATCTATGACAAACAAGACGCAGGTAAAGTTGGTATATGGCTGCTAAGGTGGGGGAATTTCATAATTTCAAAATAAAACGTCAAAAGTGTCTGAGTAGGGAGATTGATGAACAAGGGTTATGTAAAAAAAAAAGCTTCGTCCTTTTTCTAAAAAAAAGTTCATCGGAAGATACCAAGACCTTGTTGATAAATATTCCGTATCAACTTCACAAATAATACATGAAGGTCTTGAAGTATAAATTCTAGGTACTGACGTTGTTTATCATCTTAATTACGTGTAATAGTGTTCTATTTATTTGCCTTGTATATTTTTAACCCTACTGTTTAGTCCTTTTTTGGTAATATCCTTTTGGCGTGGCTCGGTATGTATACATCTCATCATTGTGTAATTGTGCTCTGATCAATTTTTGTATTCGTATCTTTCATTCTTGCTTATGTGCTTTGTCTACAGAGTGTCTACATGCCATTGTGTTTATCTTTGTTGACATAGTTGTTTGTTTTTAAAGTGATTAAGATTTAAACACAATGTTGACTGCTGTATCCCTATTTTTAACATTTTTACCTATTATGTGTGTTTGTTTTGCTCGCACATTGTTGTCAATATAATGGAATTTCATGCGACTGTCATACAAGTGAAAGGTTTAGCTAGCTATAAAACCAGGTTAAATCCACCATTTTCTACAGAAGGAAATGCCTATACCAAGTCAGGAATATGACAATGTTTTCCATTCGTTTGATGTGTTTGAGCTTTTGATTTTGCCATTTGTTAAGAGACTTTCCGTTTTGAATTTTTCCTTGGAGTTCGGTATTTTAGTTTTTTTACTTTTTACAGTTCATTTTATTTACTAGTATGTCTCAATTTGTTAGTTTTTAGACAAAGTTAACTGGTCTATTTCTGTTCTTCGTCTATACAAGTAAAAACTACACAAAACTGTAAGAAGAAGGCGAGATTTGGTGAAAATTGACACAAAAATGTGTTGTATTTTATATTTATGGAAATTTGCAGAATCTTTTATGCAAGTGATCGTTAATGTATCCCAGGTTTTCAACTTACATATATATTCCATGCATTTCATGATCTCCAACGTCAATCTAACAAGCTAACGTCAATCTAACAATATTATCTTATTGTCATGATTCTGAATATGACAGATTTTAGTGGGGTTCGTGTTGATCAGTTCTTAGTTTTCCATGTTGTGTATTGTATGCTGTTATTTGTCTTTGCTTGGTCGTTCTTTTGGGTTTTTTTTTTGCCATGGCATTGTCAGTTCGTTTTCGATTTATGAGTTTGATGATCACTTTGGTATCTTTCGCCTTCATTTTGCTATTTGATATGTTTTTCAGATGTGTATGACATACGAATGATGAATGCATAGTAGAAGACACTGTCCACGCACTTGGTCTCACTTCGTTTGAATTTATGTGTGAATCGTTTTCACTCGCATGTTTGTCTTTTTTATCTAGGATTTATTAATTAACCTGGCACTGCCATACGACTTTGATCGTTTAAAAAGTGATGGTGGCGTTGAGTAAACTGTACTAGATATACATAATATTTAAGTAAAAAGTGAAGCATTTGTAAGTAGTATTCTAAAGTATTAGAAACGCCTTTTCTTATCCAAATGCCTGTAACGTAAACGCAGAAATACACACAATTAACCATATTTTTTTAATGTAGGGACCAGCATGTGGTGTACGAGTACCGCTTCATATCGAGTTCATCTATGATGAACCGCTTCCTGGGCAAATTGAAGAGGCTTCTATTTGTGGATCACATCATATCGAAGGGAAATGGGATTGCTGTGTTCTCAGACGAATGACCCAAGTTAAGCACTGCGATGGCTTTTATGTTTACAAATTGACACCACTAGACCGATGTAATGCTGTGTATTGTGTTATAGGTATGTTGTAACTTCCCAAAATATAAAAGTTACTTTATTTCAACAACACCAGTATAAGATGTTGTTGTAAAAGTATTCTTTTGGTTTTCAAGTCCTGATGTGATGATTTTCGATTTTTGCCTGAAGTAGTCAAACCCAAGTCTCCATTATAACCTAGCTTTGCTAAAATCCATCTGCATGATACTATTTCCCTATCTTAGAAGCTACTCCTCCAGATTGTCTATGATCGTCATAGATTACTTGAAAATCCCTTTCGTGTTATTTTCACTATCTATCTAACACGTTTGATTGATTGATTATGCCGATTTGTGTTGGTGATTTAATCAAAATCGGTATATTCCAAAGAATAATAAGTTTTGAAATTATTGAATAGAATAGATTGCATTTTGTTTTTCTTTCAGTATTAAAGTATAAAAAATTTATTTTCACGAAGAATTTATGTTTCGTATTGAAAACATCATGCACATTATCTAAAATTTAATCATAACTTTTGTTTTAATTATTTCTAACTAAAATTAAATTAGGAGACACAAATGATGTAGGACGTTTTACAGTCAAGACTGGAGAAACCGTTCACCCATCAGATTATGGCATGCATGGTTTTAGCTACTCTTCACCTACCAATCCAGATCATGACTTACGTGACAATCATGACAATCTCAATCCTCCAATCCGGACACGTGACATTACATCGGTATTGGAAGGTAAACATTAAATAGGAAATGCTTCAAATATATAAACATAGCATAGGAAAGCAAAATTTACAAAAGGTTGAACTAAAATCTGCCTTATGCTATCAATGCTGGTGGTAGAAACATCTAAGTGTTTTTGAATAATTTTCCCATTTTTTTAACAGTAAATTACAGAGAATGACCATATCAATGATATTTGATGTCAGCATATGAGTGCTGACTACCACCAAGCTTATGATTCCATCGGGGGCACAATTTCCAGTAGCAGAAGCATCGACCCAGTGAATGTAATAACTCATTAGAAATACCAGGTCTACGAAAGACTCGGGAGCGTTCGAAAAAAAAAATGGAATGCTAAATCAATTGCAAAGTTGAAGCAGAGAACTATATATGTCTGTGTTTGAAGAGTGTTCGAAAGCGAAGGTTCCAAAATGTTTTGCTATATCTTTTCCTTGCGATAGAAACACCTCAGTGTTTTCAATGATTTGCACATTAATTCAACATTTAATTTACAGAAAATGACCGTATCAATGATATATATAAATATAATATAATAGATACAACAACGTCGTCTATTTTGTTGGTAAATCGAGTTACATAAGCTGTTTGATAATAGAAGTTAGTAATTTTTGTAATGACAATTTACTTGGAATCCCAACATATACTCTCATGACACCTGCGAAAGAGGAAATCATATCAGTCATATGTCTGTTCTATGTTCCTATGTTGGAACTACAACCAAAGATTACAAACTGGATCTTCCTTCAATGTACTGGATACCCAAATTGCATAAGGGTACTTGCATTATTATATTGCTTGGTCTGCTAAATGCTCCACGAAACCTCTTTCCAAATAATTAACATCTATTTAATCAGCAATTAAAACCCGCCTACAGTGAATGGCGTGAATCAGATGTGGATACTAAAAAAATCTAAAGATCTGTTAGGACACGAAGTAAGTCTCTTTCCTCGTGCAATATTTCACTTCTATACCATTTACACTAGTGTTGATTATTCTAATTTATAAGACAGATTGAAAGAATCAGTCAAAAGTTAAATAACAAAAATACCGAACTCGAACGAAAATTCAAATCGGAGAGACCCTTATCAAATGGAAAAATCAAAAGCTAAAATCACTTCAAACAAATGGAAAACAACTGTCATATTCCTGACTTGGGTCAGACATTTCCTTATGTGGAAAATGGTGAATTAAACCTGGTTTTATAGCTAGCTAAACCTCTCACTTGCATGACAGTCGCATAAAATTCCATTATATTGACAACTATGTGTGGACAAAACAAACAGACATAAGGGGTAAAAATGTCAAAAATAGGGGTACAGCAGTCAAAATTGTGTTATAATCTTAATCACTATGAAAACAAACAAATATGTCAACAAAAAAACCCAAAATGGCATATTGACATAAGCACATAAGCAAAAATGAAAGACAAGAATACCACAGCACAATTTCACAATGGCGGGATGTATAAGTACCGAGCCACGCCAAAAAGATATTACCAAAAATGGACTAAACAGTAAAGGTTAATAATTTACAAAGACAAATAAAAGAACACTATAACACGTAATTAAGATGATAAACAACGTCTGTACCTAGAATCTATATTTCATGACCATCATGTATTATTTGTGAAGTTGATACGAAATATTTATCAACAAGGTATGTTCTGATGAACTTTTTTTAGAAAAAGGACGAAACGTTCTTGGACATAAACCTGGTTCATCAACCTTCTGCTCAGACACTTTTGACGTTTTATAAAGACTGGGCAGCAGCTGCAAGCACTTGAATACCGAATGAGTTGGGAAATGTATATAAAGGCAACAGTAGTATACCGCTGTTCGAAACTCATAAATCGATAGAGATAAAAACAAATCCGGGTTACAAACTAAAACTGAGGGAAACGCCTCAAATATAAGAGGAGAACAACGACACAACAAAAACACAACATTAAAATGTAACACACACAGAAACGAACTATAATATAACAATGGCCATTTTCCTGACTTGGTACAGGACATTTCCCATTGTATATCCCATATGCAGGTGAAGTTGGTATATTGCTACTAAGGTTGATAATTTCAAAATTAAAATCGTCTCGTTTGTCAAACTTTGTTTTAAAAAAATGGTCAACGTAGATACAAATATCTTATTTTAGGAAGGCTTAAATTATACCTTGTACAAAACACTTTGAATCTAACAAAAAATTCTCTGAATCTGACATCATCCAGATTGTTTTTATTGACAACATATTTGTTACATTTGGAGAACGTGTTTTCCAACAGACAATCGGGATTACTATGTGAACCAACAGTACTCCTCTTCGTGTCGAATTGTTCACCATCACGAATTAGAAGGCCGATACGATATGTGTATGTATCAACTCACTAGTGACATGTTTTTGCAGTCTTGGACCTTTAGGTACCAGAATAGCCGTCTCTTTTGTAATTATCCGATCATGTCCAACTCCCCATGGTGACGTTTTGACTGATTTGACCTTGTGGATTTGCATGACAGGTGATGCATGCATATCAGGAGACGCTTACCCTGCCAACGCCACAGTCTCGCTTCTTTTGAAGGTCATGATATTCACTCAGTTTTTATTTGTTAACTTAATTCGTCATTTAATCGATTTATGAGATTTAAACATCGGTAAAGTACTATTCCTACATATTTATTTATTCATACGAAAAAATATTATACAGGAGCTTATCAGGAAGAATGAAAAGTAGCTAGCATTATCCTTTAACATGATGTCACCTCAATAAAAGAGAGGCGAAAGATACCAAAAGGATATTCAAACTCACAAATCGAAAAGAAACCAACAGTGCCATGGCAAAAAAACGAAAAACGACGAAAAAACATACACCAGTACACAAAAAACAACAAAGAAAAATAAAGACTGAGCAACACAAACACTACCGAAAATCGGCGGTGATCTCAGGTGCTCCGGTACAGTAAGCAGATCCTGCTCCCCAAATGTGGCACCCCTCGTGTTCCTTATGTAAGTAAATGTTAGTCAATAAATAATTCAAAATTTGGTGAATATGTTGAACGCATTTATCTCAACGAAATTGAAATAAAGGAGACCAAAGATAAAATTAAGCTTGCAATATAACTTGATTTTCATCTAGAAATCGACAATAAGTGATAAAATCAGGTTTTTTTGGATTATAGTGAACTTTCTATGTTGTGTAGCAACACTCTAGCAGCGCCTGCATTAGAAGTATATATCTCCCAGTTTATACGATATTCCCTTGAAAAATGTTGCTGCTTATAAGGAGTCATTGAACCAGGGTTTCCTAGTAGTGACATTGAAGTCATCTCTCCGACAGTTTTACAGACCCCATCATGATTTGATTGATCTTCATGGAATATATGTGTCACATACTAAAACGAATATGTTCCGATTATAATAACCACACTCTCGAATTCTTTTCTTCGCGGAATGAAACTTATTACCGAATTTCTACTTGCCATGTGCAACACGACGTCTGTCACAAGTGGAGCAGTATCTTGATTTTACTCGTGATTTCCTGGTTTCAACATACACATTTAATTGTAAGAAATAAACGTTTCCTTTTAAGTTTATTGGAATGTAACGTGAAATGTTGATAGTGTTTTTTAGAAATTCAGTGCTTCATACAAAGCTTTTACATCCAATAAAGTAACGGGGGGAAAAAAGAAACCAATTCTAAAATACAGAAGATGCATTTACCTGTATCAAAAAGGATGCAAGTGCTAGACATTATCAAATAATATTACAATAAGGGTTATTCCAGAGAAACATGTCGCACTGATATCGGCATTAAATGATTATAATATCAGGTGAGCGGTATTTATTTATTACTTAGTATATTGTTGTTATTGTTATATAAAGATGATAAAAAATAAATCAAAAGAATACAATGAATAGCCTTTCATGCATTAGTTTTACGTTTAAGGGTAAAACAATGGGGAAAGGCGAGAGGTTTCCCCCATACGCCTGAACAGTTACTTGCCAAATATACTGCAGCTAAATTAGGCTATAATAATAGCCATTTAAGTATTACAAAGAAAAGAAGCCTCTAAATGAGAACATGATTGTGATTTAAATGTAAAATTAACTTGTTTCTATATTTTAAAAATAAAGACAACAGAAACTATAACAGGTGCTGTATTTAATGAGTTTATATGCATCAGTATTAGGCATAATCTGATTGAGAATATGTTTTTTATTGCAATTTATTATCATTACTAATTTTCATGTTAATCTATGCGTAAGTATCGACAGTACTTGGTGAAATTTATCTCAAAATCACGTGTAGTGTGCATCAATTTAGTTTTAGTATTTGTTTATAATGCATTATCCGACAAAATCAGGTGAAAGTGCGATTTACGATCGTTGTAAACCAACACATTACTGTTAGAAAATGATATACATGGCAGATAAAGGATCTTCAAAAGAGAACCGGAACATTTAGCCTATAAGGATATCATTCAATAATCAGTACTTAAAACACAAATTATCGACTATAATGGGTTAGGGGCTTGGGCCACCTTGATTTGATCCTCCACAAGATCACAAGATACTAATTGCTATATTAACTAGTTTATAATTGGAATATAATAATTCTTATTAATAATGGTACATTTTTCTCATCAATTGTTTCCTATTTTATTTCAATAAGACTTCCTACATCATGACTAAAATTCAGTTATAACTGTTTCATCAAACGAACATCTAGAAACTGAATACTGTCTTAAAACTTGCATAAATCTGACTATAAGTGTTACACAATCATAATGTTAATCAAATTTATTTGCAGATCAACCTATAACTTGTAACGATGGATACTTCCCCTGTCGAGACAACAAAGAATGCTACCACAATGCCTCCAGATGCGATAATGAGTTCAACTGTATTGATCGGTCAGATGAAATACACTGTCCACGTAAGAAAATATTTCTCGTCATTTTCTGTATTTCTATTTCTAAATTATTATATATCTCACATTTCTGTGCTTGAAAATCGTCATTTTACTTTCGTTGTTTACTCAAATTCAGTTAATTCAAGATTTTACAATAAAAAGCGAGACTTCATTTTCTCCATACCGCAAAACTGCAAATAATGTATATTTATTTGTTTGCTACTCCAGCTGTCAACTATTGTCCAGAAGGTTCTTACAAGTGTGGCAATGGTAGATGTGCAGTAAAATCAGAAGACTGTCGACAGGCATCCTATAGTGAATTATCAACCAACATTATCAGTCCTTCAACAGCTTACAGTATCAATCCTCAAAAAACCAAAACTATCGATTCTACAACTTCCCAAAGTGTCAATCTTGAAACAATGTTAAGTTTTCATCCAACAACGGTTAAGCATTTCGAAGTCCAAACTTCTCACACAACTTATCTAACAAATGCCGAGATAAGAACAAGCAGTTGGGGTACAAATATGCAAAGTGGCACACATAGAACCCCAAATCATAGCGATAGGACTTCTACCCAAGGTAATGTCATTTTTCATACCACAAACATAAAACTCCGAGCGTTATCGTGACACATGTTATCTAAAAAATCTTAAAATCAACAAGATATAAACAGGAAATTATTTATCAACTTCTCCATTGCTATTGTCTTGTTGTCCCCTGGGCAACATGTTGCATGAGAAATATCGGGCGTCCGTCCGTCCGTCTGGTTTGGTTAGCGCTCTCACGTGTACAATTCTTGCCAGATTTTTATGAAACTTATATCATAGGTTTATATGAGCAATGTCTTGGATGAGTTCGAAAATCAGTGCCGATCAATTATTTTTAAAAGAGTTATGCCCCTTGGAAACATTAATTGTATTGAAAATAGCATCGTTAGCGCTCTCATTTGTACAATTCTTGCCAGATTTTTATGAAACTTATATCATAGGTTTATATTAGCAATGTCTTGGACGAGTTTGAGTTCATATTTCCGATATTAAGAGGAAAACATTTACAACTTGTTTTCATCGAAAACTTTGGTGTAATATTACTAATGAAGAATTGTGATTGACAACAGCATTTGGGTTACATCAAATTATACCACAGCATATTTCATACGTTTTATCATGCACTTAACAAAGGTAACCAAAGAAATTTTTATAACCATTCTCTGCTGAAGTCGAAGGAGTCTGCTTATAAAAATTAAGCAGCAGAAAAATAAGAGACTAAGTAAAGCATTTTAATATTTTGAAATCTATGTCAGCTACTATTTGTTTTCTTATGAATGGAAAAGTTATATCAAATTCAGAATGACGCCTCATTTGTTTTAGGAATTTTTCGTACCACAAGACATACGCCGATAACTTACACCTTTCCAATTAGGGGAAACGACCGTCGCGGATTACATACAACAGCTAGAACTACTGTTCAGTCTCCAGAGCTTCCATCTAATCCTAACAAACTATCGTCGTCAAAAATACCATTGTATTCAACATCTAGAAGTGAAGTTCAGTCCTTTAAAAGCTTAAAAACTCAGACTATATTATCATCATCACTGTCACAAAACGTGTTGTCTTCCACAGGGACGAATTCGAGAAATATTCATCCAACTTCATCAATTACATTTCTGCCAACAAATATTGCAGTTTTGTCTTTAGATCAGCCAATATTTTCATCAACACAAAATGTACCATCGGGTGAAACTTACATGGAAATTAAAAGAAATTCTCTTTTAGAGTCATCAACTTCATCAATTTTATTTGGCTCTCCTTTATCTTCGTCAGCCAATTCACATTTTCAACTGCTTCTATTTGATAGTTCTAGTTCAAATGCCGATGCATCTTTAAGGACTGAAAATGAGGCACTAACTTTACTGAATGCAGCGTCTCAGAAAACTGTAATTTCAACCACTTCTGGTCAAAATTCAAATCAAACAGTTAGTCTAAGCAGCATACAAACAGATAACTGGAATTACTCGATATCTGTCGATAGTTCACTATTTTCGGAATCAGCAGAGCGGAAGGATGTATCTGACCCAATAACACCAACAGTTCGTGCACGTAAATACCAGTCTCGCATATCCAATGGAGACAATGTACATTATCAAACAAAAGACAGCATGTATCAGTTATCCAGTGCTACATACGCATCATCGGTTATGAATCATTTGACGTACGAAGAGAATGTAGTTTTTTCTGAAAATAAAATTCATACAGAGAGGCACTTTCCATTGCCTTCGATTTCTTCAGAAAAGACTTTGTCGCTTGCCAAATTGCAGTCATCGTTTTCTTCTCGGATTTCACATTTTTCTACAACATTAACAAAACCTAGTTTATTTGTACAAAAAAGAAGCAGTTCAACTATCAGAGAAAGTTCATTGGACTCTGTTTGGAATAATACAACTACAGTTAACTCGACTACCCCGCGTGCAAAAAGTATATTTGTAGAAAATCTTGGACTATTTATCATTATCATAGTTATAAGTGTAGTATGTATTGTATGTGTTATTTGTGGTTATATCTGTATACGACGGAAAGTACAGTCAAGAAGTTGGACATGCCGACAAGAGGAGTATTATACGAAAGTATGTATTTATATATTAATTTTTAATCTTTTACTGATATCATATATATATATATTTACCTGTCTAGTAACCGCTCGACTCCGTCCGTCCGAAAGAAAGAAAGCTTTCGTCAAAGTTTGTTTGGCTTCTTTATAAGGGAACGATTTAATATTTGGTCTGCAGCTTGACAATGTTCAGTTGTAGCTAATAAGCAATTTTTACATCCGTCATGAAACTGCTTCCTGTTTGCCGATACTTTTTACAACACTCATTGCACAAGGAAAATTTTGGTCAAAGTTTTCATGGCTTCTCTGATAGGGGAATGGTTTAATATTTGGTCTGCACCTTGATAATGTTCAGTAAAAGCGAATAGGCAACTTTTTTACATCCGACGTGCATTCGCTTGCTGTTTGCCGATAATTTGAAATTTTATAACTCTCATTGTTCAATGAAAATTTTCGTTAAACTTTTCATGGCTCTTACTGAAGGGAATGCTTTGATATTTGGTCTGCAGCTTGATAGTTTTAAGTTGTAACGAGTAAGCAATTTTTACATCCGCCATTTAGCCACTTCCTGTTTGGTGATAGTTATATATTTTATAATACCCATTGTACAAGAAAACTTTTTGTCAAAGTTTTCTTGGCTTCAGTAAAAGGGAATGGCCAGTTATGCTCCAGTATATATGTAACCTCAATCAACTGCACGCAGAGACGCAGGTGCAGACCCGGTATATGTTTTGTCAAGTGGTTGTCTTTGATTGCAGTCTGTCATATTTGTTTTTTTATACGACCGCAATTTTTTTTGCGTTCGTATTATGTTATGGCGTTATGTCTGCGTCTGCGTCTGAAGACATTTTGGTTTCGCAGACAATAACTTGAGTGTAAGTGTATGGATCTCTATGAAATTTTAGAACAAGTTTCCATACCACTAAAGGATGGTTGGGATTGTTTTTGGGGTAATTGCCTTAGCGGTTTTGTAATTAGGGGTAAAAAAGGTCAGTTTTACTGGTTCATAGAAAATAAAATTGGTTAACAGACAATAACTTAAGTATAAGAGTATGGATCTGTATGAAATTTTAGCACAAGATTCCATACCACAATAGTAGGGTTTGGATTGATTTTTGGAGTTAATGTAGTAGCTGTTATGTAATAAGGGAACAGAAAGGGGCCAAAACAATTATTTGGCTGGTTCATGGAGAAAAACTTGAGTATAAGTGTATATATATATCTATTAAATTTTAGCACAAGTTTCCACACCACAACAGAAAAGTTGGGATTAATTCTTGGGGTTATTGTTATAGCTGTTTAGGAATCAGGGGCCCAAAAGGGACTAACAAAAACAATTATTTGTCTGGTTCACAGACAATAACTTGAGTATAAGTGTATAGATCTGTATTAAATTTTACCACAACAGGAAGGTTTGGATTTATTTTGGGGATTATAGTCGTAGCTGTTTAGTAATTAGGGGCCAAAAACAAGCATTTTTCATGTTTCAGGACAATAATTTGTGTAGAAAAGTATAGATTTCTTTGAAATTTTACCACAAGGTTCCATACCTCCAAAGGAAAGTTTTGATTGATTTTTGGGGGGGGTCATAACCTAAACCGTTTAATAATTAATTCCAACCATGTTTTAGAATTTGGATATTGGACCATAACTGGTAAATGTCCAATTTTAAATTATTTAAGTACATAGACCACATTCATTCTGTGTCAGAAACTATGCTATATTAGATATTTAATCAGACTCTAAATTCATAGATGTATTGCACAATTGATAGAAATTTTAAGTTGAGTCATAGTTGAAAATAGATTTTGCTGATTCAGATATATTAATTTTAATGATTATTGTGTTATGCATTGTGTTCTTTTTAAAGATTGTTAACATTTATGAAATGATTTCTTATGGTTGAATATTCCATTTGAAATTAAAATAGACCTTTGTCCAACTGTTTAAGTGAAAGTATAGGTAAGTAAAGTTTTTAAATACTGTTTTGCCTTACATCATGTTATGTTACATCTTAATAAGAGTATTTTTAGTGGGTTATTTTAAGATAATTATCTATCTATTTATTAAATAATATATTTCATCACAATAGATAAAGTTGTTTACATTAATAGATTAGTTGTAGATAAGTTTGTGACAAATGGAAGAAAAATATTGGGAGACTATAACTTGAGTATAAGGTTATGGATATCTATGAAATGTTAGCACAAGGTTCCATACGGCAATAAAAAGGTTCGGATTGATTTTTCGGGGGTATTGTCGTAGCCATTTTGTAATTAGGGGCCAAAAAGGGACCAAAAACAAGCATTTTTACTGGTTCATAGACTGAATTGAATAAATTAATTCGCAGACAATAACTAGAGTATAAGTAGAAATAAAAAGATGTGGTATAAGTGCCAATGAGACAACTCTCCATCCAAGTCACAATGTGTAAAAAGTAAACAAATATAGGTCAAAGTACGGCCTTTATGGATCTGAATGAAATTTTAGCACAAGGTTCCATACCACAATAGGAGGGTTGGAATTGATTTTGGGGGTTATTGTCGTAGCTGTTAAATAATCTTAATCCCAATTATATATATTCTATTTTTAGAAATTCCCTGTGACGTCACTTTTTGTGGCGTTGATACATTCGTGTGACGCTCAGTTCATAATTCTATTGTGGTGTACTGATGAACTGTCGTAAATCAATGGGAGGTGTATTTTGTTATTCTGTGGTTTACATGTTGTGATGTACTATTATATTATTTATTTATGTATTTCTCTGTCCTGAGTGTTCTTGCGTTTATTAGTCCCATACCGACGAAGTCGAAGGGGACTTTAGGTTTGCACTCCGTCCGTCCGTCTGTCTGTCTGTCCGTCTGTCTGTCTGTCTGTCCATTTGTCAGTCCGGCAAATCAGTTTTCCAGACCCTTTTTTCTTCGTGCTTGAAGATATTCATTTGATATTTGGTTTATTGATTTATCATGACAAGTTACAGGTCAAGTTCAATTTTCAGATTTTAGCTTTTCTCTTTGTTCAGTTAAAGCCCTTTCCCTAGAATTAAATTTTTGATGAAATACTTATTAATTAGTAGATTTCTGTTCAAAGAGTACTAACTCATTTTTAAAAATAGACAAAATGACATTTTGGATTTTTTTCCTTTTCTTTGGTAAATTTAGTGGTAGGTTTGTTTGTCATCCTTGAAGATATTGATTTGATAATTAGTATATAGTTTTATTATGACAAGTTACAGATCAAGTTGGAATTTTGTTCCAATCTGATAATTTTGTGCAGAGTTATGGTCTTTGGACATAGAAAATTCACTTAAATAATCAGTTTTCAAAAGTTCTTGAAGATTTTGACTTGATATTTTTATGTAGTTTACACCATGACAAGTTATAGATCAAGTTAGAATTTCGTTTCATTACAATGAATTTGTAACCGGTAGGGGACTATGTATTACCATACAATACTCACAGAATGCTTGTTTTTACTGTATTCCTGTCACGTAATGTTGTCATTTTAGCTGTATTTTTAACATTGCCATAGAAGCGGGAGGTTTGGATAGCCATAAAACCAGGTTCTACCCGCCATTTTTTCTTTAAATGTCCGGTATCAAGTCAGGAATATGGCAGTTGTTATCAAATAGTCCGTTTCTATGTATGTTGGTGTTTGTTTTTGTATCAGTTCAGTGTTTCTGTTGTTCCGTTGTTTTCCTCTTATAGTTGATGTGTTTCCCTCGGTTTTGGTTTGTGACCCGGATTTGTTTTCGCTTAATCGATTTATGACTATTGTACAGCGGTATACTACTGTTGCCTTTAGTTAAGTAATTAGGGACCAAAAAGAGCCAACAAAAACAATTATTTTTCTGGTTCACATACAACAACTTGATCATAAGTGTATGGATCTCTATTAAATTTTAGCACTAGGTTTTATACCACAATAGGAAGGTTGGGATTTATTTGTGGGGGTTATTGTTCTAGCTGTTAGGAATTAAGGGCCAAAAAGGGGCCAAAAACTAGCATTTTTCATGTTTCAGGACAATAATTTGTGTATATGAGTATGGATCTCTATGAAATCTACCACAAGGTTATATACCTCAAAAGAAAGTTGAGATTAATTTTTGGGGTCATGGCCCAAACCGTTTAGGAATTAGGGGCCGAAAAGGGGCCAGAAAAACTAGGATTTTCTGGTTTCTGGACAATAACTTGAGTATAAGTCTATGAATCGCTTTGAAATTGTACCACAAAGTTTCATACCGTAAAAGGAAGGTTGGGATTGATTTTAGGGGTTATGACACTTACGATTTAGGAAAAAGGGGCCCAAAACAATACTTTTGTAATATTTTGTATAAATTGATTGTTTTCTTGACCAATTTCAATGGGGGTTTAATTCAAAGTCTTGAATTCTTGGGGTTCTTTTATATTCCGAATCTAACCATGTATTTAGAATTTGGTATTTGGCCCAGTTTTTGAATTGGCCCATTTTAAGTTCTAAGGGTCAAAAATTAAACTTTTTTGTTTGTTTTCATCAAAATTGAATTATTGCTGTTCTTTGATATATCGAATCTAACCGTGTATTTAGATTTTGGGACCGGTTTTCAAATTGGTCATCATTAAAGTCCAAAGGGTCCAAAATTAAACTTTGTTTGATTTAACAAAAAATGAATTCAAGGGGTTCTTTGATATGCTCAATCTAAACATGTATCAAAATTTTTGATTTTGGGCCCAGTTTTCAAGTTGGTCCAAATTGGGGTCCAAAGTTAAAATTTATTTGATTTTAACAAAAAATGAATATAAGAGGTTCATTGATATGCTGAATCTAACCATGTATTTAGATTTTTGATTTTGGGCCCAGCTTTCAAGTTGGTCAAAATCAGGGTCCAAAATAAAATTTTGTTTGATTTCAACAAAAAATGAATTTATAGGGTTCTTTGATATGCTGAATCTAACCGTGTACGTAGATTTTTTATTTTGGGGCCTGTTATCAAATTGGTCTACATTAAGGTCCAAAGGGTCCAAAATTAAACTTTGTTTGATTTCATCAAAAATTAAAATTATTGGGGTTCTATGATATGCTGAATCTAATCGTGTATTTATTTTTGGATATTGGACCATAATAGGTAAAAGTCCAATTTCAAAAAGTTTTATTTCATAGGTTTCTCTACTTGAGGAAGCGAATTTAACGCCCGCATTCATAACGGACGTGGCTGAGTATTTATTATAATACATCCCACACAGCCAAACGGAGACCCCTCTTTGGCAAGACTTTTACGGCCGGTTGGAAGAAGGCCAAAAGTGGTGTTTAAATTTATTTTATCATCGAAATATATATATAAGTTGGTAAGTCGAGATAATTTAATTGACGATGCATTGCTGACATAAAGGAGTAGAGCCCAGTAACCCAAATAAACGGCCCTGTAAAGGGGTATTTTTTTAAATTCGATTATTTGAGTAATTTAAAATGTGTATAAATTAATAAGTGTTTTATTTTTGAAAGTTTAATAAAAGAAAGTATATCTTCTTCATTTTTAAAAATATATTAGCCTAAAATATGCACAGATTTTATTTCAGTCAACTATTCTAGAAATCTGCCACTTTTTTTTTAGAACCATTTTCATGATTTCATATGTAGCGCCCCCCTCGCCCATTGAAAGTTTGATTGAAAAGTAAAGAATATATGGTGAATAAATAATATTTCGGCAAAAATATTTGTGGGTGAGAGGTGTCGCAACTGTCAACTTTTCAGAAAATTGTCATAAAGGTTGCGAAATTATGAAAAAAAAACCCAGGTTTTAACGAAATTATCCACATCTATGACGGCACAAGTAAATTACTATAATGATGCAATTTTTTCTCGTTATGATTTCACTTTGGGTTATTTTCATTTAGAAATTATTTTAAAAGGGTGGTATGAGGGACGAATATCTCTCCTTTTCAGTTAGTAATACAAAGGATGAGTAATGTTTCATATATATTTTAAAGACAAAATATTTGTTAATTCAGAGTATATTTTAGTACCTTAGTTTAATAGTAAGAACAGGGGACTCTTAGTCCAACAGAAACTAAAATAATCTAGCTGCATTGAAGACCCATAGGTGGCCTTGGTTTGTTTTCTGCTCTTTGTTTGGATTGTTGTCTCTTTGACACATTCCATTCTCTATTCTGAATTAGATAAACATGTCTCGTCTACAATTTACCCTTAAATTAAATTTAAGCAAAAATAAAGACAAATCACATCACTTAATATATTGAATTTTATGTTGTATAAAAGAGGGAGAAGAAACCAGGGGGCAATCTAAATTCAAAAGTATGATAAAAACAGACAACAGGTAAAAAATTAAAACGACTAAAAGAATTGCTCATGACGTCAAATCCACGTAAAAATTTGTTTTTGGAAACCCTGTTCCTGATAAATAGATGTTTGTTATATCACTTTCTTACGAATCACTTTCATTCCTCTTTTGCAGTGCGAGAAAGACTTGCTCATGACGTCACATCCACGTAAAAGTTTGTTTTTGGAAAACCCTGTTCCTGATGAAGATATCCTTGATGACGAAAATCAAATGACAGAAAAAGATTCCTTGCGTTTATCTTTAGAAACAATTGATATAGGTTCAGCAACAACTGCTTCCTTACATGACAGTAGTGATGGATATGTTATCCCAATCAGTGAACTGGAAACTACCGAACATCCAGATACAACAGAAGATACCAAATTCTAAAAATTGTGAGAATAGTGAAATTGGGAATGTGTAGATGAAAATTACATAATTCCATGAACTATAATAGATCTCTGACAAATGTTTTAGCCATAAAAAAAACTGATGTCTCAGGAGTGTTTTCTTCAAAAATATTATATACTGAAGTATAGTGTTTGTCTCGCCAGACTTTTTGTTCTAAACGTAATCCTTTTTGAGTGTTTAATAGATTTTTTTTATAAGTATACTGTATTTTCATGTATGTTTGGATATTATAAGACATTGAACAAAATAATGAATATATTGTTAGAAGATTTTTTTTTAATGATAAGCCATATCTAAAAAAAACTTTTTTTGACAAGAGTTATATTTTGCTTGCGAAATGAGCAAAACACATTACATAAGGATAACACAATCATAATTTTGTGTTCAATTTATTTTAATTATTTTAGAATAAGGCTGTTGTTCATCGTGTATAGTATGGATCCTTGCCATCACAGCATTTTTTAAAGCCTCCTCCTTTGCCGATATACCAATCACACTCGTAACCTATTCCTTTATGGTATTTATATCCATAATATTTTCTTTGGCATGTTGCATAATTGAAGTAACAATGCTTTGGCTTCTTAGGATTCATCTGGCATTTTTCCTAGAAAAAATGAAATTATAATGAAGCATCTATATAATCTGACTGCACTTTCGTGCTTCTAGCTACTACCTTTTTTAATTAGATTAAACCAAACATGTCTATAAAAACGGGTATTAAGACTTTTAGTTCAATTGAGTAAAAATCAAGATAATATCATAAATATGTGTAAATACTTTAGCATGAACAGATTATTATTGAAAGTCTATTCAAAATGGACATACCATACACCCAGACTGTTGTCTATATCTGTATTTCATTGCATTATGTTGGTGTGGTGTCACTTTTGTCCATTTCTTATTAAATCCACATTTATTGATCCAGTAGTCATTACCAATCATGGTGCCTAATCGCAAAAATAGAAAGATTTCAACGGGTCATTTCAATTCTACCATACAAAATGAACAGTGTAGTTGATCGGAGTGTGATAAATAAAAACCGGAGTCTGTTATCATTCTTTGTAGTAAGTATACAATAACTACCCATTTATTTTTATTTCTTGAGCCGATATTGATCGTCGTTTTTAATACTTACATTTAAATGAAAAATAGAAGAGTGCTGTGAAAAGATTGCTTATAAAAGGTTGTCCTCCGTTTGCGGTAAAACTATATTTGAGTAGAGGGACTGTATCCAATATTAAATCTTGTCGTCGGGATAGGGGTTTCATACTACGAAAACATGTTAATTTAACGTTTCCCCCCGACTTAACGTTTACAGCGTACATAAGTTCATTCATAACTGCATATAGGTTGTAGCTTTTATCGAAATTGATGAAGTTTGTTTTTGGGGCACAAGTGAAGAACATAGTGTTATTGTCTTTCTTTTCAAACAATACTTGTTTGATTTGGTACTGAATATTTACTAAGAAAAAATATATATAACCGAAAGGTAAAGAATAGCAGTTGTGGTGTCAATAATATACATACCACATAGAAGATAAGTTTGTCCTACTTTTAAGTTCATACCACAATAACTGGTACATCCCTTTGACAAAATTTGCATGGTTGTATTCTTTTCACATGGGCCCTGTTTCAAAATGAAAAGCAAAAGCATGAATTTACTTGAAATAGAGAGGCGAAAGATACCAAAAGGACATTTAAACTCATTGAACTATCGTTGTCTCAAAAAGAGGTATGTTGAATTTCCGTATAATTTGTTTCACTCATGGAGTCATAATTCGAATGTTAATGAAAACTGTTTAGATTTGAATGTAAAATATAAGCATCAACAGTATTAAATATACCAATAATTGAATAAAACAAAACGTTATTAAGCGTTGAATTAGGAAGCTGCTTACAAGGAAGCTATTGAACCAAGGTTTTTAAATATAAACTTGAAGTCATTCAATCCAAATTTTCACGAACGTCGTCATAAATTTTTAGACTACAATCTCTATATTTCGGATGACAATGGATATGTTTCATTGTCACCAGAATCCTGTCCTCTTGTCTCTATTGTGACATCACCGAGTTTGACTTATCACCGTATTTTTACTTGCTAACAGCAGCACGACGTAATCCACTAGTGGAGCAGGAACCGATTACCGTCGGAAGCACCCGAGTTCACCACCGATTTTTGATTGGGTTCTTCTTGCTAAATCTTTAGTTTCCTTTGTAAACATTTGTAGCTTTTTGACTGTCTTTTCGTCGTTTTGCTTTTGGCTATGCTGTTTGTCTTCGACTTGTGGGTTTTTATTAACCCCCTTGGTATCTTCTGTTCTTTGAACTATATATATTACCAAAATGGATTAGGTTTAATCTACCATTTTCTACATAAGGAAATGCCTGTACCAAGTCAGGAATATGACAGTTGTTTTCCAATCGTTTGATGTGTTTGAGCTTTTTTTTTGCACTTTCCGTTTTGAATTTTCCTTGGAGTTCGGTATTTTTGTTATTTTTCTTTTTTACTTTATACAATAAGGTGCTGTGGTATGATTTCCAATGAAACAACTATCCACTAGAGACCAAATGATGTAAATTTTAGTAAATGTTCGTACAAAACAACAAACGGAAAACAAAAATGATATACAGCAAGAAACGACAAACATTTAATTACAGACTCCTGACTTGCATGAGACCATGTATAGCGTTACTTCCGATATGTTTTTTGTTTCGGTTAACAATGCCCCATTTATATATTTTGGAGATAATTTGATATTTACATGTAGTTCCATGTTCAAATACATCACAACCTCTTAGTAAACACTTGTAGCTTCCATGCTGTTAATTTAAGTAATGATTGGAGACCTTTTTTAAACTAGTGTGGAATAAATTTAGGGGAATTCATCTACCATATGAAATAAAAGGCTTATGTTTTGAATTGATTCCCAAAAACTTATTATCAGTCACAAACTTTTTTGTACAGTGAAATGTGTCGGTCGTTCTTTTAAATATTTCAAAATGATCTATTCTCCAAACAAATAGCTCATACAGTTACAGGATATTGTCCTTATCATTTATTAGTATATGTCACGAGAGTTCTTTTCGGCGTTCTATTTTTTTTTTTTTTTTTTTTTATTTTTATTGATAATACACAAAATGGATCATGAACAGGAATTACCAAAACTTTGGGACATCACAGCAGAGAACATCAGCCATCAACACCTAACTCAAAAAGGATAAAAAAAGACGCAAAAACAGGAAAAAACAAACAATGAACAACACATAGTCCAGGTAACTTGACTTCGCACAGGCACAAAATGAGGTGAGTTGAAAGCAGTTAGGTACAACCCCTCCATTTCTCGAAAATTTGCAAATCTATTTTTGTTCAGCTGAATTTCAGACGTTGTTTTAGAAAAGTGTACAACGATACCAAAATTAACTAAAATAAATATTAGAAAAAAACCCACAAATATCAGCAAATAATTCGGAAAACAAATATCTTTCATCAGTATGTACTGATTGATGCAAAATGGCCCGTTTGTTATAATCGTCCAAAACAGCCCCCCGTTCGAAAGATTTCTTGGAATTATATAAATAATCAGCTTTAAATCCTAGAAATTTTTACTTTTAATTTCCTAGATTACTTGGATTAAATATTTTTTCAGCAACAAATGTAACCTCTGTGTGAAAGACACTTATATATTATAGAAATATCGAAACCAAAACATCAAAAGAAGAATATTGAATAAACCAATATATTTCAATCGTACAGACCATCAGAAAAATGTTGCCATCGTGCCAAGTTTAAAGTTTAAGGTCCTTACCTTCAGCACTTTTTTGACATACACGCTGTATTTGTTGTCATGCCTTTTATTTTCCAAATCTTTACCATGAGGTGCATCATCAATCCACACTTGTTTCTTCACTTTAACAGTTCCTTTGATGCCTATATAAATATAAACGTAAATAAAATGTAATAAAACATAGTGTTTGAAAATAATGAATATACGCGGTTAATAAGTCACGAAATAGTTCTATGCACTCAAAAAGGCGAAGATGACATCGAACTAGTTCGACCTATTGTTTAGTTTTATTTCAATCTATCGTCTTAATTCATTTATTTCCTCGTTTTTGCCTCATTTTATCATTTTTTTTAAACCAGCTGTTCTGTTTAATTCTTGTTTGGAATATTGTTTTCGGTTTCTTTTGGATAAAGAGCGTACCAAGTAAGCTCTATACAATAGATTTACTACTTACAAAAGTCTGAAAAGTCAAATAACGTCATTGGATGGTATGGTCCTGGGCATACACACTTGGTTTTCCCGGCTGATGCAGCCGTAAAACCAACAGCCATTAATGTCAAAAGCTGCAACATGACTCTGTACAAAAAAGAAAATCTAAAATAGTGCCTTCTTCATTCGTGAAAAATACCTTCTTGAACTATAAAAATAGTTAATAATAAAAATTAATTGTATAACGATATGAAAGAAAATGCCTGTACCAAGTCAGGAATATGACAGTTGTTGTCCATTCGTTTGATGTGTTTTGTCATTTGATTTTGCCATGTGATTAGGGAATTTCCGATTGAATTTTCCTCGGAGTTCAGTATTTTTGTGATTTTACTTTTTTCTCAATACAGAGGTGAAATGTTTTATGGTTTCTATTTAACCTGGACATCAATTTTCAGTTTGCTTGGTCTCATGTATGTTTGATTGATATATGAATATGAAATCACATGAAAACATATTACTTTGAATTACAGACTACATTTCTGGCTATTGGTATTTCAGATGCAATAGTTGAGCTAGATCAAATTCTGCTTTTTTTATTCTTTTTCTTTCTTTTCCCCAAGAAGAAAGGTTATCGTTTGATAATTTGGTTTATATGGTCTTACCTTATGCTAGCTGATCTTCGTCTGAATTTAGTAAATTATGAATTAACTTTTCCTTTTTATACGGGTGTCTTCCATAAACATGACATATTGAGAACATAACGTCATTAGCACACATGTTTCTAATTAGAAAATAATGTCAATATACCACTAAAAAGTGAAAAACTCCTCCCAAAAACTAATTCATTCACACTCCTTTCAAGACATTATCATTTGCAAAAGGTGAACAAACTACTTAACGCGTTTAAAATCTATTCCTTTTTGAATTTGTGAAAAGGTTGACTTGTAGTTTATGGTAACGTATGCCTCAAATGATAATTTTCCAGTCAATTAGGTACCAGTCATAAGGCTGTAATTTAAACATTATTAATGTTGATGAAATTGAAAAAGTGCGAATAGATCAAAGAAAGGGAGAAAAAATGTTCTGAGATGAGGGATCGTTTCACAAACAGGAAAGAACTGTAAAGTCTACAGATTTATGCAACGATACTGTTAAGATACAATAAAAAAATCATGAAATCGTATCGTATCGAAAGACAAAACAAAGATAAAACTTTTCCTTTAAAAATGATATATAACTTCTCATAACACGTATGTAAACGTTTGAGGCCTTAAAAACCAAATTGGTCCAAACAACAACCCGAAAATATCTATGTGAGATACAATCCTATCTTTTTAACGTATTCACATAACTTTATAAACTAGAAATTAACTAGCAAAATGTATCATTTACATGATGCCATTACCGAAATACTGGCTATACTGGGAGGCTGTTTCCCTTGATGATTGATAGTCCACGGGTAGTGGTACCGACCAAGTTGTGGGGAAAAATTATATCAAGTTTTGGTTTTTACAGTGGTAAAGGCTTAGTTGATGTCCTAGTGAATACTTTGTAAGAACATTTACAGTACGTATATCGAAGAATATATCTTTATCACTAAAAGAAAGTGTAGAAGAAAAATAGTTAACCCGTCGAACCTTACAAAGAAAAAGGAAATCTAGACAATCCAGATAGTTTTCCTTCCGTTAAAAGTCAATCTATACTATTATACTGTTTTCATTTGTTTTCGTTTGGAATTTTGCCTAAGAAGAAGAAATGAAGTGTACTTAATTCAATTGCATATCCATAATTCAATATTCATTATAAATAGTTATATATATTAGTCTTGGAAAAATTATATATTCATTTAAAAACAAACTGCTTTGAACTAGCTTTTAGTAAATGTGAGTGCTCTTAGGTCTGCACTTTTTGCCTTTGTCTTTTTTAAAGTTTATGTGATTAGTGTCGATCTGATGTCAAACTCTTACTAACTGATTTTTACAGTTTGCTCTTGTATTGGGCTATTACACCACTATCTCAGGTTTGGATTGGTAACTGCCACTCATAAACATTAAAAACCCCTGCAACATCATTTATAGGACAGTCCTGTGTCTGGAGTCTGTTATCAAGTGATTGTCCTTGATTCATTTCTGTCACTATCAAGTTCCGGCTTATTGTTTAGTAAAAGTGAGGTAGTTGGTTTTCTCTTTTGAATTGTTTCACATTTTGTCATTCCGGGGCGTTTCATAGCTTTTTTATATCTATACGGTATGAGTTTTTGGTCATTATTGAAGGCCGTATAGTGTGTAACTAGTTCACATCCTCATCCTTTGGACTTTGGTGGATAGTTGTCTCATTGGTAATCATACCACATTTCAATATTTTTACATTTATATTGCTCCATTTGTCAATCGCTCACGCAAATTCTTTTCGAAGTAGTTGCATGAAATTTAGGTTCAAATTTAACTACTCGTAATGGTAAGGTGAATCAGATTTGCACTATGAAGATCCACCATTAAAAAGGGCAAACGTGATCAATGAGCCTTTCTTCTTCTTGCCCATGGAAAAAAAACGACGAAAAGACAAACAATAGTCACAAGACACTACACAGCACAGAAAGAAAACTAAAAAAATGAACAACACAAAACCCACTAATGGCACCCGTCTTGTTGTTCACGGTTAGTATTCGATTATTACACAATCGAGGAAAAGAGGAAAGGATTATGGCTACGATGAAAGGAGCATCAATTCGTTGTAATCCGTGACACTAATATTCCATACTTAAAGATTTACAGTTTCTAACCGCTAAATGAGTTTTCGTGATTGAATATTCTGTGTTTTACGCAAATTTTCTAAAAGGAATATTCTTGCTGTATTGACCTGGCCGTCTTTGGTATTTAAGTCAGCGTAAATAACTCTGACCCGAATTTGCCACAAATGAGGATTGACTCATCTAGCGTTTTAAACCTAACTAAGTACTGCTATGACTATGAAAATAAAAATAACAATCTCGTAAATCAGATGTCTGAGAGAACATGGTAAAGTTATAAGTTGTGTTTGGCTTTGAAGTATTTGCGAGTACTCTTTGATTGGTCAAGCCATTTCAAACAGGTTTTTACAATTTGTTTGTATGTTGTTTTGTTACACTTCTTTCCCAGGTCAGGGCGAGATTTATAAACATAAACTCCACCAAATTCTTTATGTGTATGTCCCCTAATCAAGAGCCTGTATTTCTGTGGTTTTAGTTAGTTTCTGTCTGTTGTATTTTTTTTTCGTGTATGGTTTTGTTATAAATCATGTCAAGATTTTGACATTGTTTTTTCACAGACCAAAAATAAGGGTAAAAATGATTTTTGAAGTTTTGTCCAATCCCTTTTACCTTGTTCTCTGCCTATATAAAACAATGACTTTTTGTTAATCTGAAAAAGAACATAAAAATAAGGTTCTCAGTTTTTTAAATACTTTATATTTTAAGGGTTAAAGTCAGCGTTAATAATTCTGACTCGAACTTGTCAGGGTTAAGGATAGTTTCATCTAATAAAACAAAACAAAAATTAAAATTCCTCAAATTGATTAACAGATTTCTTAATGTAAATATCTTATAGTATCTGCTACTTATCACAATATTAAATCTCTTTTATTGTGATCTTCAACCGAAGACATTCAGAACCTTTATTTCAGATACAGAGCTGCAAAAGAAGTGTATTTAATTTGCTTTTGTTTTTGTAAAGAGTTTTGTGTCGTGTATTATTACAACATATCCTTTCTTTTTTTTTAATTTCAACTACCATTGTAAGTAAAGCAAACAGCAAACAGCGATTTGGAAGTTTTTACTTTATCAATATACGGAAAGACAATTGGTCCTTATATGATACTACTATATTTTGAGACAATTAAGGCACGACAATTCAGCAAGGTCATGTGTATTCAATTAAACAAAGTCGAGCTTTATAATCAATACTCTCTCTAAAAAACAACGTTTTGGCCATGCAACTGATTTATAATACCTCATCTGCAAACTTCTTGTTCATAGAAAAATAAAACATTTCGTGCATTACAAAGATCAGGTTTACATAGAGAGAAGGGTTTCCCGATGCTTAACACAGCTAAACGTTAGTGGATCAAGTAATCCTCAACCCACATAGCTGCTGAGAACAATAAAATAAAGTTGTTAATATGACTGTCAAATGGAACAGTAACTCAACAATGGTAACAAAGACAGAAGGTAAAGGTATAATAATGAACAACAGCCGGTATCTTATGATAATAGTGATATAATTTGTTCATAACGTTAACTATAAACTTAATAGTTATTTTCAGAAAAACGTGAAGTTTTACAGTTTCTTTGATTTCTTTCTTTCCGTAAATTCCTGGAAGGTTACTGATAATCTATCGATATTGATCCCTTTCAAGTTATGTCTTTGTGAGCAAGTTTTCATTCCAAAAACATTTGATGGATATTGAAAAGAAATCAAGGAATGGTTATAAAGGAGACTGTGGTTCATAAGTGTTTCTCGTTTCTCGTTTGTTTTTTATATAGATTAGACCGTTGGTTTTCCTGTTTGAATGGTTTTACACGAGTCATTTTTGGGACCCTTTATAGCTTGCTGTTCGGTGTGAGCCAAGGCTCCCTGTTGAAGGCCGTACTTTGACCTATAATGGTTTACTTTTACAAATTGTGACTTGGATGGAAGGTTGTCTAATTGGCACTCATACCACATCTTCTTATATCTATGAAATAGTTATGTAGCATTTGTTTCAGTTTAAATCCACACACAAATTGCTTCCTTTTCAGACAGTGTTGTGTTTTTTTCATAACTGATTCAATCTTTTCATAAAAGGAAACCCTCTTTCAAATTTGAATGGGAGTCTGACATGTACACGTAATTCTTTGATATTGGTACAAGTCAACTTCACACAAGAATGTTCTGAATTCCTGAAATTCATTCTGATACTAGAACAACATGTTCTGATGAAAGTAAAACCCGAGACATAAAAGTCAACCTTAACAAGAGATAAAGAAAACTTAATGATGAAAAGATTATCATCAGAATGATGAACAGTTGACAGATATATACTTCCAACTACTTTAGTGTAAGTGTAAATTAAATAACTGCACACTGTGATAATTCGTCCATGGAAAAGTTTATTTTAGTTATTTTTTCTTTTTAATTTTCTATGAAAATTATTTGTTCAATAAAAAAGATTCAGTCTAAATTTTAAAATTATTAAAAATGTATTACACAAATTAAAAGCATTTAAAAGGGTTATCATTTTTACAACAATGCATGGTGTCAATCAATAAAAAATATATAAATGACAATCAATAATCAAATGTAAACTAAAATGATCAAAGTAATGATATTTCGTCATTACGTAAACCATTACAATTCAACATATCAGTATTGAAAGGTTGACCATGATTTGTGGTTTAGATGCAGCAGTATTTTACCAGAAAAAGGAATAAAAATTCAACATTTTTTTTTATATATTTAATTTTTTTTTTATTTGAGCAGGCAGTGACATTTAATTTCAGTGTCAGTTGTTACTGCTATTTTTTACATTTTTTTCATATATATAAATGATCTGTTTTGGTGTTGATAATGATAAATACTTTTGTAAAAATATGATTAGCATAGAACGGATCTTCACAACCCAAAGGAACTAAAAAAGTTGTGATCAGATGATGTTTTTTAAATAAAAGCAATCAAAAAAATGTATCACTTCATAAATAGATACCAGTCAAAACCATCTACGTTTGGATTGAATAGGCATAATTTATAGAGAATTACAACTACAAACAACCTGGATTAAAACTGCCTGAATAAGTTAGTTGCTGAATATTAAAACATCATGAAATTCAATAAGATGGAAATCATTTTGATAACTTTTCACCTTAAATAATTAATAATATTTCATAAATTTATGAAACAAATGTCTCACAATTGTATGTTGAATGTGCATTATTACCCTTGTGTATTTGGTGTGATGGTTTACGCACAATATAATGTTGTCTATAATTTTACATTGTTCTTAAAGCTGATTTAAAAATTTACAACTTTTATTGATAAATCGTTAGAATAAAACTTACATACTACTTTCAATTTCAATGTTTAATTTTAGCGTTAACCATGTTTTAAAAACGGTAATTTGTTTGTTTCTTCTCTTTCTAAGTTTTTTATTATTATTATTATCATTATTATTATTATCATTATCATTATTGTATCAAAATATAAATTGAATATGTTTTTTTTTATTTGAACAGCATTGAATGAAATGATCCTTATATGGCAATGTAATAAAAGATTAATATGTAGGCAATGTTAAACCTTTCAGAATATGTATTGCACTTAGTACTTCTTTATGTCAAAATGACACACACAAGTTTTATGAAACACTCTTTCAATTGCAACTGTCAGTGATTCAATAAAAAAAATTTAAAATCTGCAAAAATTTCATGCACTGCAAATGAACATGAATGACATTTTTTGTTCAAGAATTAAGAATATTTGAATGTCTGTCAATGTGTGATTAATGACAGCACAATATACATGAATTTTTCTTGAAAAACAGGAACAGTTCAAAATGTCACGAACTGATTTTTTTCATTAACGGTTCATGAATATTGTCAAATCATGAATAAAAACTTGAAATTTGCTACCCATGAACCATTCTTGTCCATTTGCCTTTCATGAACACTTATAAAAGTATTCATGAATATACGTGTATCATTGTGTAATCGTGATCTTTTTCGGTGAACTATTGATAAATATTTTATGAACATTTAGTTATTGTTAATCACCTTGCAGAGGAAAGTCATCCCATGCATGTATTTATATAAACAACTTGTTTCAAGACTTTTTTTAACAGAAGCTTTTTATTTCATTTTCCACAGATTAAGAAAAATTAATGATAAGATTAAATTAAAAAGCAAAGTCATGATGAAAAGTTAGAGAACCCCAGGAATAGTAATGAAACCAAAGTAATGCAAGTTAAAAAAAAACTTGTTCGTCTGTATAACTAAAATATATCTACAATATTAAATATTTGAAACATCTGAATATGTAAAAAATGTCAAATACTGCTACAGCATAACCATTTTTGAATTTGAATTGGATTTTTATGTAAAGATTTAGAAATTTTTATTTCCTGGTGCTAAAATCTAAATATATTTCAATCGGAAAAGCTGCTGATAGTTATTAATATTATATTTAATAAATCTGTGTGAAATGCACCATGGAAAAGATCGACAAAATTGGACATAAGATTGAATGAGATTAAAAGATTTTTTTGGGGAAAAAAACCGTAGAAGAAAGTGTTCTGAAAAGTTAGTACCATTTCTGTTGAAAACTCTTTTTAATCTCTGAAAAAAGAAAAACAGATATGAAAATATACTTTTCATTTATAATGTCAAAACATAGTATTCAAATGTCAAAATTTAATTCTGAATCAGATCTTCACAAAAATAAATATTTGTTCCGTCTAAACTCAAAACAAGAAAAAAAAAACTGAGTCTCTCTGTTCCGCTGTCGACACAAATATCTTAAGTTATCCAAAAGAGAATAAAAAGATATAATAAGGTTCAACTAACAATAGAAGTAAGAGGAAAGAGTAAATAATTTTGATTACAATTACTATCAAATTCTAAAAATGATCAGAATGTTAGTGTCTCTGTATAAGCCTCTGTGAGATAATTTTTTGGTACCAATCCAAATTTACCATTTAATTCACCTACCCACCATGAGCGGTCATCAAAATCTCTATTTATAATATAAATAATATCACCCTTTTTAAAGGACAGCTCTTTATCATTATCCCCAGTACAATCCCATTTCCCAATATACATATTTTCAAAGTCATCCTTATTTCTGTAAGACTTTAGTTCCTCCTCCTCAACTGGTGGTGGAGGTGGGGGAAGTTCTTCTGTCTTTTTATATGGCTCCCTTATAGGTGGAAGTGGTCTGGATTGGTAAGGATCCTCATCAGGAACGGGTGGCGGCGGAGGACGTGCAATTCGAGGTGGAGGTACAGATGGCACAGAAGGAGTTGATGCATCTTCATACAACTCATCTTGTATTGGGGCAGATGCTCCCTCATCATAAATATCTTCTTGTATAGGTTTTGGTGGATAAGCTACTGGTTCTGCTTCATAAATATCTCCTTCTGTTCCATCATCATAAAGTTCTTGTGACTCATGTGCATCGTCTCCAACAGGCTCATATATATCACCTAAAATGAATTAAACATCTTATTAACTCTTGGTTAAATAATTTGACCTTGGTAAAATTTTAATGTACTTTTTCGACTTTCAAAAGTAAGAATATTGATTCTTGGGATCGTTAATCATTTCTTTTAAGCATCGGTATTTACTAAAAAGATATACATGTGTGTTTCACACTTAATCTCTATTCAAATAGGTTTATTATTTCATACACATATAATGCAGTTGTAACAACAAGTGAAACGGCGAGCTATTGCTCATTGATGATATCCCCGCCGCAACTGGATAATTTTAATAGTGTAAAAATATGTAAGTGTTCGGTAAACATGAAGTTGTTGAGTTGTGAATCTGAAAACGCATCACACGGTATAGCTGACTTATATAAACCCTGAAACCAAATTTCAGAAATCCTTATGATGTAGTTCCTGAGAAAGATGCGACGAAAAATATTCATGGGACGGACGGGCGGACTGACGGACCGACAGAGGTAAAACAGTATATCCCCGCTTTTTTAAAGCGGGGGTATAAAAAGCATTCTATACATACTCTAGATATTAGACAGCATTATTCTCTTTAAGTATTGTCTCTGTTCAATAACAATTGATAAAAGCGAAATAAATCTACTCTATCTGCATTTATATTTGAATTCCTATGTTTGAAATGTTTCAAATAAGAAGGTTAATGCAGAAAATGTTCGCAGATCAGTGCGGATTGCTGTTGCTCTTAAAACAGCAAAATGTTAACCTGAACTGCCTTATGCTCTTTGTAAGAGTACTTTCAAACTGAGCATACAATTTTTAGACAATAATATTCCATGGTTAATAAAGGCAACAGTAGTGAACCGCTGTTCAAAAGTCATAAATCGATTAACAGAAAACAAATCCGGGTTACAAACTAAAACCGAGGGAAACACATCAACTATAAGAGTAAAACAACGAAATAACAGAACACAGAAGTGCAACAACAAAAAAACAACAATGCAACATTCATAGAAACGAACTATTAAATAACAAGTGCCATATTCCTGGCTTGGTAATATTTTCAACTGAGCAAGAGGTCTGTAACATATAATCAATTTAACAAAGGATTAAAACCGAAGGCTAAAACTAACCAAATGATGAGCAATTGTATTTTCCTTAGGGAAAATACTAATCTTTAAAAAAAATTAATAAAAAGATTTAAAATAACAACACGAGAAATAAAGGGGTCATTTCAGTGCTTATGAATCTGGACATTTATTCGTGGATGTCTTATTTACTATTTGATATATGTTGATTCCACAATAAGGTTATTAAAGGATGAAATATAGCTGGCATCATTAATAAATTATAATGACTATGGTGAATATTTTCACACCTACAAAGTGTTTACATATTGTTATAGACCACTAAATATTGAATGTTTAAAAAAGGTTGTAGGCGAATGCTTTAAAGCATATTTGTCTTATAAATACTTTAAATAAACATAGAATAAAGAATGATAATTTTCGAATAAAATAGATATCTGGAACTGTCCTTTCATAGTCTGTTATCAAAAAAAGGATATCCCTTATTTTGTAAATTGTGCATTAACTTGTCATGTCACATATTTGTTGACAATTATAATTGGCACCGTTGGTAATACTTGAAAATAATCATAAAAAACAGTTGAAGCAACAGAAACACTATCAATAGAGAATTACCAAATATTGGGATAATTTTGAAAAAAACAAAAATAGAAAATCGGTTTAGTTTCTGGTTGGAATACTTAAGTATTTGCATATATCATCACAATTAGTTCAAGAATTGTTTTCTTCTTTTGTAAAATTGAGAATGGAAATGGAGAATATTTCAAAGAGACAATAACCCGACCAAAGAGCAGACAACAGCCGAAGGCCATCAATGGGTTTTCAACGCAGCGAGAAAATCCCGCACCCGGAGGTGGTCCTCAGCTGGCCCCTAAATAAAATTGTGTACTAGTTCAGCGAAAATGGACGTCACACTAAACTCCAAAACATATAAATGATCTAAAATTAAAACACATACAAGACTAACAAAGGCCAGAGGCTCCTGACTTGGGACAGGCGCAAAAATGCGGAGGGGTAAACATTTTTAAATGTGTAATCTATAAATTATTCTTACTAGCGTTATGCAAGTATACATTTGATTCATACATGTGAGTATTTTGGAAAAAGTGCTTAGATTACTGCCTTAGAAACGGAAAACTTATTAAAAACATACCGTTAAAAATATAAAAGTAGAATGTTTAAATATTCTTAGTGCATTGTTGAGTTATCTAAAAACAATTAAATTGCTGATCAGTGATAAATGTTTCTTTTTAGTTTTGCATCATATAAATCAAAATGTTTACAAATACATTGAACAAATAACAGAAGCACATACTATTTTCAGTGCACAATTTTCTTTTATAATTTTTGATAGTCCATGTCATCCCAAAGTTTACCCCATCAATTATTTAAATAAAGAATTTCAATAGAATGTGCAAAAGTACATCATTTGAGTAAGATTAGGTGAAAGTTTCACAAAATTCTTTCAATTGGTTCAGGTGCAGTTGCGGATACAAAAATAGGACAAAAGGACGAACGAACATACAGACGGATGGTTTTACAATCACTGCATACCACTATTTAAAGCGCGGGGGATTAAAATGGTATGGCAAAAAGAAGTCATGCCAGCTACATAATCCCTTACCATCATCGTCGTTATCAAAATCTTTCATTTTTGTAGGAACAACAGCACTTGCTTGTTGGACTGCAGTTTTCCATTCTTCGACATCACTTTTAGTTGTAGTCATCAACTGGAATAAGTACATTTTTAAATAATCAAAATAAGAAAATATCAGAACTTCCTCACCTCATACATAAATTTAGTTTTTAACCGAACAAATGTAACCACAGACATAGATTATGTAATCACAACAAGATACTTGCAGTTTTGTGCATTTTTTTATTTTTGTCCCCCGCGCGACGCGTTGCGTGGACATAGAAATACCGGGCGTCCGTCCGTCGGGTCTTGGTAGCGCTCTCGTGTACAATTCTTGCCAGATTTGTATAAAACTTATATCATAGATCTATATCATCATTGTCTCGGACAAGTTCGAAAATCAGTGCCGATCAATAATTTTTGAAAGAGTTATACCCCTTGGAAATATTAATCATATGAAAAATTGCATTGTTATCTCTCTCATGTGTACAATTCTTGACAGATTTTTATCAAACTCGTATCATAGATTTATATCAGCAATGTCTAGGAAAAGTTCGAAACTCAGTGTCGATCAACACTTTTTGAAAGAGTTATGCCCCTTGGAAATATTTATCATATAAAAAATTGCATTGTTAGCGCTCTCATGGGTACAATTTCATGCCAGATTTCTATGAAACTTTTATCTTAGGTTTATATCAGTAATGTCTCGGACAAGTTCAAAAATCAGTTCCGATCAATTATTTGTAAGAGAGTTACGCCCATGGAAATAATGATTATATGAAAATTGCATTGTAAGCGCTCTCACATGTACAATTTTTGACAGATATTTATCAAATCTATATCAAAAGTTTATATCTTGGACATTTCAGAAAATCAGTGCCAATCAAATATTTTTCAAAGAGTTATGCCCCTTGTAAATATTAGTTATATCGGAAATTACATTGCACTTTCTTTCAAGCCTTCATTTCTCAGATATGTATAAAAAAAAAATTAAAAAAGCCGTTGAACAGATAAAATATGTGCAATGCGGAGGACATTTGAACTCTGTTCTTTTATTAAATTTGATTATAACAGCATATTCTAAAATGTTAACTTTACCTTAAAAAACAATGAGAATGATGCATTTTCAAAAAGGCATTAAGACTAGCTCAGTTCCTTTGCTATAAATTCCACAAATAAGATATTCCAATTACAAACTTTGTTTCTAATTTTAGATTTTTGCGCAGGGACTCATTTCCTATGTAAGACATACAATATCCCTGTTTTTAACAAATCAAGTGGAACCAGCATTGTGTTTTATGCAGGTAGGATATGACAACGATTTTGACTGTTTAAGTGCACTACAGATTTATGGTTAAGATAGGATTTGTCAAATAGATGTAACAGCTTTCACATATAAAACATGCTCTTTCCATTAGATTGTGTTATCTGTCCACAGAATGTTGTTTACAATTATATGCTTTCTTTGAACACTTCCATTTTGATCAAATACAATGTATATGAGGTCACTGGATTTTTTTTCAGTAGATATATGCTACAACATCATAGTTTTCATGTGTTTCATATATCACTAAATCTTAAATGATTTAGACAGCAAAAACTAATTCGTGGACCTCTGATATTTCCATATTATTGAAATTCTTTGTAAACTAAATTCTGTTGACGGAATCTCAAGAAATTATTCTTTGTCACCTTTTTTAAGAGCATTTTATATATTGATAGGTCTATTTCATAATTTTTAGTTTATTCCATCTCTGAATATTCAGATGTAGCTTAACAATTTTTAAATGATTACGAATTTCACACCTATTAGTATTTCTTCTCAAATACTATAGTTCACCTAAATTATACTAACTTCATAGGTTCTGTTGTTGGCGGAACTAACAAGTTTAAAGCATAGTTCCTTCTTCTTATCATCCTTCGTCATTTCTGGTGCTTCTTCAAAACTATAATCTGCTAATCTGAATGCTCCATTCATTTTCTTTGATGTCTTACCATCAAAGTAGTAAAATATATTGCCTTTGATGACACACCATCTCTTTTGCATATTCCTAAGACCTGTATAAAATTGAATGAATAAAAAATTACTGTGGTTTAAAACACTAGAATTTATATCGTAAAATCAATACCGAACAATAAACTAATTGCTTTGTTATAAAATAGGCCGTTAGCTTTCTCAATTGAATTGTTTCATATTTTTCATGTCGGGACCTTTTATAGCCGACCATACGGTATGGGTTTTTCTCATTGTTGAAGGCCGTAAGGTTGCCTATAATTGCTTACATCCACTTCATTTGAACGTTGGTGGATAGTTGTCTCATTGGCAATCATACCACATCTCCTTATTTTTATATCAACATGAATCTAATAGAATTCATGTAATTCAGATCAAGAAAATTAAAACAAAAAGTATAACAAATTTACCGAACTCCAAAACACAAAACAATATCAAGCCCTTCATTGTCTAATTCCTGAATAATATTAGGGCATCACCAGCCCAGTAGCCATTATTTCGGTACTGGCATGAAAATACGGATATTGTGTTATTAAAATTTGCTGTTACAAAATTCGGAAATTAATTGAAATTAAGGAATATATCTCACTGTACCGCGTGCTATTAGACATGTTTTATTAAACTTGGTGCAAGTAATGCACATAATGCTGTATAAATCTTTTGTATTTATTTCATGTCCATATATATATACATATATAAATATAATGTTTCATGAACCACTGTACTTGTTATATTGAATATCACTGAAGCAACAAATAATACAATTTACGAACTTCCTTCACCAGAGGCCCCCATAAGTAACAACGGAAATACTGACTCGAAAACTCCGGAAGGTTACAATGCTACAGATGTTCTACCAAATTGTTTGCCTTCGCTTTATTTGGCAAAACCTTTCGGAGTTTGGGTCCTGAATGCTCTTCCACTTTGTACTTTATTTGGCCTTTTAACTTGTTTGATTCGAGCTTCACTGATGAGTCTTTTGTAGACGAAACGCGCGTCTGGCGTAGAAAATTATAATCTTGATATCTTTGATGAGTTATGTCATTTAAACACTTGTATTCAAATAATAATAGTGTTTTAAACAAAATAAAGATAAAAAATCACAACGCATTGTTTTTGGGAAAAAATGCATTGTGATTTTTTATTTAGATTTTTTTCTAAATCAACTATAAGACATTTTACACATCACTCTAAACACTATATGGTTTCATACTTTTCTGTGTTTAACATAAACAAATTCAATCTGACATAAAAACTTGTTTTCCTGCTTCAATGACATAACATAACTTAGTTAATGGTTATAAACCAATGTCAGATAAACATAAAATCTCAAAACCGTTAATCTTTTGACAATATACTTTTACATTATTTTATATGCATTTGTAAAAGATCAAATGTTGTAAAGTATAATTGGCTTTGCACAAGCTCTCATTAGCTGCGAGTATTTGTGTCTATTGTCTTTGTGTTAGTTGTAATTATGTTTCGTGTCAATGTGCCATTTCCATCTGATTTTATACAGTTTATGCTTATGTTGTGCTGTTGAACCTTGTCCAAAGTTAAGGGGTGTTGAGCGCTCACAAACATGATGGTTAATCCGTCTCATTATTCAGATGGCTGTTCCAAATCAGGTGACTGTAATTCAGTGGTTGTCGTTGGTTGCTGTCTGGCATATTTTTCGTTTATTATTTTGTCATTAATCAGGCATTTTGGTGTTCTCTTTGAATTGGTTTACATTTTGTTATGTCGGGGACTTTTACAAATGACTATGCGGTATATATTTTGCTCATTGTTAATAGACGTATTGTGACTATATTCAATTACATCTATGCTTCTTGGACTCTGACGGACAGTTGTTTCATTGGCAATATACCACATCTCCTTTTTATTTATAGGACGATAATGTACGAAACAGAAAAACACACCAACCATTTTCACATTCCAAAACGTCATACCAGGTACTGATTGAGTCATTGATACACAATTGATCTTCAATATTTTTGAATAGAATGTCTGTCTGGAACTACTGTTTTGTATGGTACAAATGAAGTAAACATAATTGTATGTAGTTAATAGCAGTTTTCCATATTTTAACAAGGCTTCTTTTTTGGCATACACTCGCAGTTGATGGTTATTTGGGTTTTTTACCGTACAATATCAGTTTTACAGTGCGTACATGATTTTTTCGCAATAGACAGATGTTTAAATAATAGGCTCAGCTCCAAATTCCACCCTTCTAAAACAGTGTGGAATGTTTTAAAATAATCTGTAAAAAGACAGAAACTGCAATCGATTTAAGAATGACTGCACAAAAGTTTTTGTGCGATCTCATATCAAATGTAAAAGGAAATTTTAATTGATATTCATTTATGACTTCCCTGGATGTGCAACTCTATTATAACTGCTATCATACATGTTTACCAAAGTGTTAACTGTTTCAATACATACATATGTATGGATCTAAAGAAAAAAATAACCATACCAAGCACTGTACTCCCCTCACCACAAAAAAAAAGATAGTTTGTGTGGAAATGCTATAGCTTTTCAGAATTCCCGGGAATAATACTGAAATTTTGTAGTCAATAGCACTGACTTTATTTGGCAATTAATTTTCATAAGATTATAAGTGTCTTCGTCTTAAAATACAGTATAACTATTTCAAACAGTAGTCTTCATCTGAAAGTTGATTTGAATCTGGCAGAACGATTTTCCCTATATTAACTCATTTAAGCAGTCACCTTATTTGTACAAAATTATTGTTCCGACTAGATTTTTTCCGCGAATGAATACTTTATAACCATATCGATTAGGGGGATAAGTTTTACTAGATTTGATGCACTACGAAATACTTAATTTAGTTGTCAGTTGAAGGAATGCTAAAACAAATTGAAATTAAAAAAGTCAAAAAGGAATTTATTCCACATATAAAACTGGTTATTTGTACTACAGTCAGATATCCATTGTTTGCATTTTACAGAGTAACTAGTATTGTGATAACTTTTAAAACTTAAAACTTAATCAAATTCAGTGTACATTAAGACAGTGTGTTGAATTTGGAAGCTTATCTGGGAGATCACCTTTCTTAAAATGTCACTTTAGTCATACCTCATAAGTCCCTACTTGATACAAGTTTGACTTTGAAATTAAAGTGCACGAAGATAACCATCCATCTATGATCAGTGAACAGACACTTAACGTTTATCCTAATGCAAAAGGATAACAATTTTTTTCTTTAACTATCCTGATCATCCAGCAATAAAGAAACTTTCGCAAACTTTTGGTGATATTAGCATGCTTGCAATCCAAACCATATAAGAATACCTGTTGGTTTTTTCTTTTCCAAAAATCCAGCCTTTGTGAAATTTGTAAGTTCCACGACTGGCACATTTGGAATGTCTGCATTACCTGTAATATACAACCAAACATTTAATTTCAATTTTAAATTGACATATACTAATTTCTTGTATTTCAGGTCGAGAATAACAGTTTGCAAAATGTAAGTAGAAATTATTTACCATGTTATTTTATTTTGTATATGACCAAACATAGAATTTATCTTGTTTGAAAGGACAAAGTGAAAAGGGAGTTGTTCACTAACTCATAATTTTGGCCCTAAAATTCTGAATTTTTTTCACTGCCAAAATGTGGTGAAAATTTGATGAAAACATGCGCTAAAATGTCCAATAGTTTCGCAGCTTAAAAAGATTTTCTCCAATTGCGTCATTAGTGACGTATTTGTCACGTCATAATGGAGGTGAATTTCGTAAAATCCTGATTTTTTGCAGAATTCTGCAAAATTTATAACAGTTTTCTGAAAAATTAACAGTAGCGCCACCCTTCCCTTCGCTTTTGTGGTGATATTCTTTATATACCATATCCTTTACTTTTCAACAAAAATTTCAATGGGCGAGGGGGTAGCGCCACAAATAAAATCATGAAAAAAGGTGGAAAAGTTTAAAATTTCTAGGAATATGGATGAAAATGAAATCTTTTCTTACTTTAGGCTAATATCTTTATAAATATGAAGCAGATCTACAATTTTTCTTATTATACTTTCAAATGTCATGCATATATCAATACATACACATTATATTTACTTTAAGATCTAAAGTTAAACAAAATACACCTTTACAGGGCCGTTTATTGGGGTTCCTGGCTCTACTCATTTACACATTATAAATTCTTTTACTTGCTGTTTATAAATAAGGTTGAAATAAATAAAATCCATCAATATCATATCTAAGTACGTTTACATGTCTAAAAAAAGACTTGTTTCTGGGTCAACCTTTTTGACTGCAGCGGAGGTGCTCTTTTGTCAGTATTGCTATCCAACAATAAAAAAGCAATTTAATATAAGGATTTATCAGTGCCTTTATTCTTAACAGTTATTATATATAAACACTTCAAACTTTTGGAAATTATTTTAGATTAAGGAAAATATCCCACTCACGCAAAGCTCTGATTCCTTGCCCAACTTTGGCTATACTCTTTTGTCATTTTTGGTTTATAAGCTCTTCATATTTTTTATAAGCTTTTGATTTTCGAATATTTTGGCCTCGAGCATCACTGAAGAGACATTTGTTGTAGAAATGCGCATCTGGTGCAGAAAAATTGGTACCGTTAATGTTATTCATGCTTCAAGGAAATTTCCAATCAAACAAACCTGATTTATTTAATCCTTTATATACACATAAAACGATAATCTTGACCAGGATACCAAAATAAATATGTTATTTGCTAACCATTCAGGAGCACCTGAGATCATCCCATGCTTCTGGTGGGAATCAAACTTAAATTTTCTATGATGTGTTTTGTGTACTGTTTTTTGTCTTTTGGTCGTTTTTCGTTTTTATTTGTCATGGCGTTGTTAGTTTGTCGCCGACTTATGAGTTTTAAAATCCTTTGATATCCTGTGCCTCTCTTTTATAATGGAATTTGATGCGACTGTCATACAAGTGAGAGGTTTAGCTAGCTATAAAACCAGGTTCAACCCACCATTTTCTACATAAGAAAATGCCTGTACCAAGTCAGAAATATGACAGTTGTTATCCATTCGTTTGACGTGTTTGAGCTTTTGATTTTGCCTTTTGATTAGGGACTTTCCTTTTTGAATTTTCCTCGGAGTTCAGCAGTTTTGTGATTTTTCTTTTTATATACACCAGGATTTGAGATATTGATTGATCAAAAGATGAAAGTTTAAACGACACTATATTCTAGTCCCAACTGTGATCCTCACCAGAAGCTACATATATATGGTGAAATTGCATCATGTATTATTATTTAAGAGATCCTGGAGTGTCCTTGTTTTACTGAAGGTACCAGGCATTTGAATCAATCATTATCATTTTTTTTTCTCTCTCAGAAATATGCAATTTGAATTTCTATGAACTTTATAGTTACATTTGTTTTTTCTCTCCTTGAGTTCATCAATGGATGAATTGGTTTGCCTATTAAGATTTCTCTGTTAACCAGTATTATATCTGTCAGCTAAGTTAAAACATCCATAAATTTCAACGAAAAATGTTAACAATCTTAATTCTAATTGTGAATGCATATTTTCGAATTGGTCAATTTCTATTCAATTGTTTTGAAATGGTATACGGGCCAGAAATGTACAATATACAATTTTCTATTAGTATATTTTCATTTTAGTATGGTTTTGAATACTATGTATGACACATACAAGATGCTCCTCTTGTCAATTTTTTATCCCATTATAAACATTTGCTATTAGTCAAACACAAACCCAAATGTATAGATATGTAGGAGTAGTCCAATAAATTGTACACACGTACTTTGTAAAAGTAATCTTGACATCAAATTCAAATTAATTAGATACATACACTTTTGAATTTTTTGCATTACTAATTTTAATTACATTTTATAAATAACATAATTTGCAAATAAGATTGAAACTACCCATTTATGAGTCATTTTAATAAAAAAAAAAAAAGAAGAAGCAATTACGTGATCACTATACTCACAATCAGAATAAGCATCTTCTGTTTCATCTGTGTTAGAACTACCACCAGTTCTTGTTGATTCATCATCTTTTGGAAGATCTGTAATACACATTCATATAGCCATAAGACTGAATAATCATGTATTTAAAAGAGAAGAAAATGTACTAATTTTTGATATCTTCCTTGAGAACAAGTATGTGTTATCATGAGTTCCTACTTGCGTACAGTTATGATAATGGCTACATACGGATACATTATTTAAATAACAATACAAAATAGAAATTACACAGATACTTATTTCAAACAACTTGTTAAAAGCATTGAAAGCTTGGATCTAGGATGTTTGGTTTAGGTGAAATACAGTGATATGTTTCCCTATTGCAGCAGGAGGATGACATTTTCTGCATAATTTTTTTGAAGATTTACATTTAAATTTTTTTTTTACTTTTTGTATGCAACTCTCATTCTATCACTATTGGTACCCAGAATTCATGAATTTAAAATTTACATATATCAGTTGGTTTCTAAGATCTCTATATGGTTATATCAGGAAAACTTTTCAATCAACTTTGATAAACATAATAGAAAATATTTTCATTTTAGTATGGTCTCGAATACCATGTGTGACACATACAAGTTGCTCCTCTCGTCAGTTTTTATCTCATTAAAATAATTGGCTATTAGTCAAACACAAAAACAAATGTAAAATATGTAGGAGTAGTCCAATATATTCCCAAGGAGAATCCTGCTAATAACTAAAAAAATATGGCATTCTCTAATACTTATTCCTTCCATCACTCAATCTTCTGTTTTTGTTTTTTTCTCAATTTAGATTAGAGCAGGCATCATGTGGGTATTCCAATGCATCAATACATAAAACAATTCATATGCAATGAAGTGATACACAAGGATTGATAAATTGATCTGGGTAAAGATGATACTAGCAATTTATGAAGTTATCAGATAATTCATTTCATAATTTTCTAAGAATAAGGGAAATAATTTAAATGCAATAGAACGAAGCTCGGACTTGATCTGTATATGCTCATAAGATAACTATATACACAAAATCAGGGCATCGGGGCAATATCTTCATCCATTACCGTAAAGTGTCAAAAACTATAGATGTGGGATGTGATCAACTCATATTTGATCTGTAACTAATTATGATATAATTACATACCAAAATTCAGGCCAATTAGTTCATCCATTATAAAATTATACATGCCATTTTACTTTTGTTTATAATAGTAGTACGACAAGAATGTTAATACACATGCTTATCATTTCGTAATGTACAGAACTGACTATATATTGTTAGTAAATTGCTTAACATTTAAACATTTTTTTTATAACTATAATCCTCTTAGTATTTGTTTGAGATCTGAATTTGGACATAAAATCTAATATAATGGCAAAATAATAAAGTTAAAAGTGATTTATTATTTTAGGAGGCTGATGTACTCTTCTAAATGCATCTATCATCACTAATTTGATGGTTGGTCACTCCGTTTCTGTTATCTGAGCATAAATATAATGGCAAAATAATAAAGTTAAAAGTGATTTATTATTTTAGGAGGCTGATGTACTCTTCTAAATGCATCTATCATCACTAATTTGATGGTTGGTCACTCCGTTTCTGTTATCTGAGCATAAATGATCAATGAAGTGTAAAATTTACATCAAAGTTAAATTAAAATTTGTGAGAGCTGTCATATCCTTGTGACCTACCAAAGTAAACTTATCACCGGGTTCGTACTAACATGAGCAACATGGCGGGTTCCACATGTAGAGACGGCTTACCCTTATGGATCACATGAGATCATCCCAGGTTTTTTGTGAGGTTCATGTTGCTCAGTTTTTAGTTTTCTATGTTGTGTTTGTTAAATTGTTGTTTGTCTTCTGGTCGTTTTTATTTTTTGGCATTGCATTGTCAGGACGTTTCGACTTATGAGTTTGAATATTCCTTTGGTGTAAACAGCCATCCGTCATCACCATGATTTCATACAGTACATTTCAAAAGAGTTATGCACCAATACTTCTCAAAACAACTGTAAAAATACAACTGTGTTTGGAGATTATGTATTATATATATCATATCAGTGAAAACCACATAATCACATGTATATTTGTTTTTTTTCCCCAATTTATTAGAATATGAACAATTTAAATAAAACACATTATCGATCTTGGTACAAGTGTTCACTGGAATCAGTATAAAGCTATTTTTAAATGAATGATGGGGAAAAGCAGCATCACACTATAATCTGGGTTTTTTTTCAGCTGCCTAAATGCAGGAGTTTTTCGATTTTTGCCCTTGCACTGTCAGTTTGTTTTCAACTTATGAGTTTGAATATCCCTTTGTTATCTTTCGCCTCTCTTTTATAGCTAGAATCAAATTGTACTCTACCAAGCAAAGACATACAAGTTGAATTCATTGTAACGTTTTTATTGTTCGTTGCTGTCTTCTTCCTAATTGTTAAATGCAACAATAATTATATATATACATATATATATATATGTGAGATATATATTTGAGATATATGCAATATTTCCTGTGTATATGATGCAATCTCTATCATACTTAATAACATTAATTTCTATTTATTGATGCAAACACGGTCTACTATTCTTATTATATAGGCTACCATAAACAGGTAATGTATCAAGTTGAAGTTTTTTATTTACCTTTATTATAATAATTGAAGGACTGAACTACACAAGCTGAGTAGCTCATATATCATACACTCTTTAAATTGGTAGAAGTGTCTAATTATACTGCTAAAAGTTAAAATTAAAATCATGTTAGGAACACACATAATTCATTGTGCAAATAAAAATCATTTATTTTTACAACTCAACTACTGAAAACAGTAATCAAACCTTTTGCTGGTTTAACTTGATCTGAGGTGTGCGCAGTTCCTAATGCTGGCCACTTTTCCTTCAGTTTGCATATTTTGTCTATTATTTCTTGTTTGTGGTTTTTTGCTTTTTTTCCTAGTTTCTCATGTTCCAATGCCTCTATTAGAAACTTTTCAACCTCTAAAATACATGAATTTGTTATATAATGGAATATACAGGATATAAATGAAATATGTATCAAACAGTCTAAAAACTGGCAATTTTTACCTAATTTTCTTTATTCTTTTATTGTCTACCAAATAAACTCATCATAGATACCAGGCTAAACATTTTGTACGCCAGACGCGCGTTTTATTTATAAAAGACTCACTAGTAACACTCTAATCAATAAGGCCGAAAATGCCATATACAGTATGACGGTGAAGAGCATAGAGGACCCAAAATTCGAATGTTGTATCATGCCAAAAAGTAAATGATATCTCAAAAATAATTGTAGTTACAAAATGAATAAATATGTGACCGACAGACAGACAGAAATGTTCTTCACTATATACTCCAGCCTCATTGAGACAGGTTAATAAAAAATAGTTTGTGTATTTAGGCAAGTCCAGTTATGATAAGACTTAATGATACTACATAAAACATATAGAAAACATGTTCACAGTGCCTGAAATAAAACACGAAGTACTTAATTTGTTCTGTTAATTCAGATATCACGCAGTTCTACAATATAATTTTGAATATTGACCGCTGTAGTTCCTAGTAGAATTGAACAGTGTAGGAAATTCATGACTTTGTGCAGAATATCATTATAGTTAATGGAAAATAAACATCCTCTTCTATAGCGTGTAAAATTTTGAATGTGAAATTTGAAAAATCATGTTAAACTTAACTTGAAGACTTTTTCTAGGTCCAGCGCCATGTCTTGAAACTTTGCAAAGGGGCACATTTCTTTCTGTACTCAATGTAAAATTGGCCATATTTAACTTATGTGAACCTGAACTATAAACTCATCATAGATACCAGAATTAGTTTTGTACGCCTGACGCGCATTTCCAGGCATCATGGACAAATACACACCTTTTTATTATTTTATTTGTTACAGATACTTTCAATAAATATCTTTATAAAAATAAGGAGATGTGGTATGATTGCCAATGAGACAACTATCCACCAAAGTTCAAATGAAGTTGATGTAAGCAATTATAGGCAACCGTACGGCCTTCGACAATGAGAAAAATCCATACCGTATGGTCGGCTATAAAAGGCCCCGACATGAAAAATTTGAAACAATTCAATTGAGGAAAGTAACGGCCTAATTCATAACAAACCAATTTACGAAAAACAAATATGACAGACATGAACCAACGACAACCACTGAACTACAGGCTCCTGACTTGGGACAGGCACATAAAGAATATGGCGGGTTAAACATGTTTGTGAGCGCTCAACCCTCCCCTAACCTGGGACAGTGGTGTAACAGTACAACATAAGAACAAACTATAAAAATCAGTTGAAAAAGGCTTAACTCATCAGATGGATAAAAATAGAAATAAATCTAACAAAAACACAGTGGACGTAGACGGGTACTTTTACATCCCAAAAACGAAAAGACACTAAGTACAGATCTGAGAGTACTCGCAGTTACTGACAGCCAGTTCAAAGCCAATAATAACTAATGAAAACATCATGTATCTAAGACTAAAATATCAATCAGTACACATCCAACATCCAATGGATTTAGTGTAAAGACGTCATTAACAGTCAGAGATAAACATGATCTTGTGCAATGCCAAACTATAAGTATCGACAGATTGTAGTACCGTGAAAGTACATATGTGTAATATTTAGTATGGTTTTAATTTACTGATAACAAAATCAATATTTATGTCAATAAAAACAATATTCAAAGATTTAATTCGATGTTGAGTATGTAACCTTTTAGAATAAGTTTATTTAAAGGATTGACAAGTTTACACGGATCGAATCTATATTTCCGGGCTCGGTTTACAACATCACTGTAAAATTTAGGATGTGCTATTCCGTTTGAAATACAGTCAAACTTGCAGACCAAATCTTTGTATCTATGAAAAAATTAGTAAAGGTTTTACTATAGTAATACATAGATCACGCTCATTAAAATCCAAACGAGTTGGGATATATAAACACCGTAAGACGGTGCCAAAGGAACATCACCGTCCAAAAAGCGAAAATTAACAATAGGGAAAGACCTTTCTGTAGAGCGTACGGCCTTGAATGTAGTTGAATGTATAATTTCATTCTTAAGGACTTCCGTGTAGTATTTACGTCATACTACCACCACATTGTTGGCTGCTTTGTCTGCCGGTACGAACACAAAACGGTTTGATAGTACTTAAATTTTGTTTGTAATCCTGGAAATGGGCGTATTACTTACTCTTTTATTTATTTCTAAATTATTTTCGAAATGTGATATGCGAATATCGACAATATTCATACATTTATTTAAAAAGGAATCAAGTTACTTTTTGTTAGATTTCTCCCTCTTACACAATTTTTTACAATAGGATGAAAGAGCATCTGTAATAACCTGACGACACTCTTCCCAGTTTATTTTTGACGGTGGACGATATTTTGGTCATTTTTTTCAGAAAGTTTATAAGCTCTTGGTCTTGAACGATGTTAATGTCGCCTGTAATTACATAGCCATAGGGATCATATCTTAACTTCGATGTTTCACAGTCTCATGTTGAAGGAGCATTATTTTTTTATACTGACGTCTGATGTAACTGACGTTTACTTAAAAATTAAACTTCTACTGGGTTTTTTATACGAATAAGAAATTATAGATTGCTCAATGTTATCAAAATAAGGAGGTATAAAGTTTTGAACGGTAGAGTCATGAAAAATACTATACAAATGAATAAAATCAATATCTCTATTAATGTATTTTATTTTTAGAAAATACTTGTTTAGCATACTTTAACTCATTATTTATTGCTTCTTCGATTGGACAGGAAAACAACTTGCATTAAGCGAACCGGCAAATGACTCGTATATATACGAGAGACAGGAAAGCAACTAGCATCATGAGGAGAGGAAAACAAGTAGTATTAAGAGGACAGAAAACAACTAGTATTAATAGGGCAGGAAAACAACTAGTATAAGAGACCAGGAAAACAATTCTTTAGCTAGTATTAAGGGAACTGGAAAACAACTCTTATAAATGAGACAGGAAAACAACTAGTATTTAAGGAACAGGAAAACAAACTTTCATTTGTAGCGTTTCATTTTCGGTATTTAAAAATCTTTGTTGTTAGTTGTATTACCTTTTTTTCAAAGCGCAAAAACACACAATGGAACAGTACATATGACGGAAAATACATGTGAGCAATATTTCACAAGAGAGGCTAAATTACGAAAAATATGAAAAATTGAAGGGATTTTCTTATTTTTAGCAGAAACAAGTGTTTGTGTATTTTACCTGATATTAGAGACTTAATAGATTCGTGAAATTCTGACATAATGTTAGATCTTTCAACTATTTGACTGTTTATACACAGTGATGTTGATTCCTTCCCGCTTCCTTGTTCATTTTTATCCAGGGTAGAGGGAAAACACCCGAGAACTGTTTAAATAGATGGTTTCTGAAATAAACATTTTATTGTATTTGTTTTACTTCCCCCTCGCAGTGGTCTGAAACCTTTCGCTTCACTTATTTTCCACAATATCCTTATACATTAATCAAGGGAGATAATCAGTCCAAATATTCAATATATCAAAATATCGTAATACCTTGTGACTGTAAAAAAGGAACTATGTTTTCAATTATTTCTGATATAAACTGTGTTTGAGGACTGACATCACATTTACAAGAAAAGATAAACCTTTAAGCCTACAGGTCTTACATAAAGGAAAATCTGGACAATCGTGATCTGCTTTATTTTCGTTAAAAAGTAGATGTATACTACTGTACTGAATCTGTTTCATTTTCCTTTGGAATTTCGCCTAAGATGGTTAATTGAATTTTATTTCATTTTATTGCATGTCTATATTGCTATAGTCCTTACAAACAATTATATATATATATTTCTCTGGAAAAACATGTTTTATTTATTAGTTTGAATTTGCTTAAAGCAAGGATTTGTATAGTGACTATACAAATCCTTGCTTAAAGTAACTGTGCGTACTCTTATGTCTGTAATTTTTTAGAAAAAATAAGGAGATGAGACTTCTATCCACCAGAGACCAAAGGACAAGAATATAAACAACTATAGTTTACCGTACGGTCTACTTTTTAATTTATAAGTTTTTGGGTTTTGGTATCGAACTGATGTGTCAATCCCTTTCCAACTGATATTTACAGTTTGCTATTGTTATGTTATTACACTGCTGTCCCAGGTTAGGGATGTTAATTAATAAACACTCATCCCGGGGCTTTTTATAGCCAACTGTGGCTAAACGGTATTAGTGACATGTAGTCGTTCAAATCCTTGTTCTTTGGGGATAGTTATCTCATTTGCAATCATATCACATTTCAATATGTTTATATGTATATGGCTAGACCAGTCAATCGCATACGAAAACTCCTTTCAAAGCAGTACATTAAATTCAGTGTGAAAAACTAGTATGATACGTGAATCAGCACCTTTAAAACGGCAAACGGGAACAATGTGCCATTCTTTTTCTTGTCCATAGGCGAAAAGAAACAAACTAAAAGAAACAACAGTCCAAAAAAAAACACTACACAGAAAATAAAGATTGAACTACACGAAATCCACCAAAATGAGAGGTGCGTTCAGCAGTTCAGGTTCTCGGGGAGAACAAACAGTTTCCGCTCCACCAATGGTAGCGGGCGTGCTGAACATATGTTAAAGTTAAACATTCGGTAATAAATCATATTCGGTGATGTCACAATCGAGGAAAAAATGAGGATTGTGGGTAGGACAAATGGAACATATATTCATGGTCAAATCTCGAAATCTTTTTTCCCCTATTATTTCTATTGCAAAATACCAAAATTGTGTCAGTCCTTTGCAAAAATTGGTGGTGAAAACCTTTGGTACGCCACTTTTCGAGAAGACTGGACACAGATATTCAATAACAGTCAATCAAATCATGATGAAATATGAAAGATGAACAATTTGACATTTTACAACTAATTATAGATCCATTTGCTTACTTGATGATGTTTAGAAATGAAAAAGCTTTTAAAGTGATACAGAAACTTATAGATCCAAAATGTAGACGATTATGTTATAATCTCCATTGTGAAAGGTATAGACTGTTGCAATTAGATGATATAAAGAAAAAGAAGAAAAAGTAGATACTTACTTTATATAGACCCTTAAGTGATTGATGGTTGTCTACTCTTAAACAGTGATATCTGTAGATAGATATTTTAGATTTTAAAGTATTTAAAGTGTTGGTGCAGCTTAAAATGACATTAAGCCTAATTTTAACGTCAAGAATATGATGTAAATAGTGTACAGTGATATTGGTGGAAGAAAACTTTTATTCATGTTGTGAACTACAATTAACTCGGAAGAGGTGTGCCTACATTGGCAGAATTTATATAACAGATATAGATACATATGGCAACCATAAAAATTTCGAAGAGATGAGATTATATATCTTTACCATTTTGAACGTTTGGTATAAGGTTTACACATAATCATAAATATTAGTTTTGCAATTGCTAAATGGGTTTTTGCGATTGACTTTTTCTAGGTTTTCGACAATTTTTATGCCCCCGCTGCAGCGGAGGGGGCATTAAGTGTTACCATTTTCCGTCCGTCCGTATGTTTGTACGTTTGGAAATTGGTTTCTGTTCTCTAACTTAAGTTTTACTCCACCAAATGTAATGAAACTTATACACAATGTATATTACCACAAAAAACAGATCAAGTTTGAATTTGGGTGGCATCACTTTTATTGTTCTTAAGTTATGTTCCTTTATAACGTTATATGCAAGCAGGGTCATCATAAGTGTCCCATTGACACATTCTCCATTTATTCATTGTACATGAACTCTTGAAATGTGGCAAGAGAAGATGGTAAGGCAACTGATATACTTGTTCGACCGCTCACATTCTAAAGGAAAGTATTATCTAAGCCTTATGGCTGTAATCTACTGTCTTGTACAATGTAAGCAGACGATTTGTGGCTGTTTTACTGAATCATCCAATATTAGACAGACTAACACAACAAGACAAAATACTTCTATAATATCCCACAGTAAAGTTTACCAGTTGCTACTATGTTTTTTTGTGATTGAATATTATGAGTTTTGGCAAGTTTTTATTAACTATCCAGTATAAAAAGAACTTTTGAAATTCGGCAAAAGGAAAATATGGCAAATAATATTCCTGATTGGTCACTCAAATAGATTCCTCCGCCTATGTAAAACAATGAATTCTAGGCATTAAAGCCAGCATTAAAAAAATTGACCATAACTCACAACAGTTAGTTTTCAGATGAAAAACAATAATAAAAGTGTTGTTCCTTTGCTTTTGCATATGTATAGGGATATGTGCATTTTACTAGTCGAAATTCCCACAAAAATTTTCAATTCCTGATTTTCTTCATCTGATACTGGAACAACAACTAAGTTCTGATAGAGCTAATCTTCAATCATAAACATTAACAAGAGTTGATGTCCTGTTAAAAAGAAAACTAAATGGTGACAAGATAACCAACAGACTAACAGACAAAATGATGTTCAGTTGAAAAATATATACCCTCAACAACTTTAGTGTTAAGATAAGGTAAAACCTGCAGACTGTCACGAATCTTACATGCATAAGTCCATTTTAAGTTTTTTTTATTTTATTTTGTGTAGAATAATATGTTCAATAAAATATAATCAGTCAATAATTTGAAATAAAAATTTTATTGCACAAATTAAAAGCAAAATTATAAAATGTAATCATCATAACAACAATTTTTACTAAAACTATTAATCAATAACAAATATATATGGCAATCAATAAACATATGTAAAATAAAAGGATGAAAAGTAGTGAGATTTCTTGGAAACCATTATAATTTAACATAGATATATATTTCAGTATTGAAATTTTGAACATGATTTGTGGTTAAGCGACAGTAGCACCAGACGAATTAAAAATATCTTAATACTTTTGTATGTACCACACCGAAAGAAACTAATAAAAATTTAATACTTTTGTATGTACCACATCGAAAGAAACTAATAAAAATTGTGATCATCTTCAATTTTCTAAGTTACAAAACATTTCTAGTTGATGTGGTCTCTCCTGATAATCTGGTTTTTGCCATGATACAGCCAAGGGTGTTGAAAGTGGTGTAAAAACACCAGCAAACGAAGAAACAGATAAATAAATACCTGTCAAAATTATCTAAATATGGAATGGATGGGCATAAAACTGTAAAATGCTATAACAACAGACAACCTGGATAAAACAGACTAAATAAGGTTAGTTCATAAATGTCAAAACGTAATGAAATCAATAAAAAAAAAAAGCCTACAAGTTTTGGGGCAATTATTCAAAAAAGGATGGTGGAGAAAATACTGAATATGCAAAAGGTATATAGAAGAAAACAATTCACTTTTATCATTTAAAAGAAACTTACATACTGTTTTCAGTTTCAAATTTTCTGAAGTTTTGGTAAGTTTAGTTTTAAATCCTGGTGAACATGTTCATACAGAAGTCCCTTTTAAATGTTCAACCTAAAATCACAAACATATCTGAAAAAGATAGTATCATTTTACTAGCCCCTCAAAAAAACATAAATTTATATATTGTGACATTTCATCAATTCATGACCTAATATTAACAACGCATGGTTTGTTTTCACAAGAATTTCAGCATATGTAAATATGATCAAAACAGTTCTTAAGTTTTTATGTGAAAACAGTAACAATCTGTTAGCTTTACTGGCAAATAATTATTCAAACTTGCAATGTCAAACCAAACTTCATATGCTTATATTGTGACGCTTCACCTTTTTCAACCAAAAGACTTCACATTTCATTAATATATGGTCATTAACAAAATCAAAAGTTTGATAGCATTTTTGAATGAAAATTGTATTATTTCATTTAATTAAATAAAAAATGAATAAAGTATAAACCTTACAAAACTAACATGTTGCTAGCACAAAACAAACACTTCATCAAATGAAAGGTTTTGAAAAAGACATTCTTTAAGATATAAGTGAGATATAAACAGATTTGATTGACTGAATCAAGTCTTAGTTAATGATCTGTATTTCATGTTTTACTAAAACATTTATCAAATCAGCAAATTTTTTTTTTATTAAAGTTTTACTCTAATCATCATTTATAGTTGATAAATCAGGGCATAACTCCACAAATTCAAGGTATATAAGGAAAAAAAAACAAGCATCTTAATAATAATGCTAAATGAAAAACTTCATTCTCCATCAGATCTACACAAAACAAAATATTTCTTCATTCTAAACTCTTAAATATGCATTTTAGTTACAAGAAAACTTATTTAAAAATCCACAAAGGATTCCTTGGATACCCTGAGTCTCCCTGCTCTGGATGTCAACACAAATATCTAAAAAAAAATTGTCTAATTATTTTTTAATGATATAATTTTGTCCAGCTTACAATAGTAATTAGAAAAAAATATTAACTATTTTAATTGTAATTTCTATCAAATTCTTACTTTTTTATCAGAAAGAACAATCAGGTTTCATTTATATTTCAATTGTAAAGAAATTAAATTTTTGGGTACATGGATGGATTTTTTAAGCAAAAAAAAATGTTTCCAATTAACCTTGTCAAAAAGAGTTGATAACAATATCTCTTTATCATATCTTTTTTTGGTAGTTCCAAATAAAAGTGCACTTAATATTTTCAAGATCAGAATGTTAGTGTCTCTGTATATGCCTCTGTGAGATAATTTTTGGGAACTAAACCAAATTTACCATTCAGTTCACCAACCCACCATGAGCGGTCATCAAAATCTCTATTTATAATGTAAATTATATCACCCTTTTTAAAGGACAACTCTTTATCATTATCCCCATTACAATCCCATTTTCCAATAAACATATTTTCAAAGTCATCCTCATTTCTGTAAGACTTTGGTTCCTCCTCCACAACTCTATTTGGTGGGGGAAGTGGGGGAAGTTCCTCTGTCTTTTTAGGTGGTTCCCTAGTTGGTGGAAGTGGGGGAAGTTCTTCTGTCTTTTTAGGTGGTTCCCTTATTGGTGGAAGTGGTCTGCTTTGGTATGGATCATCATCAGGAACGGGTGGTGGTGGTGGACGCGCCCCTGCCATTCGAGGTGGAGGTACAGTTGGCAAAGACGGAGTTGAGGCATCTTCATACATCTCCTCTTGTATTGGTACAGATGCTCCCTCATCATAAATATCATCTTGTATAGGTTCTGGTGGATAAGACTCTGGTTCTGCTTCATAAATATCTCCATCTGTTCCATCATCATACAATTCTTGTGTTTCCTGTGCTTCCTCTCCAACAGGCTCGTATATATCACCTAAAATATTTTGTAAAGAGTAAACTGATGGGAACCAGTAATGTACAATATTCAGTAAGGAATCAAATTTAATGTCAAAACTTTACACAAAGGGGAAATATTTCTCCAGTTACAAGGTGAAATACTGCATTTCAGGTTATTTTGTGTCAGATTTAGTTTGTAATTTGGGCCTTAGATGAGGCAGTTAAATCTTCACTGTGTTTATTTTTGCTTTTCATGGCCTTGTATAATGCATTTATATGAACAGGGAAATCTTCATATTGAGTAAATTTAGCTATAAAATGTCTAACGAGAAAAAAGTGACAATAAGACATACACAAAAATCAATCGCATAATTGCCATCGTTAAACATCTTATTAACCTTTGTTAAAACTACTTAACCGTGGTAAAATTTCAATATAATATTCAAATCTTTAAAAGTAAGAATTATCAACACATTCAAAGGATCTTCGATAATTTCTGTTTATGTATATATTAAGAAAATTAATCAACTAAATATCTATTTTGTGTCTAGGTCATCATTTCATACAAATAAAATGTAGATATAACAAAAATCTTCCCAAATACATGTACATTGTTTCTCACCCTTAGAGGGAATTAGCTGTCAAATAGATGTTCACCGAATTGACTCAAATTCTCATATTTGATTTATAACAAACTAAAACTTATATCCAAATTACAAAAAGTCTAACATAAACAATTAAGAATGCATGGACTCCATAATATGTATCAGCATTTGGCGTGTATTTTAATCTTGACACCATCTTATTAACCAGTGAGATGACCTCCAAAGACTGCAGACGGTAGGTAGCATCTTTTACTTTAAATGTATTGTCTTTGTCCAAGAACAATGGACTATAGCTTAATGATTCCTGTGTATAGTCATTTATAATTAAATGATATCAATGATCGTTGTTTTGAAATAAGAAAAGAAAGGCAGAAAATGTTCAAAGATCTATGTGATTGCTGCTGAATTCTGAAAATCAATAGAAATGTTAAACTGAACTTTCTGATGAACTTTGTAAGTTTCTCGAAACTACTCACAAACAGAGCGTGAAATGTTTAGACAATAATATTCCATGGTTATATTTTTAACTGAGGTCAGGAGATCTGTTAAATACAGTCCATTAAACAAAGGATTTAACCAAAGGCCAAAAAAAATAATAGAACAGAGTTCCAATGACTCCACGTTGCACATATTTTATATTTCCAAGGATCAAGGGCAATAACTAAAAAAAAAACATTTTTTTTTTCTTTAAAACTGTTGATAAATATCTTAGAGAAATGAATGCTTCAGAGCAAATTCAATGTGATTTCCAATATAATTAATGTTTCCAAGTGGCATAACTCATCAAAAATATTTGATCAGCAATTTTTTCTCGAAAGTGTCAAAGACATTACTGATATAAACCTATGATATAAATTTCATAAAAATCTGGCAATAATTGTACACACGAGAGCACTACCGATGCAATTTTCCATATATTTAATATCTCCAAGGGGCATAACTCTTTTGAAAATAATTGATCAGCAAAGATTTTCGAACTCATCCAAGACATTGATGATATAAGTTTTTTAAAAATCTGCCAAGAATTGTACATGTGAGAGCAATAACAAGACCGGACGGACGAATGCCTGGTATATCTATGTCCCCCGCAACGCGTTGCGCGGGGGACAATAACCACATAATGAGCTACTGAAAATATCTAAAGGTTAAAATATAACATCTGAAATCTATGTGATGAATAAACAGGCAATATCAGTGCTGATGAATTATAACCAACACTTATAGACATTTGTAGGATGTATACCTTATAAAATGATAAATGTTTAATTCCACCAAAAAGTAATAAAAGGATAAAACATAGCTGGTAGCTGCTTTGGATTAACTTTCAGTGACTATTGTGACTTCTTTTACACAAATAACATATTATCGTAGACCCATTAAAATTAAATGATTTAAGGAAAAATGTGTCAGCTTATGGAGTAAAAATACTTTTTTTATATACAAACTTTAACTTAGCTTAGAATAAAGATTGATGATAACTAAGGAAAACAATTTCTGGACCAGCCCTCTGATAATCTTTCATTACAGAAAGAACATAAACAACAGTTTGATATTCTGTTAACCAGGGTGGTTAAAATGGAAATCTTTTCACATTATCATAGTTATTTCCTGTTACATTTTTTAAGGGTAATCTATTTTGTAAGATTATTTGAGTTATACATCTGACTACTTTTGAACTAATGTAATGCACATTATCTAGATCATTGCCTCAGAAACAGAGAATTGATTACATGCATAGGATTATTAATAATATAAAATTAAAATGTTTGTTTATTCTCAGTGTATGGTTGAGATATCTATCAACAAAGTAATACAGAAAGGAAATTTTCCTTTCAGTGCTGCATCATCAAAATAAAAATAGATAAAAGTAAACTCAACTGGAGAGTTGTCTCATTGGCATTCATACCACATCTTCTTATATCTATCAACAGGCAGCAGTAAAACGTAATATAAAAATTGTATCCCAAAAAGAATGCAGGCCAGTTACAGAATAACTTACCATCATCTTCATTATCAACATCTGTCATTTTAGAGGGAACAACAACACTTGCTTGTTTGACTGCAGTTTTCCATTCTTCAACTTCACTTTTACTTGTAGCCATAAACTGGAATAAGCAAATGTTTAAAAATATTTCAAATAAGAAAATATCAGAATTTTCATATCCCTCACATTTTGTTTTTACTGAAACAAATGTAACAGACAAACATGATATAATCACACACAAAACAACTTGATTAAAATTTTTGCAGTTAAGTGCTTTTTTTAAATCTATTTTTTTAATGTCACCTTCTATGTTTTTTGGTCTCTGGTGGAAAGTTGTCTCATTGGCAATCACACCACAACTTCTTATTTTTATATCGTCATAAAAAACACTTTCTAGGGGAATTAACTTTTATGGTCATTTTCGGGGAATTAACATTTACAGTACTAATTTTACTGCACCTGATGCATATTTTAATAAAAAAATGTCTCTTCAGTGATGCTTGAGGCCAAAATATTTGAAAATCCAATACCTACTACAAACGTTTAAGAGCTGATAAAACCAAAAAGTAATATGTGATAGACATTACCATGACGGCTTTTAGTGGAATGTAACATTTTAAAAGGGCATTGCATATACTGGGGTAAACTTTCTATGTAATGTATGATCATGCACTGGCTCACTTCCTTTATTATAGATTCTCCAATGTTTGTTAAGCTCTTAACGTCAAATATTCCAATTTTTGTCCAAACTTGTTTCCAATTTTAGATATTGCAAAGGGAAACAATTCCAAGGTATGACATACAATATCCCTGCCTTTACAAATCAAGTGGAACCACCATGGCATATGTTGTGGAATTTGACAAAAATTTTAACAAAATGTTGACTTCTGAATGAAAATTTGTAACAGCTTAGTTACTTTAAACATGCTTGTTCCATTGGATTTTTATCCTGTCCACAGATATTTGTCTAGATGATATATTATTGTTATGATATTTCCATTTTAATGGTATGGAATTCATATGTTATCACTGGTTTTTTCTTCAAATATCACTCAAATTCAAATGATCTACCTTTTATGTACATTCTTTACATTAAAAGTATAAAAATAAAAAGAAGTGTTATATTTGCCAATGAGACTACTCTCCACCAGAGACCAAATGACATAGATCTTTTTTCTGAATTTTCAATTTATTGTTTCTCTAGAAATATGAATGCTACATGTATCATTTCTTTCAATGATTACAGGTAGCTTAACGATTTCAAAATGCATACATATTAATATACTTAGGTTAAGTAATACTTACTTCATAGGTTCTGTTGGCAGGTCTAACAAGTTTAAAGCAAAGTTCCTTTTTCTTATCTTCCTTCACCATTTCTGGTGCTTCTTCAAAACTATAATCTGATAATCTGAAAGCCCCACTCATTTTTTTTGATGTTTTACCATCAAAGTAGAAAAATATATTGCCTTTAATGACACACCATCGTTTCTGCATTGTCTTTAAACCTGTAAAAAATTGTATAAACCAAAAACATTTCCAACATATTATCTATTTTCAACATCTAAATTTCCAGCACACCAATCGGCTCAATGCAACATGAACTTTCAATGAAGAAATATTGACTTTTATTGTGAATATAAGGATTTAAAAGTTGTGTCTGTGCAGATTAAAAATGAAAGAAAAATGTTTTTAAAAATTAGGTTATCTGTTCAAAGAGTTTTAATATATTTTTTTTTATTTTAAGAATAAATTGTCTTGATTTTTGTACAACAATATGCGGTCTTCTCGGTTCCCATTCAATGTTTACATCAGGATAAGGTCCAATTGAATTTGCTTAGTAACTTAAATTCAAAAGTGTTAATCATTGCAGCTTAACAATTGATTGTTTTCATATTTTTTCCTGAACTTCTCTGATCTAACTGCATGCATATACAGATAATTGACATGTTCCATTAAGGTGAAAAACAAGTAGAAAAATAAATTGAAGTTGGTACATCACATCCCACTATGCTTAACTTTCCACAATTTGTTTGAACACAGAAATCTTTTCTTTTCAATCTCTAAATTGAATAAACAATACTGGAGTTTTACAAATAAACTGATGCCCGCTTCATTGGTGTCCTTGGGCTGTTTTCTGCTCTTTGGTCGGGTTGTTGTCCCTTTCACGCATTCCCCATTTCTATTCTCAATTTTATTAACATAATTTATTCTCCGGTGGAGAGTTTTCTCATTGGCAATCATACCACATCTTCTTATTTTTTATGATATTTGTTAGTAGTTAACAACAGTTTCCCATATTTATGTAACACTTCTTTTATTTTGTATAAAACGCCAAGTGATGGTAACTGGTTCATTACTAGTACAATATCCAGTTTTACTGTTTGAGTGTCATCTTTTTTGGAAAATATATGACTTCATATGAAATATTCATGTTTTGCTATTATTATTGACTATTATTTTGAAATGTTTACCAATGTGTTTGTTGTTTCAATACATTTACATTTTTGGACCTGAAGAAAACAATGATCATACAGAGCACTGTACCCACTCCCATTACAAAAAATATATAGTTGGAGTTAAAATGCAATACCTTTTCAGAATTCCTTGGAATAATACTGAAGTACTGATGTAATTAGACCCTGCCATTGTGTTTAAAAACACATATGAAGGTTGTTTTTTTTAGCTTACAATGTCACATCAATATTTCATCTTCATTTTTCATAAGATAATTAATTTCTTTGACTTTTTTTAAGTTACAATTGAACATGCCCAAACAGTCACCTTCATCTATGGGATAATTTAAATTTAACCTAAACATTTCCTCTAGACTATGATTTGTTCAAAATCGCTGTTCCAACTCCCAATAACAGTCATTTTCAACAAATAAATACAATGTAACCAAAGAAATAATGGGATAAGTTTTACTTGATTTGGTGCATTATGAAATACTTGATTGTCAGAATGAAGAAATTGAGAGAACAGGGATGACTTTAAAAAGGTTAAAATTCATTTCTCAATTCATTACCTAAAGAAAACTGGTTATATGTAGTCATACATTTCTATTGTTTGCATTTTAACTGGGTATTAATCATTGTGATAAAATTTCAAAATTTAATCAAATTTAGTGAATTTTTACACAGTATGTTTGAGTTAGGAAGTTTATTTAAAAGATTATCTTCTTGAGAGGTCACTATTGGTATTCCCCATGAGTTACAACTTTAAAATAGAGGCTTTGATTGTAAAGTTTATACACAAAAAGACAACCACCTATCCATGGTCAGTGATCAGACATTTCATTTCAGCATTATACAAAAGGATAACAAAAGATGTCTCTTAAGTTATCATGATCATCTAACAATAAAGAAACTTTTGGTGAAATAAGCATGCTTACAATTCAAACCACATACCAATACCTGTCGGTCTTTTCTTTTCTAAAAATCCAGCCTTTGTGAAATTTGTAAGGTCCATGGCTGGCACATTTGGTATGTCTGCACTACCTGTAAAATAATTTGTATCATTGATTATGATATAATGATTTCTTATTTTTCAACTAGAACATACCATTTTGCAAAATGTAAGATTAAATTCTTTACCATGTAATTCCATTTTGTGTATGACCAAACAGAGAATGCCACTAAGTTGATATTACAAATCATAAAGTCTTGCACATTAAGACAGAGGTTGTGATCTTTAGAAAGAATTACTTGTATCTAAATAAAAAAAAACCAATTCAATATAAGGATTTACCTAAAATTACCTTTGCGTTTATTCTTTATACTTATTCTATATAAAACCTCCATGTTAAAAGGGAAATTTCTTTTCAAACTTCCACAATGTATTAAATCCTGTATATAAATATAACGTACTATGTTTGACCAGGATATTATAATTACAAATGTACCAGGATTTCTTAGCCAGATAATTATTGATTAAAAGATGTAAGTTTGAACAATACATTTTTTAAGACCCAAGTTGTTTCCTCACAAGAAAATATTATATATATATATATACATGTACATGGTTAAATTGTATAATACAGCTTTATTTTAGAGTTGTTGGAGTATTCTTGTATTATTGAAAGTACCACACATTTGCATCAAGCAGTACTGGTAACGTAAGTATATTTTTCAGAAATTAGTCTTTTATAAAAGAGGGACGAAAGATACCAGAGGGACAGTCAAACTCATAGATCGAAAACAAACTGACAACGCCATGGCCAAAAATAAAAAGACAAACAGACAAATAATAGTACAGATGACACAACATAGAAAACTAAAGACTAAGCAACACGAACACCACCAAAAACTGGGGGTGATCTCAGGTGCTCCTGAAGGGTAAGCAGATCCTGCTCCACATGTGGCACCTGTCGTGTTGCTTATGTTTTTACAAATCCGTCAAATAGTCTAATTCAGTAGGTCACAGTCGAGAAAAGGGAAGGGTATTGTAGTTACAACATAAGGAACATATCCGATATCATCTGTATTAAATATACAATAAAATGATAATTCTTATTAATTTGCATGTTAAAATCAAAGCACTGTAAGCGCTGTAGGCAGTTAACCAAAAACCAAGGCAAACGTAATTATGAAAACTGTGGCAATGTTGCTTCAATTTTTAAGATTTGAAAGAAAAAACATTAAACATTCGTATATTGTGCATTTATGTTCATTAAATGAATTGATTATTAAGGCAAATTAATTAATATTTCATCAAGGTTTTCAAAAGCAACTCATGATCATATATCAATGTAAATGACCCCCATCTTCACCCCCAAGTGCATGATGTTACTCCATACTAAGTTTGGAATAAAATGACAGGTGATTATAAAACAGTTGGTCAAACATTCTCGGGCTTTACACTGCTTGAAAGATTTATATGTTTTCTTTAAAATGAGCCATAAATGAAAATGATTATAGGCCCAGAAATAATTCAATAAACAATTAAAGTAAATTCAATAATCTAGACTCATTTTTTGGATCAAAATTTTTTTTTATAATAAACAAGAAATAATTGTAACAGGATGCCGTTACGAAGTCTCCCAAACAAAGCCCCCATAATTCGTCATTCCCATGGTCTCCTGACATTGGGCAAAGTCTAGTTCATATTGGTTTGGTCTAGTAAAGTAATATGCATATGTGACACCAAGGAGATTGACCCTGTATGTCATTCAAATCTTTTTGAAATGATGAACAGGAATAAATACGGTTTAGGTGTGGGTATCTCGACCGTTTACAAGTTCTCAAACAGGAGGGGGTGGGGTGACCCCAGGGACTCCCCCTATATTTCATTTGATTTGTTATATTGTCCCATACATGAATACATATGGTTTAGGGGTGGGGATCTCGACCATTTCCAAGTTCTCAAACAGGAGGGGGTGGGGTGACCCCAGGGACTCCCCCTATATTTCATTTGATTTGTTATGTTGTCCCATACATGAATACATATGGTTTAGGGGTCGGGATCTCGACCATTTCCAAGTTCTCAAACAGGAGGGGGTGGGGTGACCCCAGGGACTCCCCAAATATTTCATTTGATTTGTTATATTGTCCCATACATGAATATATATGGTTTAGGGATGGGGATCTTGACTGTTTACAAGTTCTCAAACAAGAGGGGGTGGGGTGTCCCCATGGACTCCCCCTATATTTCATTTGATTTGTTTTATTGTCCCATACATGAATATATATGGTTTAGGGGTGGGGATCTCGACCATTTCCAAGTTCTCAAACAGGAGGGGGTGGGGTGACCCGAGGAACTCCCCATATATTTCATTTGATTTGTTTTATTGTCCCATACATGAATATATATGGTTTAGGGGTGGGGATCTTGACTGTTTACAAGTTCTCAAACAGGAGGGGGGGTGGTGTCCCCAGGGACTCCTCCTATATTTCATTTGAATTGTTTTATTGTTCCATACATGAATGGATATGGTTTAGGGTTAGGGATCTCAACCATTTCCAAGTTCTCAAACAGGAGGGGTTGGGGTGACCCCAGGGACTCGCCATATATTTCATTTGATTTGTTATATTGTCCCATACATGAATATATATGGTTTAGGGGTGGGGATCTCGACCGTTTACAAGTTCTCAAAAAAGGAGGGGGTGGGGTGACCCCAGGGACTCACTCTATATTTCATTTTGGATTTGTTTTATTGTCCCATACATGAATATATATGGTTATGGGGTGGGGATCTTGACCATTTCCAAGTTCTCAAACAGGAGGGGCTGGGACGACACTGGGGACTCCCCCAAATTATTTTCATTTGATTTTTTTATTGTCCCATTCAAGTATATATATTGTTTAGGGGTGGGGATCGCGACGGTTTACAAGATAAAAGTACATTTTCAAATTGAAGGGCGTTGGGATGACCCCCAGGGACTCACCCTACATTTTTTTTGATTTTTTGTATTGTCCTGTTCTCATTACTGAAGACTGCATGTGTCTATCACCTACTGTTTTCGAGAAATAGTCATTTGAAAATTTAAAAAAATAAAATCCCATAGGGTTCTATAGTAAACCCCTCCCTTCTTCAGGCCCCTCCAAATACCCCTAAATAGACCCCAATGCACAAACAAAAGATTAATGGCTCCACTAGACATGTTAGTCTAATATTTTATGAAACCCTAAGTAAATCTGACAAACGGTCAAAGTTGTCTTCTTAGACGGGTTGACTGGATTCGGTCCGACTTGTCTCGGGGACGAGTTGTCCACATTACTTAAAACATCCCATCAACGTCGATTTCCGCATCTGTTTTCATGACCTCTTTTCATTCATAAAATAACAACAACCTTATTTGGCAAGATAAGTTAGAAATTACCACCCACTTATATAACTTTATTTCCTCTATCATAGAGATTTGTTGTACATGAACAATATTCCTGCGCATTTTGCCATTTGGGAAATATAAACGACTTGTAATTACCGATTTTCGGCGATGAAATATTTCATACAATTGTTCTTTGACATCGTAGCCAAAAGCACAGGGATAATAAACTACGTACGGATTTCTATTGAGCACTACTTCCTATGTGCAACTTCAAAGGTTTTGGGTAGTTCGACGATCATTTAAGGTTTTTTCTGGTCATATTTTTTGTATTCCAGAAATAAAAGTATTAAAAAAATGTCCAATTAGTTATAAATAACATAATAGTCAGCTAGATAGTAACAATGGCACGTATTTCAGCATTTATTGGGTAGAACACAAATCTAGGGTGCTCGCATAAGGCAGCTTAACTGCCTAAAAAACGTTTATATAATTGGTTGAGAGGACTTCCGGTAGTGGCTCTTGAAGTTATTTATTTTTGGATAAATGATGTTGATGGAACTACTTTTTGTAACCAATGTTAACAAGATGGCGGCGATAATACCACAAATCGCCTCGCTGTTAAAAATATTTATTTTCACTACGCTGTCATCCTTGAATTAAATAATAAACATAAAACATTCATTTGAATGATAATAAGATATTTTTGTAGTTTATTTTTTATCAGATAGCAAATTTCATGGAGTTCATTTTTTTGCACTAAACAAAAAATATATTCATGCGCCAGGGAAATTCATTGACACAAATATACAATTTAGATGTGATAGAGATTATGAGTGGGGAAATTAAATTCTTTATCTCCAATTTTAAATAAATTCCTTTAAAAAGGCGTTTAATCCTATAAAACTTTTTTCTCTCTTCTTTATCTCCAATTTTAAATAAATTCCTTTAAAAAGGCGTTTAATCCTATAAAACTTTTTTCTCTCTTTTCTTGAATTCATCAATGGATACTCAAGTTCTTAATACACTTCAGATTTTTTTCTGTTAAGTTCATGACCTGTCAGTCCAGTTAACAGACCCATAATTCCAAAAAAATAAATGCTCACACTCTTTAATTTTAAGTGTGAATGCTTATTTTTAAATTGATAAATTTCTGTTCTATTGGTTTGAAATGGTATGCAAAGCAGATATGTACACTATACACATGTACTATGTCAAAGTAATTCCTCACACAAATTCTATATAAGTAGACACATGTACTTTTGAATTTTTTGCAATTTAGTTCATTTCAGAAAAGATGCCACCAATACATTTTAAGAAGAACATAATTTGCAAATAAGTTTGAAATTACCCATTTAAGAGCCATGTCACTAAAATTTGTACATATTCAATATACTCACTATCAGCATAAGGATCTTCTGTGTCATCTGTATTAGAACTACCACCAGTTCTTGTTGATTCATCGTCTTTTGGTACATCTGTAATACAAATTCATATTGCAAAAAGGTTGAAATATATATATCGAAACCCAAGATTTAATTCTTTTCAACAGAAGAAAATGAAAAAATTGAAATAGTGTTAGCACCAATATCTTCCTTGAGAACATTATATGATGTGTTATTACGAGTTCTGACAAGTATACATATGAAAATGAATACAGATAAATATAAATAAAATGAAACAAAATATAAAATTGGAACACACTGGTATGAAACAAACTAGCAAATGCAATGAAGTGATATAAATGCAGGAATCCAGGATTTTGGGCTAATGTTATATGCAGTGATATGGTTTTCTAATTGCAGCAGAGGGTCAATATTTTCTGAATTAATTTTTCAAAAACAACATTTACATTTTAAAATATTCCTGATTTAATGTATGCACCTCAAATTTCATCCCTATGATGCAAGTGTGCCAAGGTTTCATAATTTTTTACATGTTCATCTATCTGTTTTGTTCTTGAATAACTTACTACATGCAATCTGAAACTGTTTTATATGTTCTAATGGTACATGTACATTGAACTATCATGACTATACGATTGTGTTAATATGTTGTATGTTTGCTTTTTTTTTTTTTTTTTCTCTTATTATTACTTTTTTACTTGTATTGTATATGAGTATATACTCATTTAGTTTTTTACAGGCAAGACCATATGAGTATTTAGACCATATAGGTATTTTTCGAATAAATTATAACTTCCTTCGCAGGAACACACAGCTCATTCTTCAAACCAAAATCGACACAAGGTTACGTACTAAAATCCTGTTGTGTGCATTTTGTTGTATCTGTTATCTTGCCTTCGCTAGAGTCAATTTAAAGCGCCTTTATCCTGTTGACTTTTTCGTCCGCAAGTGAAACCACCAGCATTTGGGGAATGGACTTTTTTCTTCTAACACTGATTACCATTTGATTAAATAAGTCATAATATCATTTTAGAAACTGTTAATTTATGACACCTTGGAAAGTCATACCTAATGCAACGTTCATCGTACTAAATACCCGGACCATATGCGTATGGTTGGACCATATGAGGAGTATATACCCAAATGGTCATAACCATACACGTTTGGTCCAAATACTCATATGGTCCTGAACATATATAATATATTCTCGTTTAAGTGTGTTCTTTAATAACATGCATAACAAATATTGGATGCTCCTCCCATTTCACTTTTCATGTGAGTTCTAATAAACAATAATCAACAGTGTAGCAAATGTTTGTTTCTGAAGAAATAGTCAAATCCATGTCAGAGGAGGATCCAGTTAATAATTTCAAATATATGGCACCTTTTCATACTTGTTCAATCAATAAATAATTGTTAATTAGCTTACTGATGGCTCATGTTTTTTCCCCCTGTATTTTAAAAATTCAAACTAAAACAAGAATTCTTTGGGCATTGTAATGCATGAATGCATAAATCAATATACATGCAATGAAGAGATACACAAGTGTGGATCAATGAATTTGGGTTAATGTGATACCTGGCCAACTTCTGATGATGTCAGAAATTTAATTTTTACATTTTTTAAGTGCAAAGGAAAATCATCATTATCAATTAGAAATTATAAAGTCAGATTTGATTTTTAACTTCTCATAAAATTGTTATATACACAGAATCAGGAAATCAGGGCAATATATTCATCCATTTCCATTTAGTGTAAACACTAATTGTAATGGACTTTCTAAGGATGAGGGATGTGATCAATTGGAATGAACTCATCTTCATCTGTAACTTATCACAAGATAATTCTTTACAAAAAATCAAGGCCAATATGTGCCTCCATTATAAAATTAATTGTGTATTAGACAAGGAAACATATTTTGGCAATATTTAAAATTGAGTTATCTCCCTTGTGTCCATAAAGTAGTTTTTACAAGAATGCAATTAGAGTATATAATTAAAAGTACTTCCCCTAGGATGATGATCTACAGACTGTTGTGTTGTGTTGTCACAAATACAAGTAGCGTAGAATTAAAGCTCACCAGCCAGTGATTTGCTACGCCCTTAACCCCCCCCTGAAAAAAAAATAATGTAGAAAACTTTAATTTCTTAAAATTTTATTGGTTGTGGGGCATGATTCAGTTAAAAAAAAGATCAACCCCCATAAATTCTTACTTGATCTATAACATTCCACATCATGAGTATTTGGAATATAAAGTATGTCAATATCTCTTCCCGTAAAAAATTAAAGATTTCAGTGCAAAAAAATTAACACCTAATTTAACATAAATTTCACATGACATACTATATGTCATAAAAGATGCTAATAGCACAATGTGTTTGGGAAAAAGAGTCCAAAATACTTAAGCTCTTTTAGGGAACAGATAATTAATTTTCACAACCTAAAAACAATATCTATTACTGCATGAGAAATGCAGGCAAATTCAATAAAAATTTGGTTAACATTGATTAATCGAGTAATTGATCCATTTTACAATGTATATGAAAAAATCATTTATTTCATAAGGGTGGACACACAAAAATGTTTCACCTGCAAAACTGAACAACAATATGACTAAATATTACATTGAAAGCAAATCTCAAGGGAATTTGCAATCATATAAAAGACTACCCATTTTATGTCTCACATAAAAAGCTTATAAAAAAATCTGACCAAATCAATGAAAACAATAATGAGTTCAATTCAAGTGACCCCAGTCAGTCATGATGATGATGATGATGATGGCTTTTAACGTCCATTGGCAAATTAAATGCATATTCAGAACAATGCAATATAAACCTGGCTTGTATTAGACGGACAAGTTGATCTAGATTTTTAATGTGCTAGTTCATAAAGTAAAAGTCTGCAGGAAGACATTTCACACTACCATGACACCCTATTCTGACGAGTTCAACAGCCTTGCTCTTACCAATACATGTATGAATGTATTAATCAAAGTAAAATTAAATGATCTCCAACTGCTAGCCTAAGAGAGAAATCCACTGATACTTACAATACACTAACATCTGAAACCTGTAGATTCATTTCTTCAATTCTCATAAAAGGTACAATTTCAAAAACCATTTTGGAAACATCTATGAGACAGAAACTCAACAATACAAGTTAATCAAGATAGGCTTATATCAATCACTTTAATATGGTCTTTAACACCCTCAGGAAAAATAAGATGAACATACCATCCCTGTGTGTACCAATTTATATCCATAAATTTAAAATAGTGAATCTGCAATACTGAAGAAATTTGCATTGTAAGAATTGAAAAAAGCTAGGGATTGCAATATTATGATAGTAATTTTTCTCCTGCATACTAGGCAATCCTTGAATGCAATGGTAAACATAATTAAGAATCATTGCTAATATTTATATCTTTCATTAAATTACTACAGCATATGCTTATAAACACTCAAAACTCATTCTTTTATTGTACATATTTTATAATAATTTTTACTCCATAATTATAAAATTTAAATCCTTTAAATCTTTTTAAAATATTCTGCCTAATCCACTATTAACGAACATGCAGGTTTTCTTTCTTGAAATATTAAAATTTAAAATAAAACGGGTGTAACAGTACATAATTTTGTTTCAACTATTAAGGAGACAACAATCCTAATATACTCCTTTAAAATTCATATGTAACAGAGTATCTGAACACCTTTTTGTATTCAAAACTCATATCTTCTGAACATTTTTATTGCCATACTCAAAACATGATTAAGTTGAAAATATTCAAGTTCACACCTGTAAATTTTATATCTAGCTGTTACTGCATGCAATTTGCTACTTCCTCCTTCACTGTTGTATGTTATAATTATGGTATGTAAGACACTTCTAACACTTCACCACTTAAACAACCAATCCTTGTCATGCTTGTTAAACCTTCATTTACATCTTAATTCATGCTGATAACCAAAGGTGACCTTAAATAAATGTCTATTGATTTGAGACAACAATATACATGTATCAGTACTCTCTACTATTCATCTATTGGTTTGAGACAACAATATACATGTATCAGTACTCTCTACTATTCATCTATTGATTTGAGACAACAATATACATGTATCAGTACTCTCTACTATTCATCTATTGATTTGAGACAACAATATACATGTATCAGTACTCTCTACTATTCATCTATTGATTTGAGACAACAATATACATGTATCAGTACTCTCTACTATTCATCTATTGATTTGAATCAAACAATATACATGTATCAGTACTCTCTACTATTCATCTATTGATTTGAGACAACAATATACATGTATCAGTACTCTCTACTATTCATCTATTGATTTGAGACAACAATATACATGTATCAGTACTCTCTACTATTCATCTATTGATTTGAGACAACAATATACATGTATCAGTACTCTCTACTATTCATCTATTGATTTGAGACAACAATATACATGTATCAGTACTCTCTACTATTCATCTATTGATTTGAGATAACAATATACATGTATCAGTACTCTCTACTATTCATCTATTGATTTGAGACAACAATATACATGTATCAGTACTCTCTACTATTCATCTATTGATTTGAGACAACAATATACATGTATCAGTACTCTCTACTATTCATCTATTGATTTGAGACAACAATATACATGTATCAGTACTCTCTACTATTCATCTATTGATTTGAGACAACAATATACATGTATCAGTACTCTCTACTATTCATGATATAATGGAAAAACTTTCCATCATAAGAAGGAAACTGATGATTTACTGAAAATTAAAGAATTAGTTGGCAACATACATCAGAACAACTCTAGGTAAAGACCTTGAAGAAGAAATGATTAAATTTGTAAAGTCTGTACAAGCTTGTAATACAGATATCCCAATGAGTTCTGTTATTTACCATGTATTTCTTGTGCTGTATTCTACATCATAATATATCTGTATGAAGATACACCATGTCGAATTTAATACTAACCTTTGTTCAAATATTAGTAAAAATTGAGGAAAATTTATTACAAAACATTTTAAATAATCTCCTGAAACCAAAGTAAAATTGAGAAAACAGATAAATTATAATACATGCAAAATCTTACCAATCCACGAAATAATACGACTGCACCTTCTCCATCGAGTCAATGTGCCAAACCAGTCTGTGGCACATAAGGCAATCAAATTAACACACACATATATACAGTTGTTAAAGTTATAATGCCAAAAACAGCAAAATAATATACTATATTTAAAATATTCATGGTCAAATGTACTAATTTAAAGGTCTTTGATGAATGTATCTTTGATGAACATATCAATTATAAACTAATGCATTTGATCACATATCGAAATGCTTACTTCAACAACAACACTGTACATGTTGTGAAAGATAAGTAATCACTTATAAAATATTTTCAAGTACAGAATCTTCTTTTCTTTCTATAAACTGTATTATCTTTATTACTGTAAGTTCAGAAATAACTGTTAGCTTTTTTATTCCAAAATCTGAATGCAACATTCATTTATGGGATTGCTAAAACCTTGCGATAAATGTTCTAATTCTTAAAGGGGCATTACCTACAAGATATCTATATATATATAAAAAAAAATAAAATATGATTTTTTTTTTGTTCAATCATTAATGAAAGTGAAAAAGTGAAATAATATTTCACTTTAAGCAGTCAAGAAACATCGCTGATGAAATTATTCACTTGCAAAAGTGAATAATTCAACCTCATTGAATCCATATTCATGTGACTTCAATTTTACCCCTTAGCTAGAGATGTATTACGCTTACAAAAGGCATATTCAACTATTAAAAGGAAAAAAATGTCAATATTGAAATAGAAACAAGGGTAAACCACTTGACTGACTGATTCGATCAATAAAAACTCATTCTTATACAGGTAAAAATGATGACTAACATATTTTTTTAACTTACAATATGAAATAAAAGACCTAGAAAAATCCAATTGCAAGTGTTCCCTTTCTATTCATATCTATATTTATGTTTATATCAGGTTATATGACCGTGGGCAGTCTTCAGAGATCACCTTGATGGTTAATTACATAGCGTCTTCAACAATGGACCCTCTCCAACATTGTAGACTAGAATAGAATTCATGACAAAAATCTCTTTTTTGTTGATCTTGTATTGCTGATAATTTTTTTTTTTTTTACAGTTTCTCTCTATTTTTTCTAGTTTTTGCCCACAACATACAAAAGGGTAAAAAATTGTCATTTCAGGGCAATCACTCCTATCAAGAGTCTACGAATGATTTCAGCAAAATTTACCTTGCTTGTAAATCGTTTTTTTCTGATCAATTTTGCTATATAGTGTCTATATATCTTTATAGTTTTCAGGATTATAGGCAAAAACACAAATAAATTGGTAAAAAATTGTCATTAAAGAGCAAGAACTCCAATAAGGAGTCGACTGAACATTTCGGTCATCTTAACTTATTTGTAGATCTTATATTGCTGATCCTTTTGACTATTAATAGTGTCCATCTATCTATGATAGTTTTCAAGATAAAAGGCAAAAAACACTAAAAATGGGTAAAAATCGTCATTAAAGAGCAATAGCTTCAATAAGGAGTCCTCTGACAATTTCAGTCATTATACTTAATAGTAGATCATTTCTTCCTGATCATTTCTGCTTCTTTAAGTTTTTACCTATCTAAGTTTTTTAAGATATTAGGCAAAAATGCCAAAAAATGGTAAAAATTGTCATTAAAGGCAATTACTCCAATTAAGAGTCGTCAGACGATATCAGCAATTTGACTTATCTGTAGATCTCGTCTTGTTGGTCATTTTTGCTGTTTAAAGTGCTTATTTATCTACTGTAGTTTTCAAGATAATAGGCAAAAACACTAAAAATGGGTACAAATCATCATCAAGGAGCAATAACTCCATTATGGAGTCATCGACTGATTTTAACCAAGTTTGACTTATTTGCAGATCTTTTCTCACTGATCATTTTTACTATTTTCATTCTATCTATCATAGTTTTTGAGATAATTGGCAAAATTGAAAAAATTGGTAAAATTCGTCATTAAAGGGCAATAACTCCTAAAAGAAGTCTTCTATCAGTTTTGATGAAAATGGACAATATCTAGATCTCATCATTGTGAACATTTCTGCCCTATCAGATTTTCTCTATTCATAGCAGTTTTCAAGATAAGAGACAAAACTTGCTTTTTACCCCTATGTTCTATTTTTAGCCATGTCGGCCATGCTGGTTGACAGGCGGGGTCATCAGAAACATTTTTTAAACTAGATACCCTAATAATGATTGTGTTCCAAGTAAGGTTAAATTTGGCCAAAAAAGTTTCAGAGAAGATTTTTGTAAAAGTTAACAGATGATGAAAGAAGACGACAGACGACTATGGAAGACCACAGACGCAAAGTCATTAAAAATGGGTTACAGCAATAACATTTTAACACAGTTATGTTTACTCTATGGAAGTTATGGCAAATAACTTACATGAAAGAGTTCAAACTAGAATTTGCATTTCAACGTATCATAGAGAGAAATCTAAGTAACTTGAAAAGTAAAATGAAAGAACTACAAATTTCTGCAACTTTCTATAGATTACTTTAAAGAAAAAGCTTATGTAAAATGATATGGACCAATAGACAAATGGACACAGACAATTTTATTCTTATGGTTCTTATATAGAACCAGACATCCTTCAGGAATTAAAACAAATATTTCTAATTCTGTAATTCTAAAATTTTATTTTCTTGGCAGGCCGAAAAATATGATGGTGTACATTAATATTTGTATATGATGGAAGGAAACATGTACTTGGCAACTCTATTGGCTATTTGTGAATGAAGTTTAAGGACACTTAATTGACTATTCAAGATCTCCTTGTAACTTTTTTCGCCTATAAAATTGCTACAAATTTTCTAATTTTTCACCAAACTTCCTCCTAAGTAGAGTTTTGTCTACCTTTTATCAATATTAATATCACTAGAAGTCCATTAATAAGGTATTATACTTCTGTCATTATTTAATCTTCAAATAAATCTTTTTTTTCTGAATTCATTTTTCAACTTTTTGTTATCTATGATTATGAATTTTGTCTTATTCCTATATTAGCTTGATAATATTTGTATTATAATTAAAAGAGTAATCAACGTGAAAAATTCAACTTAAGTGTGAAACTGAAGGTCACTCAGTATCTCAGAAATGGATCAGAGGTTTAACAACACAAATTTATTAATATGACATGTTATCATTTAATAGTCTCTCATAATTCTTAATAGAATGGCGCTTGTATATGTTTTAGTATTTAAGCTAATGATATTTTACTGTTAGTTTTAATATACTATATGTTTTATATATGTAACACTCCCAAACGTGTCCTTCCCCCCAAAAGTGTCCGATTCCCCCAAATGTGTCTATTCTCCTCAAAAGTGTCCATAATATTCAATATTCCCCCAAATGTGTCCGATTTTATAACCCCCAAACGTGTCCGATAATTGTTATTCGCCAAAACGTGTCCACTATTACACGCCAGAACGTCTCACCTCTTTTAGCGCTAATACATGCATGTCCCGAATGAAATCAATAACGTTTACGGCACTTCTATATATATGATGGGGGACACAGTTGACGAAGTGGTCATTTATTAGCATTAGTTTGTTCAATGCTGGTTGTTAATGATTAGCATAAAACATCATTGCATATTTAATTTGTAACATATGAATTGACTTTTGACTGAAATTGATTATTGTCCTGTTGCAAGTATTTCATGCTCATTTAGAGCGAACATACAAATAATTTTAGTACAGTTGAATTAATCGTTTACTTAGAGAATTATTTTGTACTAATAAACTCCGATGATGCCTTTTTATATCAATCTGCATGGCTGGCTTTCAATAGAATTGACTTTTTTCAACAGTTCTGATACAAACTGGTTTTCAAGCTTTTTTTCTAATAAATTTTAGGTTTCGAGCATCACTAAAGACACACGAACAAGAGACATAACGTCCAGTGCCAAATATTTCATGCATTATTTGAAGACATCATATTAACAATAAATATTGTAGATAGGTTCTAATTACTCCAGTAAGACACTACTTCAATGTCCGTTATGTAAAAGAGGCTGTTTTAACTGCCACTAGAAAAAATAATGAATCCGGACAAAAATGTTGCCATCCGAAATACAACTGATGGCACCTTGAAAGAGTTGTTAGAAAGGTTTTGATCTGCAGAGAAATTTAGCTGAGCGTGGCTGCTTACATTTGCATCCGACATAGCTGAATGGACGCCCAACTTTAACCCAGGTTATACTGCCGGTTTAAAAAAGACTTAAAGTTCTCTATTTCTATTTTTTAATAAAATAGTAAAATGAGTATACTTTAATGAAATAGTAATAACCAAATAACGGAAGTATTTATAATATGGACAAGAATGGTCGTTCGGTAAAAGAAAAAAAAAAAGAGCTTGATATGGACAAGTTTTTGGGATTGGGCACGTTTGGGTGTTCATTAAAAACAAGAGTGCACACGCTGAAATGTCTCGCCTTCTTTACTAACCATTGATATTATGTTGATAGTCCTAAATATAAAGCTTTACTACAACTATCACATACACTTAACATGATCCAAGAAAATGAGGTCAAGGTCATATAAACCAAACAAGAAATACATGTACACCTTACAATCATTCAATACACTAAATATAGTTGACCTATTGTTTATAGTTTCTAAGATACAGACTTAACCAAGAAAACTAAACATTGACCAATGAACCAATAAAATGAGGTCAAGGTCAGATGAACAATGCCAGGCAGACATGTAATACAGCTTGCAATCCTTCCATACAACAAATATAGTTGACCCTATTGCTTATAGTATTAGAAAAACAGACCAAAACACAAAAACTTAACACTGAGCAATGAACCGTGAAAATGAGGTCAAGGTCAAATAAAACCTGCAAGACTGACAGGTATATCATAAAATATTTCCATACACCAAATATAGATGACCTATTGCATAAAGTATTAGAAAAAAAGACCAAAACTCAAAAACTTAACTTTGACCACTGAACCATGAAAATGAGGTCAAGGTCAGAAGACACCTGCCAGCTAGACATGTACACCTTACAATCATTCCATACACCAAATATAGTAGACCTATGGCATACAGTATAAGAAAAACAGACCAAAACACAAAAACTTAACTATAACCACTGAACCATGAAAATGAGGTCAAGGTCAGATGACACCTGCCAGTTGGACATGTACACCTTACAGTCCTTCCATACACCGAATATACTAGACCTATTGCTTATAGTATCTGAGATATGGACTTGACCACCAAAACTTAACCTTGTTCATTGATCCATGAAATGAGGTCGAGGTCAAGTGAAAACTGTCTGACGGGCATGAGGACCTTGCAAGGTACGCACATACCAAATATAGTTGAACTATTGCATATAGTATTAGAAAAATAGACCAAAACTCAAAAACTTAACTTTGACCACTGAACCATGAAAATGAGGTCAAGGTCAGATGACACCTGCCCGCTAGACATGTACACCTTACAATCATTCCATACACCAAATATAGTAGACCTATGGCATACAGTATAAGAAAAACAGACCAAAACACAAAAACTTAACTATAACCACTGAACCATTAAAATGAGGTCAAGGTCAGATGACACCTGCCAGTTGGACATGTACACCTTACAGTCCTTCCATACACCGAATATACTAGACCTATTGCTTATAGTATCTGAGATATGGACTTGACCACCAAAACTTAACCTTGTTCATTGATCCATGAAATGAGGTCGAGGTCAAGTGAAAACTGTCTGACGGGCATGAGGACCTTGCAAGGTACGCACATACCAAATATAGTTATCCTATTACTTATAATAAGAGAGAATCTAACATTACAAAAAATCTTAACTTTTTTTTCAAGTAGTCATTGAACCATGAAAATGAGGTCAAGGACATTGGACATGTGACTGACGGAAACTTCGTAACATGAGGCATCCATATACAAAGTATGAAGCATCCAGACCTCCCACCTTCTAAAATATAAAGCTTTTAAGAAGTTAGCTAACGCCGCCGCCGCCGTAGCCGCCGCCGCCGTAGCCGCCGCCGCCGCCGGATCACTATCCCTATGTCGAGCTTTCTGCGACAAAAGTCGCAGGCTCAACAAAAACATGTTTGGGCGTTCATACAAATGATACGCTTTGGCGCCCTTTTACATTTTAAGACATGTTGTGCAGTTCAGTGACGTCATGTGGACACGTTTGGGGGAATCGGACACGTTTGGGGGATGGACACGTTTCTGAGTGGTACATATATGTTTTTCAATATTTTATGTTATACGCAATGTTTTATATGTATATTGGAATGTATAATGTTATACAAGTGGTGAGACTTTAATAAAATATTGAATCTGAATCTGAATCTGTTAATATGAGGTCAGAGTGAGCTATTTTTCATTGAAAGCTGTTACACTTTCTAAGATGCATCCTTACATAATCAGTAGGTGACATTTACTATCTGAAGCAAAATGTACCCAAATGTAAAACTTTATTTAAGTTAATTAGCATAAATTGGAGGTCAGAGTAATCTAAATTTTGTACACTTTTATACTCCTATAGTCATTTCTTTCAACAAATTATATGACTGTAGGTCACTTAGTATTTCAGATTTAAATTTGAACATAAAATTTAATATAAGAAAAATAAGCATAAAATATAGGAGGAAGCTGCTATACTTCCCTAGATGAATAGTTTCCCATTTAAGTTATATGATTGTAGCTCACTTCATTTCTGTGATGTAAACATAATGGTCAATGAAGTGTAAAAAGAAGTCAGAGTGACCTAAAATTTGTGAGAGGCTGTTATACCCTTCAAAATGCATCCTTGCACCAATTTATAAGATTTCAGGTTTACTTTGATTTGTAATATCTGAGTTCAGAACTTATATAAGTAAACGAAGCATCAAATGTAGGTTAGTTGAAGGCCATACTTTGACCTATAATGATTAACTTTTACAAATTGTGACTTTGATGGAGAGTTGTCTCATTGGCACTCATACCACATCTTCTTATATCTATATAGAGTGAATCAAAGCCACTGAACAATGAAATATTGGTACTGTGACCTTACTTGTATTTCTCTACCGTTATCAAGTTCTAAATCCTTGCTGCAGAACCCTTGTCTCACACAAATGTGGACATAAATAGTCTCCATCGATATTAACTTCATTGAGGCAATTTATAAATTGAGCATGCAGTAATTAGCTATGGTTTATTCAAACATTCATTTCAAATAAGTTAGGCACCAATGCTTTTCAAAACATAAATACAACTCTTTTTGATGATTATGCATTACATACCGGTATAAAAAATTATCAGTAAAAACCAGATAGTCACATGTATAGGAAGTTTTTTTTAATCAATCTATTAAAATATGAATACTGGTAGCTAAAATAAAACATATTATTCACATTTTGGTACAAATGTACACTGACATCAGTAAAATCACATATTTAAGCCCGATGGGAAAAAGCAGTATCACACTACTATCTAGGTCTTTCAGCTGCCTGCTTTGTGCAAAGGAGTTATAGCTAGAAACAAATTGTACTCTACCAAGCCAAGAAATAAAGGTTGAATTCATTGTACCATTTTTTATTGTTGGTTGATGTCTTCTTCCTAATTGTTAAATGCAACAATATTATATATAATATATATATTTGAGATACATGCAGTATTTACTGGTTATATGTTGTATCTAGGTAATTCCTTTCATACATGCTGCTGTTAAATGAAAACATTATAATATATTTTAACATGAACATGGGCTACTACTAATATATCTAATGTTACAATAAACAGGTAAGTATAACTAAATGATGTAATTTCTTATTATCATTTATAAAAATTGAAGTACTGAATTACATAAGCTTCAATATCCTACACTCAAGAACCTAAAAAATGGTAGAAGTGTCTAATTATACTGCTTAAAGTCATAATCAAAAATCCTTTTAAGAACAAACATTATTCATTTTAAAACTAAAGATCCTTTATTTTTACAGCTCCATTACTAAAAATAGTATTTATACCTTTCGCTGGTTTAACTTGTTCTGTGGTATGCACGGTTCCTAATTGTGGCCATTCCTCCTTCAGTTTGCATATTTTGTCTATAATTTCTTGTTTATAGTTTTTTGCAGATTTTCCCAATTTCTCATTTTTCAATGTCTCTATTAGAAACTTTTCAATATCTGAAATATAACATTTTGTATCATAATGAAATACAAGCTATAAAAAACTTGTAGATATGTTAAAACTGTGAACTTTAATTTTTTTGAAAGATTGGAACTTGTTCCAATTCTTTCCTAAGGCACCGGCCTCCAAACAGAAAGTGGACAGATTAGCTACTAAATCTATACACACTGACATAAAGTTCCCAATTGTTCTCATGTCTGTGTACATATGCACAAGTGAACTGGAAAGAAATTTGGTAACATCTTAATTTAGAGTATTTTTTTCAAAAATAATAGACATTACTTTTTTCAATTACTGGCTTAGTTTTGTCTTTTTACTTAAGTGAATTGATACATTAACAGTATGATTGACAACTGTCATGATCAAGGTACAATTAAACACAAAGGGTGGGACAATAATTGGAATTCTATATAGACTCCTCCTCCTTAATGCCAATCATAATTGACCAAATGAAATAACTTGAGTTTATACATAACATGGCAGACCACTCAATACACAAACTTTGACCTCATTAATATCTGATATAATTTGATCTATATAGGTCAGTCTCTGTCTTCATGTTAAATTGAAAACTAACAAATACTAAATGGGGATTTCTTTAATAAAATTATATACAGATGATAGATTTTGCCTTTACCTATATATATCTTTTGATTTGCATTGCATTAAACAAATGATCTGTAAATCTTGTTTGAAAGATGATTAAGTAAGGATTAATACATAACTTTTTTGTTTAGAAAAGACCAAAATGAAAATCTGTATGAGTAAAGAATCCAAGTGGTGTCTGTTTTTCTTGTAAAATCTGTGCAACAATTATCTGTAATTAATCCATAATTTTAATAGGTTGCATTATAAGAGAAGGTATTAGTATATTTGAATACTGTGAGGTAATATATTTTTTCAATGAAATAAATAAGAATTTGCCTCAAAAATTAAGTCTCCATCTTTGGACAATAGAATAAAAACATCATATTAAGTTTATTGATGTGAAAATGACCCTTTGTCAACCATGCATCTTCAATGTCATATATTATTGTGTAAATTAAAATCAATAAGCTATACTTAGCAATGTTTGAACACAGAGTAACAGACATGCCCACCAAACAACAATTCACAGGTTAATTTTGGGAGATGAAAAAAGGACTTAAGTTTCAGGTCTCTTTAACCATTGATCCCAGGTTTACTGAGTTAACTACAATGATATTTTTTTTACTAGGTAATTTCTTCTGTTTCAAAAAATATAAACATTAAGTTGCAATCAAAAAGAAGTTATTATGCAAATTTAGTGACCCACTGACATAAATCTATTACTGAAAAATTGCTTATTCTAAAAATCTGCAGTAATATAACTAACAAATATGCAATAGTGCTATAGCAAGTTTTTGTTGTCCACCATCACTGCTTTGGAAGTATAAAATATGATTGAAATTATACGCACAATTCTTCCAATCTTTCCATTAGTGATTTTAGATCACTTTGATTATAACATGAAAATATAAGAGGGTCACCAATCAATATATGCCATAGTGATAGTTCAAGAATTAAAGAAAAATGTATTTACAAAACCTTTTATTCATTTGGATTTATTGAAGATCTTGTATTTCTCATCATTTGCTGTTTACACTTTCTGACTTTTCCGTATTCACATTATTTTAGTTGTTAAAATATAAATTCATCAAAAATTGTCATTAAAGGCTAAGCAATAACTTCTTTAGACAGAGTAAAAATATGGTTTCAGCCATATAGGCATTTTTTAATTATCTTGTTTTGCTGATAATTTTGCTGTTTACAGTTTCTGTCTACATATGATAGTTTTCAAGTACTCCATAACATCCATTATCATGATTATCCTGAAATACAAATTTGTTGTTTATAGAACACAGCCATATGAACAGTAATTCAAGTCTGTTCACCACTGAAAAATGGTCAGGTGATTTGTATTACACCTTGCTGTACTGATGCAAAGAGGAGGTTTGGACAGGATGCTAATGAAGCTTACAGTAGGTTAACATACAAACAAAAGCAGGTGTAGGATTTCCGGGTGAAAGTGCTGAATCCTGAATTCCCTCCCGATATGTGTAAATCCCAAATTCCCACAAAAATAAAGGCCCAATAATGATGTCACGAAAAAGAGGATCATAATGGGGTAATTTCATGGCGAATGATGGTAAAAAATCTTGCTAAATGACATTAACAGTAATTTTTGGTGCATGACGACAAAATGTACATTGTCTTTATGACAATAAAAAAATCAACTGATTCTTGACGAATCACATTACATTCTTTCCAAAATTAATAGTAACGAATAATTATTTGAGACCTCTAACGAATCATCTTGAGGATATTTTGACGAGTCACAATAAAATTTTAATCAATTTGACGCTAACGTTAGCCGAAAATGACCGTTTGACGCCTGACGGTAAAGGACATTCCTAGTCCTACCCTCGTAAAAGGCCTTCCGCCCCTCAAAAAAAAGCTCTTTTGTATTCAAAAGGTTATTCTATTTTAAAAGAAACTAGCGGATGTACATTTTACCTGATAATAAAGACTTTATAGATTCATGAAACCCTGACATGTTCGTTATTTCAATTATAACACTGATATATGTTTATCTTCCTTCTTCCTGGTTCATCTTTTATACAGCCTATAGGAAAAGACCCGAGACTGATGAAAAAACGAGAGGGCTTCCTAATAAAAGACCCCTATTACATTGGTTTCATCTCCCCTTCCACGAAGCTATCCATCGCTCACCCACTGGCACTCGGCTTTGTGACAAAAGCCGTTGAAAAGGTACATATATTTTTTTAATACACGAGATTAAATGAAACCATCAGTCTATTTGGTTTGTGAAGAAAGAAAGGGGCGATCATTTTAACTGAGACGAAAAAGGGGGAGTGGGAGAAAGGGTAACTTAGCGTTATTGCCATTAATGGCATTATTGGGCTTTTCCAGAAATAGTCGATCCCCCCTATGGAAGACGCTGGAATTCCAAAAAAAAAAATGCATCTGAAATTGTAAATTTCCAGAAAAAAATATATGAGACAATATCTGAAAATGTCTAATTTTTGGCAATAGGACATGTAGGAAAAACCCCCCAAAAAATGTCTTTAGAACCGGTATTTTATTAGCACAAATCGAAGTACAAACATTGAGAATTCAGGAACTGTTGTCTGTAATTCAAACAATTGTTAATTGTGGTTACAATGGCAATTTTAAAAATGGTACCAAAAATTCCAGTTCTTTCCTTTTAGTGTTTCCAAAGTGAATCAATTTTAAAAAGTTTCTAATGGGAATAAAAAAAAAGTTGAAGATACTATATCTGGATCACAATTGGAAGATAACAGCAAACAATGTCATTTATCTTTTAAAACTTTGAAAAATCTGCCTAGGTAATGAAAAATTCAAAAATAAATTCCTTTCTGTTACCCTCTACTATACTATAATTGCACGGTATCAGGTCGTTCTGTCCCCAAACTGATCCGGCCCCAAGTCGATCCGTCCTACTTCGATCCGGCCCCAAGTTGATCCGGCCCCATAACATATTTGAATCAGTATAAATGGAATTTGTGATGATTAATGACAGCAGGTAAGTGAAGTATGCCTAATATTGCCTTTTGAGTAACATTCAGATGAATTATTTTAAATCGATACGAAAATGAGTATGATTTGTACAATTTGTAAAGCAGCATCAGTATATAAATATGAAGTTATTTTCATTGATAACTCAGAATACCAGTGGGAAAAGTTTTTATTCAATTCCGACATATAGAAGAGATAAATCATTGAGATATTTACAATCCACTGGAACATATAATTATGTAATCATCATAATGATCATTAGTCTATAATTGCATGGTGTGTTTATTCAACAATTGTGTGATGATCGTGAACCAAAGTAAGGCCAGTCGTAATCACTTAATCCAATTAAAATCATGGTTATTAGAATTTACTTAATTAACAAGGTCTTTATAGTTTGATCTTTTATTTGAAGTTCTAATAACGTTTGTCCGGACCTCGGCAGGAATATCATCTCTTCCTGCTGCTTTCCGAAGATTAGCATGAATTACGGCTTTTAAGACTTCTCCCTTAGAAATTTGTTCATTTAAACATTCGTTCTGACATTTGTCACATTTCAGCAATTATCAACCACTGATAATGGTATCGATCACTCGTTTTCTGTCGTTCGCAATTCCGATTTTACCGATCGACTTCCAAAGACCTTTTTGATTCTTATTACTTAATTTTTCTTCCAGCTTTTGTTGTTGATTTGAATTCAAATATTTTAATATAAAAAAATATTATATTTCTATAAGAAATCTTAATTTAATTTAAGAAAATATTCAAATGAATGTCTCATCTTATAAAAATTAAAATATTCAAATATTCGTCAAGCGCCAACTTTTTTACCGCCCACCTCTTATATTATTGTAAAATTCATAAAAATTTATGAATTATAATTTATATATCATATATATCTGTATTTTTATTCCTTATAAATATTTTTTTATTGGGGCCGGATCGATTTGGGACGGAACGACTTGGGACGGATCGACTTGGGGCCGGATCGACATGAAAGCAATTGCACAATGTTCTCTGCATTTATCAAAAGTCAAAAACCTGTCTTTTCATTCAAAATACTGTATATTATGTTGAGATTTATTTAATATGATGATAATAACTTATAACTTATGAAAAGGATTTAGATCCGTCTGATTTAGGCTTACCAACTCTGCCCACTTATGAAAAGTTGTATAATCCCAATGTCAATGAATAAAGATCTGCCAACTCACCCCACTTATGAAAAGGTGTTTAATCTCAAATAAATTAAGGCCGTAACCAACTCGCACCACTAAATAAAAGAAGATTCAACCTACCAACTCACCAGACTTATGAAAAGTGGTTTAATCCTAGTCTCTTTTGGGATTCTGAGTCTGGAGCTATTTTCTGGTTTGGCTGCCTCAGAATCAAGACGACCAAATATGAAAATCGCTCTAGACTCAGAATCTCAAAAGGAATTAGTTTAATATATATGAATTTAGACATGCTTCTCGCCCCACTAATGAAAATATGTCATATCCTGCTGGATTTAGACCTGCAAACTCGCCCAATAATTAAAAGGGGATTATCCAACTGTATTTTCAAATAAAGACATGCCAAATTGCTCCACTAATGAATACTGATGAAAACCTTAGAAAGGCAATTTGTGGGGTTTTTTTTCTTCCTTTTTAGCTCACCTGGCCCAAAGGAAGGCCAAGTGAGCTTTTCTCATCACTTGGCGTTGTCTGTTATCTTTTACAAAAATCTTCTCATGGACTCTGAAACTACTGGGCCAAATTTAACCAAACTTGGCCACAATCATCATTGGGGTATCTAGTTTAAAAAATGTGTCCAATGACCCTGCCTGCCAACCAAGATGGCCCAAGAATCACAGATCCAAGTTTTTGAGCTCACCTGGCCCAAAGGGCCAAGTGAGCTTTTCTCATCACTTGGAGTCTTTGTTAACTTTTACAAAAATCTTCTCCTCTGAAACTACAGGGCCAAATTTAACCAAACTTGGCCACAATCATCATTGGGGTATCTAGTTTAAAACTGTGTCTGATGAACCGGCCAGCAAAACAAGATGGCCGCCATGGCTAAAAATAGTACATAGGGGTAAAATCAAAGCATTAAGAGGAAATCTGACATGAGGTAAAATTGTTCATAAGGTCAAGATCTATCTGCCCTGAAATTTTCAGACAAATCAGACAACCCATTGTTGGGTTGCTGCCCCTGAATTGGTAATTTTAAGGAAATTTGCAGTTTTCAACCAGATTTTCGAAGGAAAAAATAGGTTATTGATTTGGGGATGTACAGCGGGCGGGCGGCAAAAACAAATTTTGATATTTTCCTGTGACTAAATGAAGGTCAAGTTCAATTTTCATGATTTTAGCTTCTCTCGTTTTTGAGTATTGAGTTTTTAGAAGTCCAAATATATACTTATTATATGATTGAGTTATTTCCCTTTGAACAGAAATTGTGATTTACAAATATCATTTTCATTAGATAATAATCTATTTTTATTAAAGGATATATTTCATTACATTACATTGTGTAGATAAAATTGTTGACATTGATAGATAAGTTGCAGATCTATATTAGTTTGTGACAAATGAAAGAAAAAATGTTGGGAACTATTAATTATATATATAAAGTTTGATTACACTAAGTGTTTTTTATAATTTTCTGCTGTAAATAGATAACAAAACATCAAGTAAATATCTAATCACACAATTATAATTGGAGTGACAGATTTATTTGAAAATTTTCTGTTTCCTAAGTGTTGATGATAAGATCTGTAGGACAGTATAAATAAAGTTTGAAATTTACTGTTCATTATTAGACATTTTGAAGATAATTACAGATAAGTTTTATAGATTTTTAATAGATATCGTATTAATGATAAATGACATTTTGGATTTTTTTTCATCTTTTCTTTTGTAAATTGTTTGAAGTATTTTGTGGTTTGCTATATATATATATTTTTTGATGAAGCAAACTCCTTTAAAACTAAGCTTAGTTTGTCTATTAATAAACATATACATTTTTGTATTTAGATTTCTGATTTTGGGTCCAGTTTTCAAGTTGGTCCAAATTGGGGTCCAAAATTATACTGTGTTTGATTTCAACATAAATTGAATATATATAGGGTTCTTTGAAAAGCTGAATCTAAACCTGTATTTATTTTCATTATTAATTAGATAATACCCCATTGAGGTCCAAAGGGTATCGTTTAGGGGGTAAATCAGGCAACTATAAGGCTAACAATAACAAAGGCGTCTAGCATGTATGGATCTCTATTCAAACTCTGATCTCAATACGTCACACTTAGGTGACGTTACAATGAATAGCAGCAGTGAGAATGTTACGTTTATGTGTTACTTCCAACATACTGGTGGCCTCAAATGAATTACTTTACAATAAATAAAAGTGATCACAAATTAAATGATAAAAGTTCTGAGAAAATAAATTAAAACTTTAAAGTCTCTATGTAATAATGTTTAACAGTCCATGGTTATTCACTTAAATGTCCATATGCTAATCACACATTTACTTTAACATTTCACAATTTACATTTAACACGTGTTAGTCCATGTTTTTATTTTTATGCCCCCGCCGTAGCGAAGGGGGCATTAAGTTTTACCCTTGTCCGTCTGTACGTCTGTCCTTCCGTACGTCCCAAAGTTGGTTTCCGTTCTCTAACTTTAGTTTGCCTCAACCAAATGTTATGAATCTTATACACAATGCTTATTGCCGCTAAATACAGATCAAGTTTGAATTTTGGTGGCGTCACTTTTACTGTTCTAGAGTTATGCTCCTTTACAAATGGAAAATTGCTAAATTTTTCGTTTCCGTTCTCTAACTTAAGTTTGCCTCAACCAAATGTTATGAAACTTATACACAATGCTTATTACCACAATATACAGATCAAGTTTGAATTTTGGTGCCGTCACTTTCACTGTTCTAGAGTTATGCCCTTTACAAATGGAAAAATTGTTAATTTTTTCTTATTTTTTTTTCTAAATATCAAGTCATTTTTAAAATTGGAGTTATCTTCCTTTGTCCATGATTATAGTTGAATCAACTACAATCAATGCTTTATACAATGCAATGTTTAATTTTGCCTTCCACTGATAAATTAAAGCAATTTTTACCCTTCATTTCTAAAAATATTTTAAAGTCTTCTTTGAAAATTGGAGTTATCTTTCTTTGTGCATAATGGTAGTTAATTTTTTTCTTTTTTTTTCTTAATA